TTGAGAACACTTAAGACCGACACCTCTGGCGTTGATCGACAAGGTGCGGCTCAGGGTCTCAGCGAAGTGCTTTCCGGACTTGGCATGGAACGACTTGAAGGCCTTCTCCCTGACATTATTGCAAATGCGCAGTCCCCTCGGAGTACCGTCAGGGAAGGTTTCATGTCTCTCCTCGTATATCTACCGGCTACCTTCGGCGCTCGATTCCAACCACATTTACCGAAAATCATATCCCCCATCTTGAGCGGACTGTCTGACACGGAAGAGTACGTTCGGGAAGCTGCTATGCGAGCAGGGCGGATGATTGTAACCAATTACTCCACCAAGGCGATTGACTTGCTCCTGCCTGAACTTGAGCAAGGCATGTTCGATGCCGGTTGGCGCATTAGGGTAAGTCCTTTTTTGCAGCATATTTTTACATGACTTGACCACCGGTCGTTAGCAATCATCAATCACTCTGGTCGGAGAGCTCTTATTCAAGGTATCAGGTATTAGTGGGAAGGCTGAAGTTGAAGATGAAGAGGAAGTGGCCGAAGTTGCAGTCGTAGAATCTTCTCGCCGCGCGCTTACAGATGTTCTTGGAGAAGAACGCCGTAACCGTATTTTATCGGCATTATATCTTGCAAGGCAAGATGCAGTCAACGTTGTTCGGCAATCTTCTGTTCACATATGGAAGGCACTTGTGCACAACACACCCCGCACTGGTGAGTCACGCGGATGTGTCTGATGGTTGCAATTGATGATGACGACATAGTACGCGAAATTCTCCCGGAACTTGTTGGTCAGTTGGTGAAACTGTATTCCAGCGAAGAGTTCGAACAGCAAGAGGTAAGTTGACACGGCATAATTAAATATTTCTTCGTTCATCTCTTTCTTCAAGACTGCCAGTCGTACCACGGCAGAGCTAAGCCGCAAGTCTGGCGAGAAGGTTCTGGGCGAAATTTTCTCGATTCTTCATACCAAATCACATTCTCCTGATATTCGTACCCGTGAAGGTGTTTGCCTTATGTTGTGCGATGTAATGTAAGGACCCTTCTTTTCTCCTCTTTCGTAGTGTCTCACGGCATTTAGCGAGAGCACATCCGATGCACAACGTGATGGCCATGAAAACGAAATCATCAACATGGTCCGTGCCTCTCTAGTGGATGACGACGCTAGTGTACGTTCGGCGGCTGCGAAGGCATTCGATGTGCTCCAAGAGCATCTCGGTGCAAAAGCGATCGACCAGACGATCCCTACTTTGTTGGAGGCTTTACGCCAGCCTGGTGCAAGTTCAGACACCGCACTTCAAGCCTTGAGGGAGGTCATGTCGGTATGTATCGTCCTTTTCGTTTGTGAACAAGGATGTACTTATCCAATCAAAGGTCCGAGCGTCTACTGTATTCCCTGTTCTCATCCCAACCTTGATTGCCACACCCATGACGGTTTTCAATGCCAGAGCTTTAGCGTCTCTTGTTACCGTTGCTGGGCATGCCTTGAGCAAGCGCCTCATTGTCATCCTTGGAGCATTAGTGAAGGTTTTGGAAGAAGACCAAGACGATGAACTACGGGATGCTATCGATGAGGCTGTGCGTGCACTTCTAGCCTCAATAGAAGACCCAGAAGGTTTGAACACCTTGATGTTACTCTTGCTTGGATGGTCAGTTGCTCCTGCTCTGTAAGCTTGCATATTTACTTATCATCTTCTGGCTCAGGGCCAAGAGTGATGCACCAAAACGGCGGATTAGCTCCTGTAATCTCTTTGCAGTGTTCTGCGAGGAATCTGACCTAGACTCGTCGTTATACCGCGTTGACTGGGTCCGACAACTTGTGTCTCTCTTCGATGACCAAGAGGTTCCGGTCCATACTGCGGCTTGGCAGGCATTTGATGTATTCGTCAAGTCAGTGCCAAAGGATGAGCTGGAGTCCCTCGTGGTCCCTCTGCGCCGGACGATCGAGAGCACTGGTGCACCTGGCCGATATGTTCCTGGATTCAGTCTGCAAAAGGGAGTCGCACCCACCGTCCCTATCATTATTGCTGGTCTCACGAATGGCAGCAACGAACAACGCGAGAATGCAGCGTATGCTATCGGAGACTTGGTGGAACGGACGGAGGAGTCTGCTATCAAACCTTTCGTGGTGCCATTCACCGGGCCCCTCATCCGCGTTGCAACACAAGCCACCACATATCCTCCTGGTGTGAAGACCGCCATCCTCAGTGCACTGGCCTCCATGCTTGAGAGAATTCCCGGTCATGTTAAACCGTTCTTCCCTCAGCTTCAGCGCACGTTTGTCAAGGCAGTCAGCGACACCTCCTCTGCTGTTGTACGAACTCGTGCAGCAGATGCTTTGGGTATCCTCATGCACAGCCAGCCAAGAGTTGATCCTGTTGTTACGGAGCTCATCGCTGGTGCGAGATCAAGCGAGGAGGAGATTGCTGCTAGCTTTGTCCTTGCATTATCGAACGTCGTGAAGAGTTCTTCCGCGCACGGTGGTATTGGGGATAAGGCTAGGGAATCGTGCATTGAACTTGTCCATGACGCATTCCGAGAATCTCATGAGGGTGAGTTTTATTGAGAACTAGGATTGGTCTCGTGCGTTTGCTAACGAATCTCTAGATCACTATGTTCAGGCAACAGCAGCGTTGATAGCCTCATTGTCAACAAATCCGCAATCACTGAAGCCGATTGTCAAGTAAGTGAAAAGAACGCCTCCACTTGGTTTCACGTATTGATCATCATCACCAGTGCATACCTGATATCTGGAACACCTCCATCGGCCCTAGCATCACATGCCATCGTTGCTGTCCTATCTCCCGATTCGGACGACTACCTAGACCCAGCGGCCACGCTGTTCGCCAAACTGGGGCTCTTGCGCAGTGTTGCTCTGAAAGTCAAAGAAAGTGCCGCCAACGAACGCTCCACTATATCACGACCTGCGAGAGAAGCCAGAGATATATTGAAAAACATGGCAGTGGACGAGGAGAGCCTTGCTGGGATATTTTGATGTATCTTGGGTGTGCGCTATCTTCACAATCTCACGAACATTTTCCGCAATCCTATTTACCAATGGGCTCGGGCTCTCAAAAGTTTGAGACACCTGCCCAAATGTAGACGACGAGAAGGCGGATACATGCGGAACCAACCATTTATGACCACTCGTTTAGAACAAATGAATCCAACATTGACACTGGCTAGATCTCATTGAGAATTTGATTGGGCCCACGGATGTTGTAAGCTGACCGAATGCAAACATGTCATTTTGGTAGATGAGGCTCTATAACGCAAGAATCATTGCGAACAAATTGATATAATCCAGCCCCGAGACCTTTGATCTTGGTCCTAAAGTGACACACGACTGTCAGCATCAAGTTATCAAGGTACGTTTGGAAGTGAAGTAGTAAATAGGAAAGCAAGCAAATTCAGAGAGAAGATAAATTCTCACTCATAGTATGAATAAGAATGGATCATGCACGAGCGTATAAAGAGCCCGTGTCAAGTGTCCGGCAAGTGCCAAATTGATTGATACATTGGCTTCATCATGTACTGATCGATGATCGCCGAAAGAAATGCTACTTACGTTATGCAATCCCTTTACGCACATTTCCGAGTATGCGGGTAAACTTGAAACCTGTAGCGTTGCCAATCAGAGCGCTACAACTCAGAAGCGGTGGCTGAGCGTGTGTTCGAGCGGTGAGCGCTTGAGCTCTCGCCAACCACAAAGTTCGGATTGATCCATGAACGAGTGGCATGGCAGAGAATATCGATCGATATGGGCGTTGGACAACCGGGCCCGTGACTTCATGCCTCTGATCATAATACTAATAGGATATGGAAGCAGGGGTATGGTAATAGCATGCTAGGTGTGAGAGAGACAAAGTGCCTGCAACTTTGCTGATTTCTCAGGGAATTTGTTCTCACGGTTCAAAAGAGCCAACCCCTGCCACTGCACTCCCTATGTTCGCGACTTATATGTTACTTTGCCTGCAGGAAGTCATCCATTTCAATGGCCGACGTTACAACGACTAGCCAAGCACATGTCATGAAAAATTGAATCGTCAAAGTTGCATCATAACTGGGCATTAGCATGCAGTACTCAGTGATCACGTGACACCTCGAGCTGAGTATCATCATGATATCGGATATTAGAGTGCACGTAGGCTAAATGCTGGCAAATGTCTATTGTTAAGATCTTCGCTTCTTCCCCTCATCCTGGACACTCTGAAACACATATTAGGCCGGTGGAAACACGCTGTCACGATAGACAATAAGGCCTTATTCTCATTAACAACGTGTTTTGTTCCGTTGTTGTTCCTTGGCTGTCCCGGTCTCCTCGCAACCCGACCTTGTGTCCCCTTGGTCTCGGACACTGCGGAAAAAATAGACATTGCGTGCGGAGCGCGTTTGACATAGGTTTGGACTTTTGTACGACATCCCCTCATACAATTCTGGTGATTTTGACTACACTTTAGTGACATTTCACCTGCATGAACGCTTCGCTTGCTTTCTGGCACCGTAATTCATTTTACTAAACATACACCGCAAGTATGCTTCTTATCCCAATGCGTATTGCTACAGCACATATATTCCTGTATTGCGACTCGGAGGGCTCTATTTTTATTTACGTTTGTGCCTCCATGTTCTCCGCCGTCAGACAAATCGGGCCTGAGAAAGAAAGTTTCACGATATGGGTACTATGAGGAGGCGGTGGAGATAGACTTGACAGCTTAGGTGAGTCATGTCGTGCACGTTCGTGCATGCTCTTCATTCATCACTTGTTCCATAATTCCAGCCGTCCTTTCTTGATCTCAAAAATCGATTCTTAGCTGGGTGAGTCAGACAATGTTCCTACAATCCTGTATCGTGCCAATTTTAGGTTTATGTTGCCATAGCCATAAACTTCCCTGCATCGAGTCCCTAACCTACTAGTCCTATTTTTTGAAGACGGGCCCCAAAGCGGAGCCTGAGCCTTAGCAACAAGCCAAACAACAGCACTGCATACCATCAGTTCGAACCAGTGTCAACCGGTGTGGATACGAGTCGTATATATATGGAATAAAACAACGCTAACAATTGCCCACAAGCTTAAGCAGAACGAGCAAGGTATGCCCAGTCATCAGCTGTGTTCTTCGGTGTCCGTCCTGTTGATTTTCATCAATCTCTATCAGAACCATCGATATCCACCGAGGCCTCGCCCTCAATAACTGTGGGAAGGAACCTGCTGCAATGGCCAGAACGAGGTTGTCCGTAATTTTTTTATGTTTCAGCAAAGTTGAAATTCAGAAAGCGGCATTTCTTCCTAAGCCTTTGGGGAAAGTATATCACGGCAATTACTATCAGGCCACGTATTGGCCATCTAATCAGTTCGGAGATTTTTGATCTGGATCACGCCGCCATTGCTCGCTTGACCATGACAAATTTCCTATTCACCGATGATTTTTTTTACCTCGCGCACGAAAATCAAGGACAGAGAAGTACGTATTCTCGCGCGGCCCTTCTTTAACCACGGATTTCCCCATAAATACCAGACACTTGTGGGCCTGATAACGTTCGACACTACCTGCCTCGTCCCAACCATGCAAATACAACTCTACGATCATGACGAGGACCTCACTGTTGGTGACGTTGATTCCGCATTTGTCAACTCACACTGATCGTTCCGAAGATGTCACTTGTTGGCCCTTCGATGTCAGGCGATTCATCAAGTATCACTGGCCACAACCGCCGCAACTTCGCACAGGGTCAATGCTCAACACTGCAACCCATTTCCACGTCCACTTCACAGGTCTTAGCCATACCACCGCCACAAATCACCACCAATATGCTTCCGACTCGTTACGACTTCTGGAATAATGTGTCGACCCAATACCATAATCCGGTGTTAGGAGGTGCCAGTATCGGACACTCTTCTTCTCCTGCAATCGGGAGCGGCTACTTGGCTCCACGGACGTCCCAAAAGTATGTTCTTCGTTACCATGTCTAAGTAGCTGTTTGCTCACAATCACTCTCATACACAGGGTGTATCCAAATGACCCCTCTTCGCTTTCCTCGCAATATACTATAACTAATAATCCGCCTTTCGTCTTTGACCCTAATATGCCCAACTCCACTTTTTCGCCGTACAATATCTCACCACATCAATGGCAGACTCATGCCGCCCCTCAGCCAGGACCTCTAAGCCTGTCGCTTACGCCCATGATACTTCCGCTACAGGCTGCAGAATTTACATTTGTGATGCAGCCCCATGCAAATTATGGCGAACAAATAGACCACCCTTTAAACCAGCCAACACTCAATCAGCCCTTTCCGTTCGCGCCGCATAGTCATCCTTCGTCGTCCCTCGTGTCCTGCCAATGGACAAATGACGCCGCTATACACTGCGAATTTATAGGGACACTGGAGGCACTAAAGTCGCATTGTAAGATCGTCCATCTTTTTGGACCAAGCATCACGCAGATAGAATGCCACTGGGAGGGTTGCGACTACCACAGCCGCGATGACCCCACGGTTCGCGTCATGCGGCGCGACTGCATTTGGCGTCACATCCGTGAGGTACATTTGAGGCTGAAGAGGGGTAGGATCTAGGCTATTTCGCATTCCCCCAACTCCCGCCACGCCATGCTATCTTGTTCAACGAATGCGTTATCCTTCACTCGTTATTCAAGTTTGCTCTTACCATCCATCAAAAATGGTGGTCTTACTGCTTTATCCTTCACTCGCTCTTTGCTCTTGCTATTCACCAAAAATCCTGATCGCACTACTTTGCATTTCTCCAGCTTGAATTCCGGCCATACCACTCCATCTTATTCAATGCGAGACGTTGCGCACATAAAATGACTTGTGTGTTGATGTAATGCCAAAAGTCTCTGATTTTCAAAGAAATATTCACGTATATGGAACCAACGCCCCGTGAATGTACAGGATGTACGCTACTGACCATCAAATAACGATCTGCCGAGCCATTGAAGTTCAAGCCATAGGCTCCGATCACTCAAACATCGTAATATCTCAAGAACAGAAAATTGCGATTGGTCACAGAAGAAAACATAAGACCCATCTTAGACTAGCGCAGCCAAGTTTAGGCGCATCTATCCATATCTGAGTCTCCGCAGGTCCGCCTGGCAATGGAACACGGAGATCACCGCGAAAAAAATTACTTCGTATCCCCAAGACTTTCAAAGTTTGCAGGTTACTTCACCCATTGGACATATTATGGACCTCATGTCTCCGACCGTGACTCACCAACTGCGACTGATCGGAATGTCCTCCTTAAGGTGACGCTATACACGGCATGTCCCCATGTCTGATCCATGTCTTATTGTTTTTTGTATTTTTAAAATCTTATATGGTCGAAGACGTTATGTTGCTGATCCATGCCGTTAACCGCCACCGTGTTATCACTCGCAATACCTGTACATGTGCATCTATCTGGCAGCCAGGCTTTCCAATACATGTGGTTCTTCTCCTGGCACCCTGGGAACGAGAGCTTGCTGCAAAGACTCACAGTTATATTATTGGCCGTCATGAAAAAATCGAAAGAGACCAACGCTGCCCAATTTCAAGTTCTTCAAGCACAACTTGAGCTCACGTGGTGTTTCTTCCACCGAAGAATGTACAGAGCTCGCCCATGAGCCAGAGTATTTGACACAAATGTTCGGATCATATACCTGCAGACCACCGAAGATCAATCGATCAACACCTGTCTATCGTTATGGTTATAAAGTCCAAAACAAGCCGTAACAATTGAGATACGTGCCAATTGTCGACATCAGCACTTGTCGACTTCCAAACAGATGGGAGTGGTACAAAATAATTCGGCAGAGAGACTTCTGCAAGACTAGGTTTGAGTCGGAGTGTTGTGGGAAGAAGTCCGCAATTCCGCCAGTTCCTTCTCTCTATAGAACACCAGGCTGGCGTTCTCACTGGTGACGTCCCTTATCAATTTTCCCCCACGCCATCGACGTCGATCGCCTCTTCTCGGATATGGGTAGCAGGAAGCGCTGCAATCTCTTGGTAGACACGTTTGAGGCACTGACAAAGACTCGAGCGAATATTCGTTACTATAATCATTAGAAGGTCGTGGCTAATGGAAAGCCAATTCGTCGACATCATGTACACATATACAGCAGACGGTCCACAGCCAGGTATCGACGTCGATGTAGCTGCCAATCTAGAGGCCGATTTTGCGTGGGCACTGGGCACTACTTGCATTTTAGATCTAGGACATTGATGATGATCTTGCAGGTCCTGAATCCACATCACTTGATGAGATCGAGGCAGCATTTGCCCTACCGGGATACGAGAAAGAAACCATGAGATAAGTGCCGGTTGACGGATTGAATGATGTGTTTGGCAGGCCAAGTCTATGATTGGAGCAGGATAATGGATAGTGGGATGTGTGCACGTTCTAATGGTGTTTCTGGGTGACATTTACCATACATTATCATACACATAGCCTTATGTGTAGCACCTTGAAACTTTTGTTAAGCCGCAGAAGTGGCGACTCTAGATCTGCCACTTCTGTTTTTCAATGTCCGCGGCCCGTCCGTGTCAGTATCTCCGAAGCTCAAGCCGCCACGCCGCCTCGGCCCGGATATATGCGGCTTGGGGACTGTCCACTTTCGCGAAACTCGGCGTGACTGCCGCAAACCCCCGAGTTCAATGACTTGTTTCGCCTCGAGCTTCTCCAAGGACCAAAACACACTTCTCGTCTGGATCAATGAGCAGGATCTGTGGGACCACAGTGCCCAGGTATATGATGGGCTGCATCTGTCTCTGCACAATCTCAGCACGTGTGGTGGTTGTCTGGCTTCAAGATTGGGGCCGCCTAGTCGGATGCGGCAAGTGGATGTCATCAGGTGGCTGCAGTGCGTGACGCACTGGCTGGCAGATTCGGACCCAGATGTGGCACAGCAGGATTGACGGCGAGTCTGTGACGTTGCTTGCAGGAACTGATCTGTGCTGCAAAACAGTGTTAAGCATGAACCCGCAGAGATATGTGTGACCATATGCAGTGAACTGGCGCGGCTGGTATTGCGTCTGCACAAGACAGGAGCTGGTGTGGCTTCAATGTATGATGACGAACGCTACCGCCGAAGGCTCTACCCTCCTGCCAACTAAGCTATCAGAATACGTACCTGCACTACTCCTGCTGGAGAAGTACCTTACTCCAAGAGGTCACGAATGTAGAAGATCAGGGGATTCCGCGCGACATCAAGGTGTGATTGAGGGAGCTGGGGCCTATGGTGTTTTCAATTTGTTGTGTCACAGGGAGGTGGGGGCAGGGCCTGTGCCTAGAATTATGGACTGCGCTGAAGGGGAAATACATGATAGTCGTATATAAACTCATGCGCGCGGAGTGGCATATCCTAAGCACCAAACACTGTTTTGCCGATCATCGCAGAGCTCAACCATCATATGACGGATATAAGAAAATTAGTGCCGTCACCAGTAATATTACTATCCAGAAGACCACAGAGATTATGGCGTTGACAACTCGCGCTGATTGAGATCGACTCAGTGAGATCATAGCACATTAGTGGTTCATACAAGTACATGGAATGGGGTGACTTCCGAGACTAAATATCGCTCGGGCTTCGGGGAGACCTCAATTTAGTATCTGAATGGCATAGGCTACTACCCGCGTTTAGGTATTCCATTCTGTCGAGTATAAGCAAACCAATGATCTAACATGACAGTGTTCAACGTTCGCACTGCGAACCTCGATTAGTGACAGCAACGTGCATGTAACTTGTGACCTCCGGACCGAAAGCCCTTGGGGTCGTAGGTGCCAGGCACCCAGTTATCTTCACCGTTACACCGACGGAAAGAATCGCTGACCAAACTAGTGAATGGTCCGATGGTAAATCGGTGACCAGATAGTGACCGGTGCGAAATAGGTGATTTCGAATCGCCACCTGTTAGAACAGGCTGTTCTAGTAAGACACCGAAAAACAGTTGTCATGTCCGCTTCATGAGGGAGACAATAAAACTGTGGTTCCTTCTTGAAGCTTGAACGATCACGGGAAGACCTGTTGCTGTGCCTTTGCGATGAATTCAGATTGATCTGCATAAATTTGTCGGCTGTTCCTTACCGCATTAACACAGTATGAAAGTTTGATGGTCCTCGAGGTTTTTCGAAGTCGCCAGGTACAACCCCATATACGTGTTTTTGCGTGGGATGTCGCCGAAGCCATTGAATTCGCATGCTTTGCGTTTGTATGAATGAAGCAACTTCCTAGTGCTGTGGCTACCCTACTTACCATGATCCCATCCATGGCACTAGGTCACCAAGTTACAAACATTTCGTCAACTCAAATTTGAAATCTGATAAGCGAGGTCAGTGAGTTAGCAAGGTTTGGGCGGGATCATGCTATGAAAACTTCAAGTTTATAATCCTCCCGCGCCTGTTTGCTCCAGTCCGTTTGCGGACTCAGTGTGGGGCCTGCAGCTACGTTCGGCATCGTGTTCTTTGCACCATAAGGCTGTGCCGAAATGTGGTTGGTAGTCTCAGTCACATAAGAAGTACATCATGATAGCCAGCCAATGAGAATGTCTTTCGCATTTGTCTCCAATGCACATGAATGACCGAGATACACGACATCCATGAGGGGGTGTTCGAAGTCCTATTGCCTACTAATAGACACGAAAAAATGAGCACGGCTATCCAGGGCTATGTATCCTGTTTTCCATATATCAAAGTGATCTCGAACCGAACTTCTGGAAAGAGTCTAGCTGTACCTGGTCACGGTTGTTCGACCAGAACGAGCTGCTCCAACGAAGACTAATATCATAGAAGTTTGGGGCTATTTATCGAGATGACGCTCACTATAACCCTTTCCACCAACAGGTGTGCTAATTCCATTGCTGACTTGGAACGGTGGAAGGGGGGCTCCGATGGAAAAGGTAACAGGCGGTGTTTGCCAGCATTTGCAGCATCGATATCATGATAGTCCTCGAGAAGGAGTATTGCAGCATAGATCATTGATAGAGTTCGGCTGGTTTAGGCCACTTGAACGCCTTCTTCACATAAGATCCGGGACAAGGAAATCACGGGGGATCCGATCAGAAGCCTTACGATTCTTTCCATCATCGAGTTTGTTCCGTTCCTCGGGATAAAACAGTGGCTTGTGGGGCAGTAAATGCTAAATAGAATGAAAGGGTGGGATAAGATTGGGCGCTGGGGTAACTTCAATGAATCTGGAAGACAGATTTGAAGCCCTAAAATAAAACTGGCCCTTTCATCAAAAGGGTCATCAACGTCATTGGGAACGCACCGGGTGATAGACGGAAGAGAAACAAATGGTGGCACATCATGAAAGCATAGCATGTTACATACTTCAAGAAGGCTGCCAGGCTATCCAGTTTGGGCAAAAGCGCAGCACCGTACGCGCAGATTCAAGTTGAGTCTTGGCTAGACTTCTGATCCGGGTCAGACTCCGAGGGCACACGATGTCACGGTGTGATCCATACCGAGAGCTAACGATACTATCGTGATACCGGAGTCCTCAAGGCTATGTGCAGAAAAGGTTAAGGCTGAAGAACTTTTGCAGTGCATTATTATTATGTAAGTCGGTGCTTTATAGTTTCGGAAATAACCACCTCACGCTGCAGATCATTGACCTCGATATCCACACCAAGTAACCATGTAGCCTCCACTTGTGAACTTCGATGCCTTTTATGGACGCAGTATTTCCGAAATTGCTAGTTGTGCCATAGTCTAGGTGGAGATAAACTCGTAAACAACCCAGCTGGGAGGATAGTTGGCCGCAAGTTGGCCGCACGAACAGATGTTCTACGGAGATGAATCAGTGCCTTCCACCAATATTCGGACCATCACCATCATATAGTATGTCATAGTCGACCAACTCCCGCTGAACTTCAAGATAGTACAGCTTTACAAATCCAGCATATCACCGGTCGGTGTTGGTGCGGCATCCATCCATTGCACTCTCCTTCAACTGATATCACTGTGACAGCTAGACTTGGTAGTTCAGGTTCAAAATCCCACGCGGTTGTAGCGGTTCGGGCTCTAAGTTCAGGAGAAGACTGCAGCAGAACTAGAACTTCGGCTTACCACGAAAACGCAGGGCCACAGTATGTGCACCGTACTACTACTATAAAAGTATTGCAGTAACTTCTGTCTGGGCTCAATGAATCGTAACAACTTATCTAGATATGCCAGGTTTGCTTGCGCTTATATCTATTATAGGCCCTCGGATTTTCTCGAACTACAGCCGTGTCCCTTTTCGCGCGCGATTACTTGCGCTCGAGATATTCGGATACCGCACCGAACAGCTGGTCGTACCTACTTGTTGTGGACGCCTTCTTCAAGCCTCGAGTGCATCTTACATCAAATATGGCATACAGCCATGTCGGCATTCATACCTTGTCGTATTGCAAATACACTAAGTGAAGTACGGTATAGTGCATGATCATCTCAATACCTGGTCACGCTTACTTGTTGTGGATGCCTTCTTTCGTTAAAGCCATCGGCATGAGATCACAGCAATTCCACATTTCATGGACTCGTGCCCATGCTTGGCTACGGCGCTGACATATTGGAGAGGTATCAGCAGGTCGCAAATCGTAGGGAACTTATTGGGGACTTATCGGTGTACATTTTGTCACTATGTAAGCAACGCCGTGCCGCTTGGTTTACCATGGCCTGGTAATATAAATCTTTTTTACTTGCCCGAACTTTCCTCTTTCCCCTACCTTTCAAAGATGATCATTTAAGGACCGCAAGGCATACATTATCTCCCCCATTCCCTGGATGAATTTTCACTGGAACAGGTAGGTCATATACCACGCAACCATTGCTCGCTCTTATCGCCCTATCATTTAGCACACCCATGCTAGATCAACTCACGGAAAATCAGGACGTCCTCGACGACGACCTTCGTTGTACCTTCGTAAACCCACTCGGCAGCCACCTCGGTGCCAACCACATGGTAGGATGTATTTTTCTGTCACCCTGAATTTTTTAAACTGACCCGCTCAAAGTTAGAGAACTCAAGGTCACATTCAAACACAGCAAATCATCAGATATCAAGCCTCATGTTAGTCTACTCCTTCTCTTCCTTACAGAGATATAACACTGTGACTAGTCATCGCACCCAACCGTCTGTTGGCCCTCCGATGTCAGGCGATTCATCAAGTAGCGCTGACCACAACCGCCGCAACTTCACACAGGGTCGATACTCAACACAACCTGTTTCCACATCCATTTCCCAGGTCTTAGCCATACCACCGCCACAAATTGACTACTCTATCACCACCAATATGCTTCCGAATTACGACTCCTGGAATAATGTATCGACCCTTCACAGCACCCAGTACCATAATCCGGTGTTAGGAGGTGCCAGTATCGGGCACTCTTCTTCTCCTGCGATAGGAAGCGGCTACTTTGCCCCACCGACATCCCAAGAGTATGTTCTTCGTTACCATGTCTAAGTAGCTGTTTTCTCATAATGACTCTTATACACAGGGTGTATCCGAATGGCCCCTCTTCGCACTCCATCATTTCCTCGCAATATACCATAACTAATAATCCGCCTTTCGTCTTTGACCCTAATATGTCAACCTCCGATTTTTCGCCGTACAATACCTCACCACATCAATGGCAGACTCATACCGTCCCTCAGCCAGGACCTCTAAGCCTACCGCTCACGCCTATGATACCTCCGCCACAGGCTGCAGAATCTTCACCCTTTACATTTGTGATGCAGTCCCATGCAGTTCATGGCGAACAAATAGGCTACCCTTTAAACCAGCCACCAATCAATCAGCCCTTTCCGTTCCCGCCGCATAGCCATCCCTCGTCTCCTCTCATGTCCTGCGAATGGCTAAATGACGCCGCTATACACTGCGGATTTATAGGGACACTGGAGGCATTAAAATCGCACTGTAAGATTGTGCATCTTTCTGGACCAAGGATCGCACAGATTGGATGCCACTGGGAGGGTTGCGACTACCACAGCCGCGATGACCCCACGGTTCGCGTCATGCGGCGCGACTGCATTTGGCGTCATATTTGTGAGGTACATTTGAGACTGAAGAGGGGTAAGATCTAGGCTTCCGCATCTCTTTGCATCGTTGCATTGTTATTTTAGTAATGCCCCGTGTTGCATCATCGCTAGCGCCCATGCTTTCTTCTGTTAAGATAGACCTCGTTCATACACCAGTTCATCACGTGATTTGAGGATAGAATACATGATTTTGGCTCGTAACTCTTTTTAAACTTAGAATTAGCTAAATCTGTTCCAAGATCTTGTGGGGATGTACTACAATATAAAAATGGTCTACTCAGAATCCTTATTTTCGGCGAATTGAAGGAGGAGTAGGCATTTTTGTAGCAGATTCACCATTGTGACCCATTTGTGACTGATGTGACCGTATCAGTGACTCGGACTTAGACGCGAGGGAGATAAACAATTGAAGCGGCCGTTTGATTTCAACGATTTCGATGATGTTCGACACAACGTTCAACAGCCGTTCAAGTTCGAGAATCAATAATTAAATTCAACATGAGGTATCAAGTATATGCGCTACTGATCAAGTTAATCCTGCAGTTTCCAGTTCAGTACGAGGCTCCTCAATCGCGGACCGAACAGCATCTCTTGCTTTTAAGTGCCAACACAGAGGGGGATTTGTGGGGTGGGATCCGGGGAAAGGTGTTGCCTGCAATTGTGGTGAGCCGTGAACAAGTAAGTCACTAAATTATTACATTTTTGTCATTGAACTTTTGCCGTTTTTGATGAGTGGCACCAGCAAAGTTTGCTATGTTTGAAGGCCTCTTTCGTGGCATAGTGAGGTAGATAGACTGTAGTTCAATTTTTCTGCTTCTCATTTCGAGTTAGCGTGTCTGTCACTAATCTAGCGCATCTGTCACGTTGGTGGTGCTCACTTGGGACATTTTGACAATATAATGCCTACTCGTCCTTCAGTTTCTTACATTAGATCATAAAAATTACATGTCCAGCTTGCTACAGACTGTCCACACATAATCTTGGAACAGATTTCGCTCACACTTTGTGTACGACGAGTTATATGCAAATTCATTGAAATGTCACGCTAGGTCACGTGATGAACTGGTGTATGAACGAGGTCTATCTTATATGAGTTAGGTTTGTTGTTGCCGCTTTCTCCCTGCTCTTAGTATCGACCGTCTACCACGGATTTACTCAGTCTCACGTTGCGCAGTTTCTTACCAGTTCATTAATATTTTATGATCTGCCTTGTAATCAAGAGTTCATTCGTTTTCGTTTGGATATCTATAATATTAAATCTGTCCGTATCGCAATGGAAAATGATTGATACCTGCTGTACACATGCGGTGTACATTTCGTAACACTTCATTCGCATTAAAACAACGAGGAACAGACCTGGAAACCATCACACGTCATGCATGCATGAGGCATTATGAAATCGCCCAAGACTGTGTGTTATTTTTAGTGTCGAAACTTGATGCTCTAGGTTCTCTGCGGACCTTCCCAATCTTTTTGAACCATAAGAACGATTGCTTGGCACCGAAGAATACGCATCAATGATCCGGGATCCGGGGTGGCGGAGAAGTCATGGAGTGCACAAACGCATCGTTCGCAGCAGATGAACGTGAGTGTGCATCCACGGCCAAACCCGCTGATGCCCATGAACCTTCTCCCTACAACTCGCTCCGCATGGCTAATTGCCGATGTCGTGTTGACCTGCTGCGATATTGAGGGTGAATACTATGAGGAATCCATCGCGAAGACAAATCGAAAGAGTCATGCAACTTAACCGAAAGGAAACTTACCCTCACAGCACGTTTCTTCCCGAAAAACGTGCAGAGCTCGCCAAACAACTAGCCAGGAGCGTCCAGATCCGGTATCTATACGCACACATCCCTTGAGGGTCCAAAACGTGCAATATCATCATCGTTTGTCATCTCTCGGACACACGAAGCATGTATAGCATACTTTGATGAATCATTCAGCATAAGAAAGCTCACCTTTTAGTACGCGTATGACAGATCCGCCCTACGCATGGCTATCCTCCCCACATCCCACCCGCTGCACAAGGGAGTCAACGCGGCATTCCAGCACGGGGCAAAGCGCAATTTTGTCAAGAAGCGCCTCCCCTCCACACTACATAACTTCCCATACGAATTCAAGATCAGCCCCGCCGAAATGGAAACCATTGAACCCATACGCCACTACTCAAAGTGGATCCCAGATGTGAGGCTTAGTATTGCGCAGAAACCGGAAGAAGCACACCACGAAGATTTGGCAGCGGACGAAGAAATCAGAGCATACTCGGACGGGTCAGCGGTGGACGGAGGAGTAGGGGGAGCGGCAGTGGTGATGGATGGAGAGAGGGTAATAAGAGAGAGACGCTTTCACCTGGGAAGCGATAAGGCCCACACGGTATACGAGGGCGAAATCGTTGGGATGATACTGGCGGTGCAGTTGATAAAGGAGGAGCTTAAGGCGAGGGGAGGCAGACCACGCACCATGGCCCTTGGGGTCGACAACCAAGCGGCTATAAGATCCACCACCGCCTTCCAATCGAAACTGAGACACTACCTCGTCGACAAGTTCCACGACGACCTGCGCAAAACCCTCCAGAACGCCAATTGCAATAAACTCACTATAAGGTGGTCAGCAGGACACATAGGCATACCGGGTAATGAAGCGGCAGACGGGCATGCCAAAAGAGCCGCCAGGGGAGAATCTTCGGAAGCCAACAAACTACCCCGCTCTCTCTTAACACGAGATCGAGCCCCCATCACGCTCCCCATAAGCAAGTCTGCTACCAAACAAGTCTTCAGTGAAATGACACAGCGCGAAGAAAAGGAAGTGTTACGAGAATCGCCACGTTACCCAGAGCTCAGTACCATAGACCCATCCACCCCATCGAAGCGCTTCTCCAACCTCGTCGACGGGCTACCACGCAGACACAACTCGCTATTGTTCCAACTGAGAACAGGCCGCGTACCACTCAACAAGCATCTCCATCGCATATCGAAATCCGCAACCCCCACATGCCCAGCGTGCCAGCAGAAAGATGAATCGGTCCACCACTTCATCATGGAGTGCCCTGCCTACTCCAGACACCGAGATGCAATGAGAGCATCGCTAGACACGCGAGCCTGCAATATCAAGAGTTTGATCAACGACAAAAAGGCAGTCAGAAAGCTACTCACGTACGTCGCCAAGACCAAACGACTCGAACCCATTTTCGGCAATGTCAGCCCGCCCGCCAGCACCAACAGATGAAACCTAAAGATTGGCCCCACCCTCGCCAATTGCACCCAAATGCCTTCAGCAGGCACCCATCATCCTCGCTCCCACCGGGGCCATTACTATAGCGACACAGAGGCAGCAATCAGGATTCAGAACACGATCTAGTAGTACATAGGCATGTAATGTTCACCATAGGGCACCGCCCAACGGACAATAATCAAGGAGTAGTTGAGAAGTACATGTATGTTCAGCGCATAGATGATTTTGAATGTCCGTAGCAAGCCAGTGCTGCGCGGCCTGCGCAGTCACCCGTGTCTGTCATGTGTCAGAGTCACCGCCAAACTTGAATGTACCAATTGCAACTTTGCTCTTTTACTGAACTTCACCTGCAACCTCGAGGCCTCACTGACTCTAGCATTCATCCTCCTGCTGGTAACCGACTGGTGCCCCAGGGCAACTGAACACAACTATATGAACAATTGTGTGTTGACTTGTCCGTGAGCTTAAGCTTAGCATGTTGCACAACACGATATCATAAACTTGAACTCCAGCTTGACTCATGAGGTTCCTCGGCGACCTGGAGGATATTTGCCTGTGGCTGCCCCTTAGTCCAAGGGCTGGTTTTTCTGGAGGTTGAAGAACCTTCACTGATTTATTCCTGATTTTATGGCCGAACTTGAATAGTTTATGGAGTTTTCTAACTGGTAGTCCAGTGGCAGACAGATTCGGATAGATGCAAATTTGATGCAAATTTTTAAGGACAACGGTTGGACAACGGTAAACCATTTTCAACGTTTGTATGCTTACATAATAAATACTGCCCATGGCGGCCCGCTTCGAGACGGCTTCCGTACGAAATAGGCTTCCGCACGATCTTCCATTCAACCAACGTCCTGATTTCACGCATTACGAGCTAGCAATAGCTCACACCCGAACTTTGCAGCACGCGAAATCAAGCCCGAAATCAAGACTTGACAATACTTATGGCAATGACACTACCTAGCTGGTCGAGCGCGTTCAAGGTCACTAGGACAAGCTCCAGTAGACGTGTGATTTCCCGCGATATTGCCAGGCAACAGTGAGTTCCATGCTTACATTACCTTATGCACCTCCTAATAACAGAATTTCGGGCTAGTTCAACGCGCAGAATGTCTACCGTTACTGCAGATGCCCCGCCCACCCCCTCAGGCAACCTCCCGCTGTCAGGAGTCCGGGTTCTTGAGCTTGGACAACTCATTGCTGGCCCATTCTGTGGTCAATTGCTGGGGTAAGTTCTCGAAAAAGCAGCTTGATATCACGCAGAACTGTAAATAGGCATTTTGGTGCAGATGTAATCAAGGTTGAGCCACCTTCAACTGGAGACCCGCTACGAGTATGGCGCGAACTTGACATTGACGGAACGAGCCCTTGGTTTCGAAGCCTCGCGAGAAATAAGAAGAGCATTGCTATTGACCTGAGGAAACAGGAAGGAAGAGAGTACGTTGAAGATCAAGGTTTTGTCGTCTCGATTTCATATCCTATTACAGAATCGTGAAGCGGCTGGCTGTGAGAAGCGATGTCATAGTCGAAAACTTCAAGCCTGGAAGTGAGTTGGCATCAGCCCGGTTTGTATATTTGCACTATGCTCAAGGGTATCTTTAGCCCTGGAAAAATGGGGTCTTGGGCCACAGGAGTTACACAAGGAGAATCCTTCCCTGATCTTCACCCGTGTCAGCGGATATGGTCAAACAGGTCCATGGGCTTCACGACCAGGATATGCGTCTGTATGTGAAGCCGAGTCAGGATTTCGTTTTATAAATGGACAACCAGACCCGAATACCGGACTGCTTTCGGGTCCTCCAATAAGACCTAACATCAGTCTCGGTGACTCTGTCGCTGGTTTACACGCAGCGTTTGGCACTGTGAGAGGCCTCGTGATGTTTGATGTACATATCTTGACGTTCCCCAGGTGCTGGCACTGTTGTCGAAGCAGAAAAAGGCTTCACGAGGGGAGCAAGGTGGTGAGACGGTTGATGTGAGCATTATGGAGAGGTAAAAATCCACCACTTTTTACGACCTCCACTGGACGCTTTGCAGCATGTTGAACCTGATGGAAGGCATAATTCCAGAGTACGACCGTAAAGGCAAGGTGGGAGTTCACTGCGTGTCCGTTTGAATCATTTCCAATTTTCACATTCACAGGTCCGTGGGCCATCGGGTTCGTCGGTGACCGGCATAGTTCCCACTAACGCCTACCCCTGCCTCCCATTACCATCAACACCCACCTCGCCAACATACATAATCATCGGTGCAAATGGAGATACCCTCTACGCACGACTTATGCATGCCATTGGCCGTGAAGACCTCATAGGAGCGTCGTATGCTCAAAATCACCATCGCGTCGCACGGCAAGGTGAGATCGAAGAAGCCATTTCAGCATGGACCAGTCAGCGGCAAGTTGAAGAAGTTCTGACCGTTCTCGAGGGCGCTGGCATCCCTGTCGGACGCGTCGTAGGCGTGAAAGAGATCGTGGAAGGCGAACAAGTAAAGGCCAGAGGAGCCGTGGAGGACGTAGAGGTTGGTGGGGATGGAGGGGGATGGAAAGTCAAGATGCCGAGAGTGTTTCCTGTGCTCGAAGGCTGTGATACGAAGACCAGATGGGCAGGACCTGACCTGGGTGCACATACAGATGAAATCTTGGGAGAATTAGGGCTGAACGTTGAAGGTATCATCCGATTGAGAGAAAAGGGCGTTATTGGTTGAGTTAAGCGGGCCAGGTGAAATCGATGCGGTCCTGCCGCGGTCGTGACGTCCCCAGTGTGGGTAATAAACTTCTATGCATATATATTCCTACCAGTACAATGATACGTCACGGTGAACAGGACTAGAATCTGGTATGTTTCGATCATTCAATCAAGCAGCGAAAATCATGGCTGTAATATTTAACTGGTATTCTACAAGGTCAGATACTCATTCGTTATTACCGGATAGTGTCACCGAGCCAAGACCTCAGGATCAGGCCATAAATAAGGAATCTCAGGGACACGAGACCCAAGTTGGACTGAATCGTCGAACCAATGTGGTGTAATGATGGACATGCCGGTATATGGTGCAAAATACATTGCAGTTTGGTACTACGACATGAGGGTTAGCGCAGTGAACAATGGTCCCATAGTAAATGAAACAGAGAGAGTAAGTACCTTATTGCTTTGTTTATGCAATGCGAAGAGATGGGTCACATCTCGGGTAAGGGCTGTTCGCCACTGCCCTCCTAATGAGATGATGCTAGCTGACAGAACTTCAAGGTCCCATTGGGAGAGCTTGTAATCAACATCAACATCATATAATGTGATCAAGGACAGTTCACTCACATCCGTGGCGCATGCAACAACACCTGAAAAAATCATGATTGGATCAGGTGAATAGTACCGCTCGCTGACATTGATCGTCAATGCCTTCGTACTGAAGTGAAAGGTAGAGGAGACTCACGGTTGAAGTTTTCCAAGGACTACGCACCGTTGTACCCACATGTCTGACACTACATGCAGAGATCCCTCGTATTCACCCTGAATGTGTGATCCAGCAAGCGCAATAATATGAGTGTGTGGTGGTGCGCTCGTTGCACCGTGGAGATCTAGCAAGGCTGAGAGTTCCTTGTGTCGTGCCGCTTGTATTGAAGATGAAAGGGCGTAGTGTACACCATTGAAGAGGGCCATACACGAAAGCTTCAACGTGTATGTGAGAGGGAGTGTGACACAATAGATCAATGGAACGTCCTTACAGCAACTGTGTTACAGTTCGCGGGCATTGATGTCCGAGTCACCGGCACATCTGATCCAAGTAGTTATGGTACGTCACGGTGACTCCAAGAAGAGGTATCAGACAACTTGAATAAACAAAAAAAAATCAAAGCGTCAGGGTCAGGGTCAAAAAGCAGGACGGTACCTGCAGGCAACAAGCGGTGGGGTTTGGATGCTGGCCAACGTCACAGGCGATGGAATGTGTATCTCGGCATTCCTGATGAATGGGTTTCTGGAAGAGATTATAGCGAGAGTGAACTTGGAGTGAGGAAGACATTACCTGCTCCGTTCGATAGATATCTAACTTGTGTGATTGACAGCACGGCCCCTTATTCAGTGATGACTCTGATGCTACATCTTTGAAGTCTGCAGACGAGTTATCCGAAGCTGTAGTTCCTTCTCTGCCGGCTGAAGAATGTCCGCCCGTTAAACGTCGATGTGTTCCACAGGCTCGAAGGGTCCAGAGAGGGAGGATAAGAAAAGAAAATAGTCATTGGCTCATGTCCCTAGTTGTACATGTCCCTAGGCAGATAAAATAACAAAGGAATGGTCATGAACTCATCCAACTTGATCGGGAAGTCGAATTAGAACATAGGAAATTGGAATGGCGCGTTAGTGACCGCGTCACATGCTCGTCACGCCGCGTCACGACATCCGATTGAGTCGGACGTCGAAGAGTCGAAGGGGGCGTTATTGGTTGAGTTAAGCCGGTATTTGAATCTTCTGTAGTATAATTATATCTGCCCCGATCATCATGCATAATGCATCATGACTGTTATAAATTACCATCATGATCCTATCAGAGCGATGTACTATGTAAACTTTGCCCGTTTGATCGGATACCACATAGCAAGCATACTGACATGAACCTGATGTGACAAACACCATAAATGTCACCTCGCACCCCAGCTGGCGAGCAGACTTATGTCCACAAATTCGCATCGCGACTTCACGACATCTCGAAATACCACAAGAAGCCAGTGGGACATCCTACGATGACTGCACCGAGCTTTGCGATTTCTTCGAGTCTCTTGCCATCATCAATCCTTTCAAATAACTTCACTCCACCACCTTCTACACCACCCACAACCAGATACTTACCTCGTGACGTCGTCACTTCTAAATGCTATCCTCCAGACATGGTTCAACCCTATCCACACTTCGTTCACTAGTTCTGGCTGGCCCTCTCTAGCGGTGAGAGTGAATATCGTAGTAGTGTCTGATCACCCTCTAATTGAGTCATTCCTGTTCGACGTGGAGATGAATGTTTCTTGGAAGGATGCGTTCCGAGGTTCAGGTAGCAGAATTTATACTGCCGTCATAGTATCTGGCACCAGCAACGCAGAAAGCGCGGACAGAGAGATGTGAGAAGTGCGATAGGCGCTGGAACCAGAGGGAACGTGTGTAACAGTGTATAGCGAACTTTATGTAAGGTAAGCTCCGATATTAATAGTGTGTAAAGGGTAGTTCAGGCTATTATAAGAATCAATGAGATTTCAGCAGTCGATGTGAATGTCCGATTCAAAGTCAAAATGATCACTGAGTCTCCAGGCCTTATCCGCGCCCAGATCCAGGACCACATCAGTGAATTCATGAGTCCGTGACATGGTAGTCATGAGACCTATAGACCGATGCAATTACGCTTTTGCCAAATATATCTATGTATTCTAGAAGAAATTTGTGTTGTTCATAAATGACCATTGATTTACATGGTAAAATGGCACTGAAAGCGTCCATGGCTTTAGTGAGTATGTAAAGGGCAGGCGTTGATATCGGAAGAATATTGTGCCCTAGGCATACTGGGTGTGAATGCGAGAAAGGGAAATTTCCTCACTTCGGAGTCGTGGGGGCTCTGATTTCATTCGCGAGGATAAGCTTGTTGCTTCTGCAACATTCAACTACTAGAGAACCTGGGCCACTGGCATAGCTCACACATGAAACCTCTACAGTCATTGCCATCGTTAATAGACTATCCAGTCGTGTGCTTGTGCACCACAGAGAAGTCAACTAGAAGCTTTACAACGACACCTAATGTACAAGCGCATCCGGAAAAGTAATTCACTACAGAGTGCTACAGACCGCTGTAGCATTCTGTAGCACAATTCAACCCGCGGATGAGAATGACATGAGAATCGGAACGTAGATTCTAGTGACGCCTACGCCTGCCCTGCGTCTTCTGACCAGACCTAGACACGCGTTCTTGTCTAGGATTCATAATACGGCGGAGCAGGTACCTTAAGAGACCACCAGCATATGCATTATCCCTTGGAAAGAACTTTCCAGTCGCTTTGGTATACTCGCTCAGCTTCGCCTCCGAGACAAATATGGTCACTGGCTTCCCGGTCACTTTTGTATCGATCAAGTCAACTATATTGACATGAGTTGCTTTGACCGCCTAAAATGTGACCATACTTGTCAGTATAACGCAGGTGGCAACAAGTTGGGTTCCTACCTCGCGGCATGATTCGAGAGTGTCAGGAATCGGTGAAATGCGGACGATCTGACACAAATTGTGCCATGAACTGAGATTATTCACATCCGTGCCATATATCTCGTTGAACTGCTGAACAAGGGCGTCCTTGAAATCACAGTGAGCTTGTTCTCTCTCTTCGTCTTCCCTATTCCAGCAAAACTGGTCGCACATCCGGTAAAACTCCGATGAAGCTGACGCAGACGAGTTGTAGTCGAACGCGGGATATGTTTCAAAAAAATCGTCTAGAGGTGTCTGTGTCTGTGTTTTGGATGTATGTGTTAGTCTGTCTGTGAGATTGAAGGTGGCTATATTGACCTACACCATTGGTGATTTTGACTTCGCCATGCGCAAACCTGCACTTGGAGCCGAATCGACAAGTAGCTGTCTGTGAATAGCTGTAGCACACCCTAGGGGACGATGGCATCTTTTAGTAACAAGTACTACACGTCGTACTCGTCCAGAATATAGCCAGGTGGGGGGTCTTTATATGACGGAGTCCTTGAATGCCCGATCACAGGAAAGGATAGTCTTCGCGCCTGACCAGTAGATCAAATTGGAACTTCATCACCATGTGGATCCACAAGCACTTCATGTGCCAAGCCAGCTTCTAGACGTACGTGTGGGAGACAAGTGTATCCTATTGAGAGATAGAACTGTATAACTTACGTGTGTACAGCACACGCACCCAAACTTCGACCGGATAACGGGATTGCATTTCAAATCACGACTCGTAACAAGTCGTTCGCAGCCGTCCGAGGTATCTTGTTGCGACTGTGCGACAGGAATTTTATGGTACAAGATACAGAGAGCGGGTAACTGCTTATGGAACGTTCGGGCACACCCACATTCCAGCCGGGGAGTGCCGCAACCCCTTCAATTGAACGTTCAACTTAACCTCGATATTATGACTGATAGCGCGACAAAAATACTGCAGGCCCGAGTATCATGCGCGCCAACATCGACATCCAGAAGCTCAATACATACTTGAAATTACATGTGCCGGTTATCGCTACTACCAAACAGTTCAAGGTACGGTCACAATCTATTGAGAATGGTACTTTTTTGCCATCTCTCTATTGTATTAATATGCTAAGCCTGATTACCCAAAGCTGGCTCTCAGCTATCTGCTCGTTGGCAGCATTGGCTTCTCTTGACCCATTCCAATTAGGCCTCAAGAACTTTGATCATACGACTGATTACTTCCCCCGTCAAATCAAATCTTTTACACGCATATCGGTTGCTCAATGCCAGGCTATAGATATCGAGACAGGAAAAGCAACAGGAAATATTCCGTATTTTGAAGAAATGGTCGGTTGGTACCAGAGGCACCTCCCGGACGAGAGTAAAACTGGGCTGCAGATTGTCCACGGGGACTACAAGCTTGACGACATGATATTTCATCCAGGATAATTGGCATACTGGACTGGGAGTTATGTGCTCTAGGTAGTCCGGTACATCCACCGATCACCGTCTTCCGCATCTTGATCTAAATTCACTGCATAGCTTGCTGACCTCGCGAACCTTACTCAACCATGGGCAATCGACGCTCGTCATCATATACCCAAGGATTCCCTGCTCACTGAATTCACAATCATCAGGCCGTTCAAGAATGCTACAAAAGATGTCCCTATATCCTTAGAAGACCTTGAGCACGAGTACTCCAGGCCGACCAACCAACCATATCCCATCAAAGAAATTAATGGTCTTTGTCCGTAGTTGGATACTCTTCCGGGTACGTGCTATACCCAGGTACAGGATAGTATATATTCACCTGGTTGTTTTTAAGCTTGCCATAATATCGCAAGGTACTGCTGCCAGATATGCGCGACGGCAGGCGAACTCGGAAAAAGCTTTTCTTCACCCACAATTATTTCCTTTGGTTGGTCGGTTGGCAAAGTCGATCTTTGGAAGACGTTGGATTCACTATTGATATGAAACCAAAACTATAGCATTGTTCGTCAAGTCCGTGTTATATAACCTATGCAATGAAGGACGTTCTGTATCTACATATGTGACAATTTCGCCATATAGCTTACTGCAAACTGGGATAATTTGCATCCAAGTATCTTATCAATGTAGATACAGCTGGTCGCTTCCCGCCCTTTTCCCAACAGGTCTCCAGCGCCGACCATGTCGTCCTTGACACTCGAGGGTGACTATTCCTGCTGGGTATTTCCCCTCCAGAGATACACACGATAAGCTCGGTATCCTCAATCTGATCGGGGTACGGCACAATGCCAGATAAAATCTAGTAACACACTCAGTATCTGCAATTTTGGTGACAATGATTTTCTAACGCACCTCTAGACCCGTCATACCTGCCGACCAGATGTCCGATTGCACGGTGGGTAGCAGTGCTGATGCCGAAGTGTTCGCGGGATTCATCAACTCTGGTGCCATATAACGGAGTGTGCCAACCGAATTTACAGTAGTCGTCGTGAAACCATGAGCTTCAAGGACAAGGGAAAGGCCGAAGTCCGTCAAAACTGCATTCCAAGAGTCGTCAATGAGAACATTTGTCTACAATGAGTATAAGTCAGTATTCCCGCAGATAAAAATTGTGTGCTGACAGGTTTGAGGTCTCCATGGATGACTTTGTTGCGGTGCAGATATTCTAATCCAGACAAAAATTGGCGAAACTATCCAGACATCATTGAATATGCGCGACTATGAATGAAATATATACATACAAGTTGCCATCTCTCGTGGTTGTTGTGGATATGCACCAGACGGTCTTTCAGTGTTCTGTTCCTATAAAACGTTGATACTAGACGGGGGATACGATACCTCTGTGTATGTTGTTCATAGTACACACCGATGAATCGAGCCACGTTGGGATGATCCAGCGTGCTCCAAATTTTTGCCTCTCGCAAAATTTTCTGAAGGCAGACAAGTAAAAAGGATGACCTATGAATAAACGATTTACATACCCGTATGGTTTTGTCCGCAATGCGGTTGTTTGACAGAAGTGATGATCTCAAGATCTTCACAGCTACCTACATCGACGAGTGAATATATACGTCACTAGTGACCGAGTAGCACGTACGGTATAACTATAACCTTGCGTGGTGTAGATTCCCGTCCAAACGTCTGCGAAGCTTCCACTGCCGAATGGGCGATTGCCAATGTCGGTCGTCACGACCATTCCCGTCAGATCATCTACATCGATTTTTGCGAGATTAAAAGCCATTGGAGGATAGTATGGATGACTACAAAAATGAGTATTGGTGGATAGATTTCAAGTTGGGATGGATAGCAGGCAGGAAGCAGAATCTAGATGATGAGTGCCATACTGCCTGAGCAGGTCCAACTTAAGTATGTTTCCCGGACGAGGTGTCTAGAGTCCTCATGCCCTGAGTAGGGAAAATGACCATAGTGACGAAGTTGTTGTACATGGTAGACAAGAAAGCCGGATGCACGTCAAAGCTCGCTTCAAGGATTGCCACATTGGGTTCATCCTGAGTTAGATATCGAGTTGCCAAGACGTTTACAATAAGGATTCAAGAGATGAGTCAAGATTCAGATGATTTCTAAGGTACTGTGGGGCCATTTGATGATCAGTTACTTATGTTACATTGTAGTACATTGTACAATGGTAGTCAGAGTACTTGCTAGTGAAGCGTGTGATTATGAGACAAGTCATGTGAAAACCGCGACCCACTTTGAGCAACCTCTATGTAGTATGACATACTGACTCAATTCAAATCTACGACTCGACCACTCGTGACGAGTGAAGACCATGCGCCCGATCCTCCTGCACAAGCCAACAGATGCAGCCAAGTAAATGTTGACCAAAGCTAGGTACGTGGTTCATTGCTGACAGCCCATAACCTGCCGATATATATTATAAACTGACAAGAATTGCGTGGTTGAAGGATTAGCGCTTCACGTTAACCGTGACGTGTTGGTTACTATGCTTCGAGGGATCTTTCCGAAGGATCTGCCTCAAGGTCTATTTATTCCCTTCTCGCAGTGTACCGTACCCCCACCGTTTCTCACACTAACTCAATCCAACTCTACGACTACTCGTGATGAGTGAAGACCATACGCCCGATCCTCCTGCAGAAGCCAACAGACGCAGCCAAGCAAATATTGGTCAAAGCCAGGTACGTGCTTTTTTGTAATTCATCGCTGGCAGCCCTCATGTATTTTTTGTCCAGGGCGCCGAACCTCTTAGAGGAGTCTGTCAGTCCCTGCAGAAATTGAAAAATGGGTTAACAAAAAAACTTCCTGTGCGTAGATGCGAATGCAGATTGTCTTGAATACGGCTGAGTTTGTGCAGAAACCCTTCAAGCGAAAACGAAACCGCACCGTTGTGGTCCAGAACATCGAACTTCAAGGTGCTCCAGCACCCGCTGTACAGGTATTTTCGTCTGATGATTTGCTTTTTCTTCTTTAAATTTTAGCAATCGCACAGATTCAGGCCGCTCCTTCTGGCGTGGAGGAAGGTCCTGATCCCAAACTAGTTGATGCTGAACTTCAGGGTGCTCGTGAGGGCACAGAAAGCATGAGGCTACTCGGGGGACATGTGACTTCTGTGGCGTCCACAGCCAGCAATGCCCTGGCAGGTCTCACCACCATGGATGACTTCGAGACGACATATCTTCAACCCCTAAAGATCATCGACGCTGTCCTTGAGAAGATTACGGATGTATGGGTCATTCTCGTTTATGGGAAGCGAACTAATCAAGTTGTATAGGTGCATCCGTACGCAAAAATGGCGCTGGGCGTCTTGTCTGCTGCATCCAAAGTACGTTCGGTTTCTCCCGGAGTTCTATCTCTTGCTCAGTATAATTCCATGTAGGTTATCATCACTCAAGCAGAGCGCGACCAATCAGTCCATGGTCTTCTCAAGAAATTGGCTGAAGTTTACCTCTTCATGACCCAAGATGACACTCTTGGCAAAATTGAATCAATGTGCAATATCGTTGGAAACATCGTTCAGCAGACTCTTGAGTGTGCCCATTTTATCAAGAACTACTCCGAGACAAAGAGCTTTTGTGAGTCGCCAAGCTATCGCACTTTGTACATGAATCTTACACTATTATCATAGGGAAGAGACTTGGGAAAAGCATTCTCTCGGAAACCAACATCATCATTAAGCGGTATAGCGATACTTTGGACAGACTCATGCAACAATTCCGGGACCAAGTTGACCGAAACGTTGCCATCTTCGTCCAACGTACGGGTAAGAATTCTGACACGTTTCTGTCTTCACATTCACTCACACCGTTTCAGGTGATACCCTGGATCTTGGTGATATTGCTTATGCAAAGGGCGTAGGACTAGATACCACGAAACAGTGCCTATCAGGGACGCGCACGGAGATTCTCTCCCAAATTTCCGATTGGATCAATGACAGTGGAGACGCTGCTGAACGTGTGCTGTGGCTATCTGGGCCTGCAGGCACGGGCAAGTCAGCCATCGCTCACACAATTGCCAAGTGGTTCAACGACATGGGAGTGCTTGGTTCATGTTTCTGCTTCGACAAGGCCCAAGAAGCCGAGAAACACCACGAAAAAGTTTTCTCCACCATCGCTCGTGACCTAGCTGATCGGGATCCAGAGATGAGACGATCATTAGTGGATGCGGTTAAAAAGTCTACGTCACTCAAGAACTCGAGGGATATTTTCCAACAGTGGGATAAGCTTCTCATAGGACCACTGAAGAAATTGTCTAGGTCAAGTGTGGGACCTGTCTTGATTGTGATCGAGGCGCTGGACGAGAGCGGTGGAGTGGAGACGCGGCGGGACCTTCTCCGCATACTTACCGGTAAAGTTCAGAACACAGATCTTCCAAAAATCACAGAACTTCCATCCAACTTTCGGATTCTCGTTACCTCTCGCCCACTTCATGACATAGAAGATGCATTTCATGACGTTCAGCATACTCTACGGTTATCCATGGACGAGATACCAACAGCAGTGTCGGAGCGCGACATCTGCGCTTTTGTGTCTGACAAGCTACAAGGGTTATCGTGCTTTGGGAAGGAAGAGTTTGAAAACCTCGCTGCGAAAGCCAATGGACTTTTTGAGTGGGCACGTCTTGCATGCGAATATATCACGGAAGACCTTCCCGGCGTAAATCCAAGGTCTCGCTTTGAAACTGTTGTGAACCGTGATCCTGGGAAATGGACAAACAAGTTGTATGATATGTATCGGCTTATTCTGGCAGAGATTTGGCCACGACATCGGTATGGCGATGCCGAGTACCAGGAAGCACTAGCGGGGTTTCGTTCTGTGATGGGGCAAATACTCAGCACGGCTGAACCCCTCCCGTTCGATTCCCTCAACGCCATGCGGGATTGTTTTCCGGACCACAACAAACATTACAAACTGGGCATCATACAACATATGGGATCCCTCCTCAGTGGCACAACAGACTCATGTATCCCCGTCAGACCCCTCCACACATCCTTCCAAGAGTTCCTAACAGATAAATCATCCAGCGGAGACTTTTTCGTTGACGTGACGAAGACACAACACCACGACTTAGCGTTGGCGTCACTTCGAGTGATGGAACGTGGCCTCCGCTTCAATATGTGTGATTTAGAGTCATCATACCTCCCTAATCGCGAAGATACCGGACTGCCTCAACGAGTCAAAACATCCATTCCCCTACATCTCGCCTATTCCTGTCGACATTGGGCTACGCATGTTCAAAAAATGGACTTCGACGATGAGCTCGCAAAGGCGATTAGATCATTCTTCAACCACGAGCGACTGCTGTTCTGGATTGAAGCACTCGGACTTCTCAACGCAATCAGCGGTGCAATTACTGGGCTTCCACTCGTTGCTAAGTGGCTGAAGGTGAGCACATGCCTACGACACGGTGTCGGACGCACAGCTCATAAATAAACATAGGGCCATTTTGGATACGAAGATTTACGGACCACCACAATGGATGTACAAAGATTCATTCAAGTGTTTGGCGGCATCATTTTGCATAGCACCCCGCATCTATATGTATCAGCGCTACCATTCTCACCCATCAACTCCACCATGGCTACCAATTTTACTGCAAGGTTTCCGAACAACCTTCGTCTGGCATCCGGCCGTGATTTGAACTGGACGGTTGCCCAGACCGTGATCAGTGGGCACTCTGGAGGGGTCGCCTCAGTCTCGTTCTCACCAGATGGTACTCGCATCGTGTCTGGTTCGGAGGATGAGACTGTGCGGCTGTGGGATGCATGGACGGGACAACCATTGGGGGAGCCCTTGCAGGGGCACACTGGACTGGTTTCCTCAGTTTCGTTCTCCCCGGATGGTACTCGCATCGCGTCTGGTTCATTGGATGTCACTGTGCGGCTGTGGGATGCATGCACGAGACAGCCATTGGGCGAGCCCTTGGAGGGGCACACTGGAGCGGTTCTCTCAGTCTCGTTCTCGCCTGATAATTCTCGCATCGCGTCTGGTTCGGAAGATAGGACTGTGCGGCTTTGGGATGCATGGACGGGGCGGCCATTGGGTGAGCCCTTGGAGGGGCACACTGATTGGGTTCGCTCAGTCTCGTTCTCACCAGATGGTACTCGCATTGCATCTGGTTCCGACGATAACACCGTGCGGCTGTGGGATGCGGTGACAGGACAGCCATTAGGAGAGCCCTTGGAGGGGCACACTGGAGCGGTTTATTCAGTCTCGTTCTCACCGGATGGTACTCGCATTGTGTCTGGTTCGGAGGATAAGAGTGTGCGGCTGTGGGATGCATGGACAGGACAGCCATTGGGTGAGCCCTTGGAGGGGCACACTGGACTGGTTCGCTCAGTCTCGTTCTCACCAGATGGTACTCGCATCGCGTCCGGTTCTTTCGATAATACTGTGCGGTTGTGGGATGCGGCGACAGGACAGCCATTGGGGGAGCCCTTGGACGGACACACTAATTGTATTTGCTCAGTCTCGTTCTCACCGGATAGTACTCGCATCGTGTCCGGTTCTTTCGATAATACCGTGCGGCTGTGGGATGTGGCGATTGGACAGTCATTTGGAGAGCCCTTGGAGGGGCACACTGATTGGATTCGTTCAGTCTCATTCTCACCAGATGGTACTCGCATCGTGTCTGGTTCGAGAGACATGACTGTGCGGCTGTGGGATGCATGGACGGGACGGCCGTTGTGTAAGCCTTTAGAGGGGCACACTGGAATTGTTTGGTCAGTCTCGTTCTCACCGGGTGGTACTCACGTCGCGTCCGGTTCTTCCGATAATACTGTGCGGCTGTGGGACGCATGGACGGGGCAACCATTGGGTGAGCCCTTGGAGGGGCACACTGATTGGGTTCGCTCAGTCTCATTCTCACCAGATGGTACTCGCATCGCATCTGGTTCCGACGATAACACTGTGCGGCTGTGGGATGTGGCGACAGGACAGCCATTAGGAGAGCCCTTGGAGGGGCATACTGGAGCGGTTTACTCAGTCTCATTCTCACCGGATGGTACTCACATCGTGTCTGGTTCGGAGGACGAGACTGTGCGGTTGTGGGATGCATGGACGGGACAGCCACTGGGCGAGCCCTTGGAGGGGCACGTTGAAGGAGTTTACTCAGTCTCATTTTCACCAGATGGTACTCGCATCGCATCTGGTTCATCGGATAATACTGTGCGGCTGTGGGATGCGGCGACGGGACAGCCATTGGGAGAGCCCTTGGAGGGGCACACTGATTGGGTTTGGTCAGTCTCGTTCTCACCAGACGGTACTCGCATCGTGTCTGGTTCGGGAGATAAGACTGTGCGGCTGTGGGATGTAGCGACCAGACGGCCATTAGGAGAGCCCTTAGAGGGGCACACTGCATTGGTTTATTCAGTCTCGTTCTCACCGGACGGTACTCGCATCATATCTGGTTCATCAGATAAGACTGTCCGTATGTGGAGTGCAGTGAAACTGCAGCCATCCCCCGAGTCCAGAGAGCCAGATTCCTTCGCATCTCCACTTCACCACAGCACCACACCTCTCACTCAAGAAAGCCATATCATGCCAACCAACACTTATCACGCCCACCACATTTGCTTCTCGCCCAGAGTTGAAGATGCCCTGCCCAATCCCGCTGACTTGCTCGAACCCACCTCTCACGACGATTGTAATCCAACCCCTTTCTTGCTGCAGGCTGATGGACGGATGATGGGCCCCAATCGCCGGCTCCTTTTCTGGGTACCTCCCGCTTCCCGACATGCATTTTATACCCCTTGGACTTCATTGGTGATTTCAAGAGGAGGTGCCGAGCTCGATTTGAGCCGCATGGCACATGGGACAAACTGGTCTAGTTGCCGGGATGCGTAAGTTCTTAGTCTTTACCACCCGTCCTCGCAGTGGCTAATATTGATCCTTCTAGCTCCACGTAATAGTGATTTCATTACTGCACTATGGAGTGTACCGTTGATTCTTTGATTTTATACTTAGCACTTCGTCTGAATAAGTTATGGTTGTTCCACTGAATGATGTGCTAATGTTGTTCCTGATTCGTGATGCATCTAGTACCGGGACCTAATTCATATTGATACTTCATATACAACCGTACAGTACCAAATCTCTAAATAGCATGTGTAATTATTCCTTGTTCGATCCGATCCAACGTGCTAAAATCCAAAGCATTTCCCTCGAGCCCCTTCAACTTCGTTAAAGCTGGTCCTCTTCCACTCCTTGAGAGCTGCAAATTCAGCCGCAGCATCGTGAGCCAACTTAGATACACCTCTGCAGTCTTACCTTGGACTGCAGCTTCGCATACTTGAATTTTTCGGACCAGTTTCAATTGCTTATATGCGGTATATGTATGTGTATTGGATTTGGAACCATTTCCGAGAGAAATCCAGAGGGTGTCCCTCACCCTACCCTGGCCACTGTAACACAAGGTGCACTTAAATTCGATGAGTATGAATAGCAATAATAATTTAAAGTTGAGCCAAGAGCCGCCGACCCCGATCCTGTACGCGTTCTGAACATCAACCAAAGTGCAGGTTGTAGCTAGCCATGTACTGCTGATCATGATTGTGGAGACGAAGTCGGAGATAAACTTGAGTGGAATCTGAGACTGAAAAGAGAGAACGCGGAGCAAATGCACGTTGTTGTACTTTTGTGACCTTGTTTTATGGTCGGCACTTATTCACTGGCAATAACATTCATGCGTCTCCTTCAAAGTAATACCCTGCTGAGGCCTTGTACAACTTTACATAAATACGGTTTCCTTGGCTCTCTTGTTTTCATGCTTCTCATCGTGACCTCGTCAAGACGTTCTCAACACGGAACAAGTACCTGATAGTATTTTATATACACGATGTCCACTGGCAGCCGGTTCCATTCACAGCACCATGGGTAACGGTCCCTCTATATTCGTGCGCACGCCGCAAGAGCATCTAGAGCGCATGTGGAAAAATCCCAGTCCACTCGCATATTCCTGTCCACCTAGGTGTGTGAGCTCTACATGAACATCGCTTGGTACTAATTACTGGGCCAACAGACACGTCCGCGTTTACCTCCTTCCAGAATGGACTCAAGGTAAAAATCCGATGAAGGAGCCATGGGCTGCACTAAAAAACGACTTTGCGCTCGAACCTACGGGCGAGTTGAATTTGAAGAAAGTGAAGGGTAAGTGGGCCCTGGAGCGGTGTTCGGTGCGTGCTACCTACTGGTACCCTGTCTACCAAAATGTTGATTGATGTGACAGGCGATCGATCTGGAGAGAATGCAGTCGTTTGAGGAGAAGTGCAAGGGGAGATTGTCGCCACTTGCTTTAAAAGTGTTGGCTGATTCGAAGGGTGTTGTTTGGATGTACGGTGAGTTCGTGATGCTCTTGAAACGTGCTGGTCGTGTTTGTTTTGTAGGGGAGACTTATTGTTCCGTGTATGCCCTTCCGAGACATACCTTTTGATGTATCTAATGCAGTTTCATGCCCCAATGCTCATTCTTCGTCTTCCAATACAGAACCAACGCCCTCTGAAGACACCGTATCCATACGCGCAGACCGTCTACGTATTGTGCGGCAGTACGATACCGCGGTCGAACGCGTTATGGAAGCGACGCTAGGTCGCATATCAAAACTACTCGATAATGGCGTAGTGGGAGAAAGCGTGTCTCATCACTACCCCAAATACTCTGGTGCTGACCCAGGCATTCCCGATGTGCCGCAGGAAGCACACAGCAAAGAAGCATCGGTCAAGGGGAACGTTGGGGAGGCCGAAGGTAGCAAAACAAGCGCAACTCTATATCAACAGCAACGACAACTTATATTCTTTGCGGCGCTTTTGTTCTTATTTTATTCTGGCGCGCTGGGTCGATATGCTCGATTCGGGAGGGATCTTGCTTTTGGGTGGTGAGCATTTGATTGACAGTTTTTTTTTCTGATAACCATGCATGTATGCCCTTCCTCGTGTTCACTATGCCTTCTTTTTCATGCCTCATGATTTACTACTACCGCATACGTAATTGGTCCACTTGTAATGTTGAAACTATGTCCTATGCGCAATTTTTTCTTGACACCAGTCCCAGGCCAGGCTCTTCTAGCAATTCCCGCATGACCAAGCAAGCAACATCGCATCCTGGCGTCTATGGAAACACCAGGAGTACATTTGAGGTGTATTATGATCAAATCCAGATCTCATAGCAGTTTTCCGAAGAATGTGCCTTGACGAAAATAGCAACAGAAACAGGTACACGTACTATCAGTACTTGCGCTAAAGCATATATATGCTGTGTCGTCTGGTTTGTGGCCTAGTGGTTCTTCCTCAGATGCTGAGGTATGTCTCTGTCTTCATGCTGTCTCTCCCTCTTACGATATTCTTTCTCTAGCACCACCCTAAGGTAGCGTGGACTTTTTCATAGCGGTTGTTCTTGACGCTGAGCAACATCCTTTATCTGCTACTTCCAATATCATTTTCTACCCAGACTCGGCGGATTGAGCTCCGTATATCGGCTGACGACGAGTTCGCCAACCACGAGGAGTCTCTTCAGATCCTATATCAGATGGAGATGGGGATGAGACACCTGAGAAGCTTCATCGGGTGTTTATGCATGTTGTGAATGTGCCAGAGGACACTGCGGACTTACTGTCTTGCATATGCGGCGTCCACGTACTTGCAATTCATGGCGAGAATAAACAACGGCTCCTCCAGGACATCGTGACTGAGGGCTTCCAGATGATGTTGCATCATACGCTCCGCCACTAGCCCTGCCATCTTTATCTGAAGATGAGATTCAGGCAGCCATCTCATCGCTGCGAAACATTGTGGCTCCGTGTTTGGCTTTATACCCAGAGTCTTGCTTGCTGCAGACTGCAACTGCCTTGCGTCATCTTCCCTGTCACGGAAGTCAGACAGCAGCGTGGTCCAGCCGAAGAGACCCCGCACGTATGGATTCAAGGCACAGATTTCATGACCTGCTTACTAGTATCACGAGCGATGAGAAGCTGGTCCAGTTCTCCCAGGAAAAGCCTACGCGACAGATATTCTTCCTTCCGTCCATGGGACAGTCGTCTCCTCGACCTGCCCAACTTTGGAGACGATGCAGAAAGCTTGGGAGATTGGTCCGAACCTTTTCGTTGTACAGTACCATTCGCACAACAACCATCCTGTCAAAGAGGGACTGGCTGATTTAGAATCCCTCTTAGTACAAGCATTACGATTCATCATTCGCCTTGGACAGCCGTTCAGTGCAATTCCGCCTCACGACGATACTATAGCATCCCTGACACTCACGACAACCAACCTCACCTCGGCAATATTCCGCCTTCTTCGCCATCCGTATCCCAAACTCAGGTTTTGTACCATCAAGCTGCGCGTACGACGGCCGAGGGCCGTCGACGAGGTTGTAGTTGGTCCTGTCGAGGGGAAAGGTTCTGATTTGGAAAGGTCGCGCGCATCCCACACTCTACTTCTACTACGGATACATGCACCACTTCCCCTACGCCTGTCGATGTATACGACCCCGTTGGCATCATTGTCACACGTACCATCATCCGCCCTAATGGCAATCCCCATCGTGGTCTTACATACCTGTATGCTATCTCGCATACAGATGTTATCGTGCTCGTCGTCTCGCACAAGCACCATCATCTGCGTCACCCGATCTACACCCCCTTCGCACTCCACGAGCCTGGTGCTCCGAGCGCTCAACTGTTCCAGCACATCCGCAGCTTGTGATGGTTCTGTTTCAATGGGTCAGCTTGAACTACATTAGACTCATGAAATGAACACCGGGCGTGCTCGTCTGCATTCGACTACTCACGTTTCTACAGAACTCATCTTCCGTGGGAGCTCAGAATTCTTCAACTTGTCACACTCGTGCAGATATTTGTGGTGGGGCCACGCCTCGTCCTTAGCGTTTGAGGATATCACGCTAAGCTGGTGACCAAATCCGAGGAAAAAACTAGCACGATTATGATTGATATTGATTGCGTTTCAGGACATACACAAGCGTCATCCGGCAGTGACATATAAGATACTTACACTCCAAATAATCATTAACACATATGAACGTGCAATTTAAATTTGGAGTTTCGTTGTGGTATCTTGGGCAAGATGTCTACTGTTTGCACTGAATCAATTCCAAGAATAGTATGTTTGGGTATGTTTATACTGCTTACGTCTTCTCAACACTTCAACATCATGTTCATTGACTAGCTGGTGACACCTTACCCGCTCTCTGTATCCTGTGCCATAATGGCACGTAAAATTCCTGTCGCACATGGTCGCAACAAGATACCTCGGAGGGCTGCGAACGCCGAACAGTGACTTGTTACGAGTCGTGATTTGAAATGCAATCCCGTTATCCGGTCAAAGTTTGGGTGCGTGTGTTGTGCACACGTAAGTTATACAGTTCTATCTCTCGATAGGGTACACTTGTCTCCCACACATACGTCTAGAAGCTGGCTTGGCACATGAAGTGTTTGTGAATTGTGGCCCGGGGTCCCCATGGTGATGGCAATTGATCAGGTGAGACGCAAGGACTATCCTTTCCTGTGATCCGGCATTCAAAGCACTCCGTAATATAAAGACCCCCACCTGACCATATTCTGGACGTGTACGACGTGTACTACAAGATGCCATCGTCCTCTAGGGTGTGCTACAGTTATTCACAGACAGCTACTTGTCGATTCGGCTCCCAGTGCAGGTTTGAGCATGACGAAGGGTCCGAAGTCACCAATGGTGTAGGTCAATATAGCCAGCTTCAATCTCACAGACAGGCTAACACATACATCAGCCGTCCAAAACACAGACACAGACACCTCTAGACGATTTTTTTGCAACATACCCCACGTTCGACTACGACTCGTCTGCGTCAGCTTCATCGGAGTTTTACCGGATGTGCGGCCAGTTTTGCTGGGATAAGGAAGACAAAGAGAGAGAGAAAGCTCACCATGATTTCAAGGACGCCCTTGTTCGGCAGTTCAACGAGATATATGGCACGGATGTGAATGATCTCACTTCATGGCACAATTTGTGTGAGATCGTCCGCATTTCACCGATTCCTGACACACTCAAATCATGCCGCGAGGTAGGAGCCCAACTTGTTCCCACCTGTGTTATACTGACAAGTATGGTCACATTTAGGCGGTCAAAGCCACTCATGTCAATATTGTTGACTTGGTCGATACAAAAGTGACCAGGGAACCAGTGACCAGATTTGTTTCGGAGGCGAAGCTGAGCGAGTATACCAAAGCGACGGGAAAGTTCTTTCCAACAGATAATGCATATGCTGGTGGTCTCTTAAGGTACCTGCTCCGCCGTATCATGAATCCTGGACAAGGACGCGTGTCTAGGTCTGGTCAGAAGACGCAGAAGACGCAGAAGACGCAGACCCGGGGCAGGCGTAGGCGTCACTAGAATCTACGTTCCGATTCTTATGTCATTCTCATCCGTGGGTTGGATTGTGCTACAGAATGCTACAGAGCGGTCTGTAGCATTCTGTAGTGAATTACGTTTCCCTGATGCGCTTGTACATTAGGTGTCGTTGTAAAGCTTCTAGCTGACTTCTCTGTGGGGCATGAGCACACGACCGGATAAATTAACGATGGCAATGACTTTAGAGGTTTCATATGTGAGCTATGCCAGTGGCCCGGATTCTCTAGTAGTTGAATGCGACAAGCTTATCCTCGGGAATGAATTAGTGTGGCGTTTAGAAAACGTTCACACGAGAGAGTTGAGGATTGACGAGAGAACTGTCCGAACTAAATGTATTTGGTGGGGAAAGATCAACTACCCTAACAGTAGATAAATGGTGCTTTATATACTGTAGAGTCAGGAATAATAACGAATATGAGAGAAACTATGGAGATACGGTGCCTTTTAGGAACGCTACATACGCCCTCCAGGTCCTCTTATGAGGACCTTCAAGTCATCTGCGGTAGGGGACTATCAAGCCTGAGATACATACGCAGATCGGATGTCCATGGTACCCATCGCTGCTAGGAGAACGAGGAGGGTGATGTTAATGTTAGCCAACAATCCTAGGAGGACAAATCTGCTTCTGCAGGAGGATCGGGCGTATGGTCTTCATTCATCACGCGCACGAGTGGTCGTAGATTTGGATTGAGTCGATGAGAGAAACGATGAGGTAACGCTGTGAGAAGGAAATTATTGGACTCGTCACTCATCAGACAATGGACATAACCAACACGTCACAGCTGTTAACTTGAAGCGCTAGTTCTTCAACGTGAACCACGCAATTCCCGTCAGGTTGTGTCGGCGAGCTATTATGTGCACGTCACAGCACACAATACTAATGGAGCATCAAGAGAGCCCAGTCTAGTCCAGAGTCGAATTGCACAGCGGTGACATCGCTGTGCCATTCGACTCTGAACTAGACTACTATTGAATCTGCAAGACCACTGAAATGAACGCTTGATATAAGCGTGTTACGGACGCTTACACTTCAGCGAGTCATTTGGTTCCCAGAAAGCTCCGGGTTCGCTCAAGTCGAGTAAACAAATTGCGCTTATGTAATACAGACTTTCGTATGTAGCATAAACATTTCCAAACACACTATATATCTTCTGCCTTACTCCCAACCCACTCAATGGTCAATTCACATGCAATACAACACACGGTCACTTGATCAAGTGCGATGAAGATAGAGGAGTACCTGTTTCGATGATACTGTCAAATATGGCAGAAGTAGGACGACAAACCGTGATGTGCATTTATAAAGCGTGCTCCTTCAAAATTGTTCCTTGGTAGAACTGGCAGTACTATTCCCTACTCATCCGGAACCAGGAGGAGAGCACGAGGCAATACAGGGATTAGTCCATGTACATCCTCGGAGCATAAAGTATGTATACCCATCACCACTTGCCGTTATTGGCCACCACCAGCGTAACTTCAGTGGTACCAACACAAATTTGTACGCTCCCTTCCTATATTTTTTCAGGAACTTGCAAAACGACTTGGAGTTAATGTGCAGTTATCTTTCCGATGAGACTCTAATGCTCAATAATGGTGCGAATGTCTGAGCTGATTCATTCCAAGCGACAGGAACTACACAAATCAAAGGCACCGATCCTATTGTATGGGCGCTCCAACTTTACGACGCTGCTCGTGCGTTTGTCAAACTTTGACTTCAGCCTATCTTTTGTTCATCGCCCAACCGGGCGATAATAATCCATCTTGAGTGTTAGGGGTATATCGTTTCGGAAACGCACCAGCTACATCCTGGTTGAGTGACGTTGGTATGGAGCACACACTTCTGACTATTCCATATCATCTCGTGCACTGTCAAATATATCATTTGCAGGTAAGAGCACTGGGAGACATGACCAGATCCGTCATTGGTCTTCAACGCTATAAAGGCAGGACAAACATGGCCCAGAAATCCCTCAGTCACCAGTTGAAGATTCTTCGCTTATTCTTTATTCATCATGCGTATCGACTTTCATTCCTTCGTCATATTAGCCCTCGCTGTAACAATGACGTCGGGTGCGACATACCAAAGGTCGAGCCAGCTCGCAGGCCAGAGCTTCCTTAACGCGTTTAAATTCCAAGCCATCTCAGACCCCACCAACGGCAGAGTGTAAGTCATCCCCTGAATCGCAGTACTTGGAGGCTGATTCACTCCACGTTCCCAGGACCTATGTCAACGAGAGTACTGCCAAAGCAGATAAACTCGTTTCAGTGGCTAATAATAAACTCACGCTCCGAGCAGACTATACCACGAAATTGTCCTCCTCCGACCCAGGAAGAAAATCTTTTCGAATCATGTCAAATTCCCAGTACGAAACTCATGTGGCAATGTACGTCTACGTGAACTCGTGGCACGAGTGCGAGAAATTTTACTAATCTAATCCAGTTTTGACATTGCGCATATGCCACAAGGTTGTGGAACATGGCCAGCTATTTGTGCGTTCAATCTCTTGTGATCGGTTGACTTGAAGCTGACTACGGGTCAGGGTTAGGATTACTCATTATCTCAGTGTTTTGACGTCTAACGAGTGCACCACGATGCTATTGATTCAACAGGGTTTGTCCCGTTCGCAGCATAATTTCTTTCGTTAATATTCACTACAGGAAGTGGGGGCAAACTGGCCGAACAAAGTGTGTTCAGTTCGATGTTTTTTCTGTCATAACTCATGGTTACAGGGCGAAATCGACATTGTAGAAGGCGTGAATGATCAAACTCCCAATACATGCAGTCTGCACACGAGCTCCAGTAAGATCACGTTCGAGCGGTGAAAACTATGGGCACTCAAATTGGTTTTCAGATTGCACAATGCCCTCTTCTCGCCCAATGTCAGGGTCAGGTTTATCGAGTCTCTAGGTATTTGGTGGTGCCTGATGCAAATTGAATTTAGAACCGTCAGTGGTACGAACTGCTACGCATACGCTAACGGCAATGCGGGGTGTGGGGTCAAAATCAACGACAACAAGAGCTATGGCCCGCAGTTTAACAACAACGGGGGTGGCTGGTATGTACTCCATGTTGGTCGTTAGTTCTACCAGAATCACAGATAACCATGGCCAGGTATGCAATTGAAAAGCGTTCGACTTACATCAAGATTTTCTTTTGGGAGAGGACGAGTGGCTCTGTTCCAAGCGACGTCAAGTCTCCTGGGTCAAGCATCGATACTAGCCATTGGGTATGTTATTCCCACAGGTCTTTATGTAATTGAATCCCTAATGGAACACAATTTCAAAGGGGACACCCGCCGCATACTTTCCCGATACTTATTGCAATCTCTCCACTCATTTTGGACCGCAAAACATTATCATCAACCTTACATTCTGTGTGTGATCGTCGTCGTTTTTGAACTTTCACCTAACCTGATACACGTGGCTTAACCAGGCGGGGACTGGGCAGGTTCAGTTTACTCCGCGTCTGGATGTCCATCTACATGTGTTGGTGAGTATCTACTCTTCTAGTGAGTATCTCGAAACATTCATCCCACATTGACAGATTATGTAGACAACAACCCATCAGCATTCAAGAATGCTTATTTTGAGTTCAACTCGTTGAACATCTACGAATGAGGCTCGCGTTTTGTGTTGAATGTCGTACCGGCAGCTACAAAGTATTGTGTAAATTGCATTAACATCACTTGTAGGCCCAGAAACCAGAATACTTACTGTTTTGATCCCTAAGCGTGATATAGAGATGAATTGCAGCATCGATTCTGGTAGCCTCGCACGTACCCCGATTCCTGACGCGGGCGGATCGGCAAGCGCATAAGTACTTTGGGCTGCGGAAGGTCGTCATTTTACTCGTACACACTTAAGATATAACTCACCATCCAACACGATATCACCTACTTTGAATTCACAAGAACGGTGGGACTCGGCACAGCGTGTTTCTCGTAGCGTTTTAATGTTTTATTTGTCTATTTATGAAGCTAATTACACTGGCCCCACAGTCTACTATCGATATCCTTACGCGTGTGCCTCGAAACAAGGGTTCGTTCTCTGGTCACTTCTTGATCAGGACTATATGTACATAATTTTGGTTGCCTCATGGCATCCGTGCAGTCGCAGCAGAGATGGTATATTTTTACGGCCACCCCCCAACCACCCCAATAACACGAGGTTCTCCACAGATTCTGATACCATTCTGGGGTGCTTGTAATTGTATTGGAACCCGTGCATGGTCGTAATATGTGGGTGCGGGAAGTGCCCTTTAGTGCGTCGTTCGTGGGAGCGTGTCTACAGCTTACGTTTTCGAGCCGTGATAATTATCCATGCAATGTACCTTGGTGACTTTCGCGGCGGAGAATCACACGCAAGTAAATGACATGGACATCCAATTAAAAAAAACAAGCCAGGCCATACGCATTGTTCGTTGGTTCAAAATAGGTCCAGCTTCGAAGAACTACCCAAAGACAGGTGTTCCGCGGGCCCACAATTTGACCGTGACTCGTACTCGCCAAGAGCCGATTCACATGCACTCATTATGTTACAGTCATTGGATTCCGGACTATCTTCATCAATTTGTGGGTCAGTTACCATATATAGTTAACGACGATCCTTCTTCGCGGGTTCTTCGTGGGTAATGGGCATGCACGTAAGCCACGAGGCGGATATGAACGCCTTACATAAGAGTCTGTTCGCGATGTGGCACAGCACAGGGGTCTCTCTCCCGTCTTTTGCATTCTATAAGCTCTCCCATATACTATGTCCTCCAGTACAGAGGTAAGCTCCGACTGAGTCCCTTTGAATTTATTTTTGACAGAAAAGTACAGCGAAGAAGGAGCGAAAGCGCCAATTCAAGGCGTACGCCCACTCCACCTCCCGTCGACGACACGCCCCTCGCCGCCTTTTTCGCTCAATTCGCAGCATTCTCTTTCAACGAAAGCCAATCCTCAAACAAGAACTTCGACCGCCTCGTCAAAGTCTTGAAATGTGACGTCGAAGATGCTCAGAGGCGCATAGTAGTACGAGAGGGATTCAAAGACGCGCTCGTTCAGGAATTCAACACGCATTTCGGGACTGACGGAAACGACATTTCGAACTGGCAGAATTTGTGCCGCGTGCTGAGAATTGATCCTGTTCCGGATTCAATTGAGGCGTGTCGTCAGGTTTGTGGATCGTTATTGCAGCGAGTTATCGTGGCTGAGGCGCTTGTGTAGCGCGTTTGGGACACGCATGTCAACCTTGTAGACCTGGTTGATTCAGCAAGGACTGGAAAGCCTGTAAAGCTGTTTGCGTCCTTGGGAGAGTTGACAGCATATACTCTCCAGCAGAAGCCGAAGAAATTCTTTCCGAAGGAGAATGCGTATCAAGGCGGGTTACTGAAGGAGTTGCTAAGAGAGATCATAAACCCGTACTTTGGGAAACGGAGGAACGGGAGTGCGAAGAGAAAGGAAAGAAAGAGGAAACAGAAGGCCGCAAGGGCGGCAGCGGCAGTCGACTTTTAGTGGTGAAGACTGACCGGAGCTGTCCCTTTGAATTCGTTTCGCAACATTCGCTCTCATTACGTTCTCTGTACTAGTAGCATGCGCACTATGACCTGTCAACAGTTTGTAATTTATCTCGCAGATGAAATGAAATGCACGTTCAAATCCGCAACACTGCAGTTAAATTACTAGCAGTACCCTAGAATCGTGTATTAAGGCCTACCCACTATATCATATTATGCCATGTGATGTCTTGTATATTCTAATGTGCGTAGTCACTCTGCCTCCAAAATGCCAACCTGCAGCGGTTCCCTTGTGCTGACGGGAATACTTGGATTACGCGACTTGATGTCCCCGAATGTCCTTTCCAGTTGCCCAATCTTCTCAGAAAGTAAGCGCGCTTCGTCACTGGCCTTGAATGACTCCTTGATAGCGTCGACAACGACCAAATTGTTGCGCTGGAGATCGCTGTGAATGCGCGCGAGGCGTACTCGAGTATCGAGAAGTATGCTTTCTGGCTGATCCCCCGAAATGCGTTCCGGAGGTGATGATGAAGTAGTGACCCGTGCGTTCGCAAATGCTGGGACTAAATAAGATACCATTCTCTCCGTCAAACAAACACTCACCCTTTGAAAACACGTCCGGAAGGTCCTGCCCAGAAGCCTTCCTTCGGTGCGAGATGAACGCACTGTTCTGGCGACCTATACACATCTGTTCGAGCAAGGATGCGATTCGAAGACCACAGAGACAGACCTGATCTATTCCGCCTTGGAAGACGGCGAGATCTTGACAGTCCATCCTCACCCGACTCTGGTGTGGATTCTATGCTCCGTTTCTTACGATGCCGAGTAGTGCTGGATTCCGCTTGATCGTGGGGAGAAGACGAATACGAGGAGCGATCGCTGTCCGACGAACGACTGCGACGTGAACTGGGGGTTTTCACCACTGGGCTACCACCGCTGTCTTCACCAGTAGGCAACTCCTTTTGATTGAGGACAGGGGTGGACGGCCGCGACATTCCACATGCATCAGTGAGGAGACCTTCTGAGATATTGTGCCACCTCGTTAATAACCAAACCATCATCTTCTGCGATGACACCCTCGCCGTCGCACCAAAAATCTTGTGCCCAAAGATCCGCGCGATATCCTCGAATTGTATGCCGTTCTCAGGACAAAGGGGAAGTTGGGTGAAAAATCCACAGAGGTAAATCAGTAGGGAGAGATTGCCTATAGGCAGGAAGCGGAGGATTATTTGCGCAATCATGATCTGATGGCGCTCGATATCACCGTCGTGACCAAGGTGAAGGTCGTCCTGGACTTGTTTCTGATGCTGTCTGGCTGTTATAGGAAGCAAGAGTGGCAGCTCGCCTCTATCACGTTTCTCCTCTTCTTCCGCATCCTGTTGGCTTCGCCTTACCTCCTCGCGCTTCACGCTGGGCTTCACACACCAGTGCCAAAATCCACCGTAAAGTTTAGGATCGAGGAGGGGTTGTGGAAGAGTGGAGATGAACGTGGATAAGACAGCGCAAATGTCCGGCATGGTCTGCCCGTGCATGCTGAATTTAGCCCCATAATCAGTACTGGAACTGTAGATGTCGATCAATTGCATGTGCCGATCGAGGTTGGGCAATGCGCGGAACAGCCCCTGCTGGTAAATACCTGATGAGGGTAAATGATGGATCAATTCAAGGGAGAGAAGATGTGGTACCCGTTCTTGTCAGCTCTTCTACACAGGCAACGACCAGGGTCGGTACGTCGTGCTGGTGTTCGCCGATGGTGATCGTGGATGATGCATGGATCAATACATCACGCAACGGCGCTCCTATCACACCTGTCTGAATGTTAGTGTAACACAAAAACTACACGCAAAACACAACAGACGAAATTTTGGATCTTTCTTCTCAGCTCCGCCCTTGCGCTTTTCACGAAGCTTCTCTCGTAAATCTCCTTCCTCTCTAAACATTTCCATTACATCCTCGTCAAAAGAGATATGATCCATCGCACGATGCTTCTCACGTCGAACGAGTTTGTCGAGCCTAGGATACAAGATGTGTGGCTTTGGTCGGGGTGCGCAAGGTTTTCCACGGTCTAACAGCGTCTTCGGCTCGCGTTGTGGCTGATCTTCCTCGAGGCGCCTGCTACCTCGTGGTGGATGGATATTTGAGGAAGGGGGAACATTGTGGTGTGACGTGTAATCGAGTTGAAGTCCACATGCCCGAGCCTGCCTGTCCCTCTCTATTTCCGCGGACGACGGTTTGGCTATGCGCCTGATGTCTGGCATGGACGCAGAGACATCGCGAGTACCATTCTGCTGTTGTTGGAAAGCATGTGGTGGCAGGGATGTACGTTTTTGATGGTCACCATGATCGCGAGGTGATTGCTGGTAATCGGCGAGATGTGGAGGATTGTACTGCTGGTGTCTCGACTCATACCCACGAGGCATCCACTGTGCCTGACCACGACTATATGGGGTGGCGAGTAAGTGGGAAGAGTCATTGTACGTTGAGGAAAGTAAACTGGGAGTTTGATACGGGGGATACATATCCATGCGAGGCATCAAGGCAAGAGGTCGTGATGGTCGAGGAAGTTGAAGAGAGTGATCTACGGGGTAAGGAGGGAGTAGAGGGTTTGGTTTGCGTAAGATGCTGCGCGGACGCAGGCTGTCGTTGGGTGGATGGGCGCCAGGCGTTCTCGGGTTGTCGTTGCCGTCAATGCTCGGTCGGTCAGCCGAGCGAGATGGCGGATAATGAGTATACGAGGTAGATCGCATCCTGAGGCCAGCAGGAAGGAAAGATAAAACCAAGTACAATCGACAGAAATGGACCTTGCTACAAAGGGTGAACGTGGTTTAAGAAAGAGAAATGAACATCCAGTGCTGCGTGAGGAAGACTCTTTTAAGATAGCTTAGTCGAACTCTGGAGACCCTACTAAGTATTCAGACCGGTCGAGGCTGAGACGCCGCACGTATTATGGGATGTGGGGCTTTTTAAGGTTGGTGCAAGTGCAATTTCATTTTAGACTGACTCTATGATAGAGCGCGTCTATATCTAGAGATGGGAATTACACGGGGAGAAAACCGAGAGAAAGCTCACAGCGTGTCTGATTGTGATAAATCTGGAGTTTGAAAAGAGGTGAGGGTTACGTGTATGGTTGCGCAAACGAAATCTGTACATTTGACGAACCGTGAGTCTCGGAAAACTAGACCAACCTAAAATGTATTAGAGTGATAATCGAGTGACTGAGTCAGGACCCTAGGCTCAAGGCCCGATGAGAACATCCAGGCAGGTCCAGACAGAGCCAGGTCTAGACCCTAAACCGCATATGATTCCCCTTCGTGGGCTCAAAGAAATGTGGTGAAGAACTGTAAAGCTTCGTCAGACCGAGTAAGCTCCATGGGGCTTCATAGAACCGTTAATAAGGCGCCAGGACTGACAAAACGTGCTTTCTAGATGAAGAGGATTACTCGAGTCTAAGGTTTGAGCAAAAGGAAATGTTCCTGGCCAGGACCGCAGCCTGACTGCGTTAGCCAGCGCCGAGTCTCGGTCGCGGTGATAACGGACATGCTATCCGAGACCCCGCAGTCGCTATGTAAGTGCAAGTTTGTCTGCTACAGTGCTATTTGTCTAAGTACTAGATTTTATTTCTACTAATCATATGATCAGTGCGAGCATGAGGACGAGGCCTAGGCTCAATTGAAAGGAATAGAAAAGACAGCATGAGGGTGTGAAAAAAAAGATGGCACGGTGGAATATCCGAGAGATATCTAATTAGGTAGCTTCGCAGTATGAAAGAGACTGGGGTTCAAAATTTAAATAGATACATGTGAGACAGGAAACGTTAGCGAAGCGGCAAGTGAGATGATTGGCTACTAAATCATGTGATCAGTCTATTCGTAAGCAGCGTCGGGGAGCGAATATGACAGGCACTCTTCAAGTGACAGCGTATATTACTCATGCCACTGTCTGGTTACAATTCAACCCCGATGGCGACGTACTACCTACCAGCTTCCAGGTCTTTCGACCTGTCGCTGCATACTTACCATAATATTCAAAGAATTGACGAACTCGAAATTTGAGTAAAGGTTACGGGCTCTAGCACGAATGTGCTCTAGGCTACCCGCCCAGTCATTGTGAATATTCACCTCACCAGGTGGACCCCTTCGACGTAGCAGAAAATTCGGGAGCAGGCTCAGCAGGGTATGTACTCAGCCGCAGGTTCCTCCATGGGCTCAGATTTCAAGGCGCGGGGATCTACGAAATTTACGGCTTAAACCGATTATGTTACTGTCGGAATACAGTATAGTTTGTGAGACATGGCGAATCCCGAGACGTTGACGAAGATGACATACTCAGAGTCCTAGGCCTTGTATCCATTCTGCGCGGACGGAACCCATAAGGAAACTCGCATCGCAGATCTTGAAAAGATGTGCATCGGTAAAATTACGGTGAAACTTCACCCTCACCGCGTCATATTGGCCTCTGACCGCTAGCAGAGAATATCACACGTGTGTACCATTTAAACATCGATCAGTGTACTCATATCTTTTTTTCGTTCTGCATTGGACTACTACTCACCACTCTAGAAAAGCCGTTTCTATCCAGGCGAACGCCGTTTTCGCTCATTTTCTCCGACCAGCCAATATCTGTTACTGTACGCGCATCAGGGCAAAATAACGGATACTGTTCCGCCGCTTTGACACTAGCTACCGACGCTGCTGGCTAGATCTTCACGTTTGAAGAATGGCAAGTACAACATGTTATTACACGGAAGAATTCTCGCCGTTGGCTGAAGCTGCTGTATGTTGGTCCTCACCCCGGATCTACGAGTTACAAACTGGTCAGCATTGTGTACTATTACTATGCTTCGTGGTGGCGCGCTGATTCGTCGCGTTTTTGGTAGCTTGGGTTCCGACACTGCGGAAACGATCATCCAGTTCTCACCTGTTCAGGCGGTAATCTGTATTTCCGATTTGTCTTCTGCACTCGAAATTCGATGGTTACCCTACATCCGCGCCATTGAATAACGGAAATGAAACGCAAAACAAATATCACCACACGTCGCAAGAACCTTGACCCCATTTCTGATACTACATAGGATTCAGATGATGCTGACGCTCTGCGATGCACAAGTCAACTTGGCCTGTGTGTGATGCAGCGCCGCTCCGGACCATCCGGGCTCCGGAAGCCGCTCCGCAGGGTTCTGACCGCGTGGTCGACGTCTCAATTTCGGTCGTTGCGGTGATTTTCATCTTGTTGCCACTTGCGGCGTTGTGGCGCTGTTTGTTTCATTAAAGTTTGCTTCTGCTTCTGCTTCTATGTACCCGTGGCGCTGCCACAAACCGTGTTGTGTCTTTGGCCACAGATGCCGAGTACTTCATACTCCACTCTGAAGCATCTGTTGCCAACATAAGTTCAAAGTAGTGGTCAACAAATATTCTTTTACAAAAAAAAATGTATCTGTCAGTACAACAAAGACAGTAATTTAAGCGAGTCTCAGAATTGAAGAGGGACATCGATCATCAGGTGTGACCGTGTGGGAGGACAGGTCGCAGACTACCGAAAGCCACGTTGCGAGCATTCCCATCACTCACTGACCTTGAGCGCCAAGTATTTTTAGCAAAAGGTCCGATGCTAGCCCCAGAGACAACATGAGAAAGAAACAGTAGAGAAAGAAAGAGAAAGACAAGAGCATTGATGCAGATGCACTCACTCAAGAGCCTCCCCACACCGCATCAATATATCGTCATGATTTTGGTAATCAGGGTGCACAAAAAGTCCGATGTGCCTCGACACCTGTCGAAAACCTGCCAGTGGTCAGGTTGCCCTAGATTGCCAAGCTCCTTGCCAGGGTCTACGTAGTCCGCGCATATCGATCGATCAATGAGCGTGCCAGCAAGTGCCAGCTGCCCCGACATCCTTCCCACGGTTACACGTTAAATGCAAAGCCCACCTGTTGCCAACTCAAGAATACTACACGCCGATCATGCTTTTCAAGTCACTTTTCGTCCTCGCAACAGCAGCTCTGACTGCCTACGCTCAATCAGCGACCACGACGTCTGACGCCGCGGCTGCAACTCCAAGTGGAGTTACTCCGTGCATCCTTGCATGCTCGACCCAAGCCGCTTCCGCAGGAAACTGCTCCAGCATGTAAGTTGACTAGGTTTCAAACAGCACTTGAGCATTCCGAATCTCACATCCTCGATATTAGCTCTGACCTTACATGTGTTTGCACCTCCACTGCATTCCAGGACGCTGCCGGCGCGTGTCTGCAGGCTAACTGCACTACTGCCGAGGTCGCTCAGGCCCAAGCACTTCAACAATCTGAGTGCGCGTCAAGTATGTCGTTCTTTCCAAAGTGTGTACTGGCGCTGATGAGATTAGTTTCGGGGAACTCTACGACCACGAGCGGGACATCGAGCTCAACTAGCACATCTCCTGCTACAACTGCTTCGGCTGCCAAAACTTCAGCAGCAACCTCATCTGGTGCTGCCACCGGTCTCGCACCTTCACTTGCTCTCAACAGTGCATTTGGTGGGCTCGTTGCCCTTGCTGGTACCCTTATTGGAGCGGCGTTCGTCATGTAATCCGGTCAGCGTAGATGGCAATATGTATATTCACATCGTCACCGCGGGTTAACCTTACTTTGATATCTTCTGTTATTTTATTCGAGTTACAAACACTTTGCTTGGATGTTTTAGAATCTTAGGTCGGCGTTAGACATCAGCCAGGTTCAGTTACTACGTACATACCTATTGTTGGGCGCCACTCTCCCCTTCAGGGCTCGAGGTAACCAGGTGTCACCATTCAAATACATACATCATAATTAGTTTTTGCACCCCTTGGTAGCATCCTCAATTTGACTATTCGGTAAATATCGTGGGTTGCTGAGTAGGGGTGATTTCCAGGAGTGGTGCTCAGAGTCACAAAGAAGAGTCCAAGTTCCGCTTGCGTAGGCACAGCTGCACCCTAAATGTCGATTGCCTTGCGGTTTAGGCCATGCAGTGTTTGATTGTGATAAAAAATATGGGCGACGTGAGTACGTAGGTGGTGGCAGAGATTAAAGCATGGTGGTTCGATTGATTGCCCGCTTCAAAGTTCAAACCGTAGCTATGAGAAATTAGCGCCCAATTCTCTTTGTGCTAGACCTCGTTGCCGGGCATGCACTGTTCACTCGTTTTCGTCTTTTTTCTAGCTTTCGGTTTCTGTGCCGCACAGAACTATACCCTTCCTCAATGTGCGCAAGTCTGTGCGGGGACGGCTGCAACGGCGGCTGGTTGTTATTCGTTGTGAGTGTCCAATTTTGAGCCAAGTTTGTCTAAAAATCATTGCCGTACATAGCTCGAATAGCACATGCGTCTGCGCCTCCCAGCCCTTTCAAGCGGCCATTCAGTCATGCTTCAATACGAGCTGCAATATAACAACCCAAGGCACTGCTTGGCTGTATTACAGCAACTTGTGCACTGACGGTGGGTCTTTTATATATGCATCGAGTGAAAAACGTTTCTCATATGCGCAGGTTCCTCGGCCGGTTCCGCCGGTGCAAGTACATTATCAGGTAAAGGCTAGCGCTCAGCAGTCATACAGTGATTGAATTCCTGGGTGTTGACCGCACACACAGGCCAGTCTACTACAACCACAAGTGTCAGTGTTGCTACTAGTACTGCACCGGGACCTGTAACCTCGAATGCATCGTCAACCCACGCGTCCTCACTGTCATCCGTTGGGTCGGCAAGCGTTTCGTCTACTACAACCTCTGCACACCAAACTCCGACATCAACTTCTGGAGCACTTGCGACTGAAATCAAGATGCTACATGGCCTCATGGCGGTCGTTGTTGGCTGCGCTTTGATCTTGTGATATGCGAGTTGGATGTTGGCTATGGAGGCGATATCGTGCAGGCGTAGGTATACAGGTATTCTTGCAGTCGGAGGCCCCTGGAGACCGGGGTGACTCCGAGCCCAACTCATGGACTTTGTTATATATATCCAAAAGGACCTTTGTCGGGTCGCATCCTAATGGTAGTAGGATTAATATAGCCACGTATATCTGTCAGAATGTGTCGATGGTAATACGTGACATGTGCAAAGCGGGAACTAGACAAGTACTGAACCTGTATATGGATAAACAGAATGAGTAATAAATATGTTGCGACCCACCTAAACTTTGATGGTGACCCACTGAGCTATTTTTGAGATCACCAACATTAGACCAACCAAGCTTTATGATGTCCGTCGGCATCAAAGAAAGGGAGCACATGGTCATGGACAGGATACAGTTTCAGATGGCCCGTAGAGAGCCGAGCCGGTGGGGAAGTCCCATGCCTAGTGACATTGACATGCACGGCACGTCCTACTATGTCAGGGCGGGCCTTGATCAACTCAGGGTACCGATTGGCATTTATATATATCGTCAGCGTAACCTTTCCGAATCAACTCACCGATCAAGACTAGTGTTAATGCCTAGTATAATGGATTAGTGGCGGTTACGTTGAGGCCGGTGCACTTTGGCAGTGCTTAGGTCTGATTTGGAACAAGGGGAGAACAGGAACAAAGTTTGGCCAACTTGAAAGTGTCGACGTGTCGTTCATCCAACGACGTGCACACATGTCATGGCGCCCACTACAGACGTCTTCTTGGATGATGATCATGAAACTACAGTGGTATTAGTTGACTATCAATTGATGTAAAACCACGGGAGGTTTTTGTGATTGATGAATGAGAACGTAGGCGGGTGTCACACGCCGTTACACGCTTCGTGTGACAGCGACGTCACAGTCACTACAAACAAAGCCGCCCGGGTAGCCAAGGTCCTTTCATCTACTTGTCCTCGACTTATCATTGAAAGCAATTGAACGGACATATCACATTCAGGAAACGACCTTCTTCATCTTGGCAGACTTATTCTTTAACTCTATCACAATCAAATCTCAACAGTTTGCCGTACACGCTGGCCAGATCATATCCCTCTCACCGATTGACTTTCTATTAGCACGCTCCCCTCATTCCTCATGGGCAACTGCGTATCAGCACAGGACAGAGAAGAGAAGGCCAGGTCAGATGCTATCGACCGTCAGATAGACGAGGACTCTAGGAAGTTTAGGAAGGAGTGTAAGATACTTCTTCTCGGTACGTGTCTTCCTTTCTACTTTACTCCATGTCTATTTCATTTTTTACGAGGCAAATATCTTCGGAGTTGCATCCACTTGGTCTATTTCCTTCAACTGCCTTTATCCGTTCAACCCTTTCTCTTTGTTCTTACTGCTCATATCCATCCTCAGGGTCCGGCGAATCCGGAAAGTCAACAATAGTGAAGCAAATGAAAATCATTCACCAGAATGGCTTCACCCCAGACGAACTCATGGTGTTCCGTCCGACAATATACCGGAACACTCTCGACTCCGCGCAAGCCATTGTCCTGCAGATGCGTAACATGAACGTGGAATGTGTATTGCCCGCGAATCGGGTACGTTCTTTCTCGCTTTCTCTCCTACCTCAATTCATTGCTTTCGTAGACATTTGCCGAACGCATCGTCGAATACAGGGTTGAAAACACGCCTGAATTTGTTTTCTCCGCTGACATTGCACAAGCCATCCATGAACTATGGCAAGATCCTATCATTTCCAAAGTGATGGACTGTTCGAGCCAGTTTTATCTTATGGACTCGGCTAGCTAGTGAGTCCTTCTATTCACTCGGATTACAAATACTCACGGTGTTCGCTCTCAGTTTCTTTACGGAAGTGCTTCGTATAGGCACGCCCGACTATACACCAACAGAAAATGATGTACTACGAGCTCGAGCAAAGACAACCGGCATCACAGAAACGCGGTTTAACATGGGACAGCTCTCGTGAGTACACTGGAATGCCAAAAGTTCCGTTTTTGATCGCAGTCTCGTAGCATCCACATGTTCGATGTCGGCGGCCAGCGCTCGGAACGGAAGAAATGGATACATTGCTTTGAATCCGTAACAAGCATCATTTTCTGCACAGCATTATCGGAATACGATCAAGTACTATTAGAAGAGAAGAACCAGGTAGGTCCTGTTGTACGTGCGATTATTGGATGTCATCAATTTTGTCAATAGAATCGCATGCAAGAATCACTTATCCTATTCGAGTCGGTTATCAACTCCCGGTGGTTTCTGCGAACTTCTATCATATTATTTTTGAACAAGATAGACGTTTTCAAGAACAAGCTACCAAAGGTATGTATTCATTGTTGCAAACGCATGGAGATATGTTGACACTTTACAGGTACCAATCGAGAAGTACTTCCCAGAATATACAGGTGGCGCAGACATCAACAAAGCGGCAAAGTATATTCTATGGAAGTTCATGCAAGCTAACCGGGCGCGCCTAAGTGTTTACCCTCAGTAAGTATGATTTATTACGCCTCGCTCATCACTCACTGCGTCATAGCTTAACACAAGCCACCGATACGACGAATATCAGACTCGTCTTCGCTGCGGTCAAGGAGACAATCCTACAGAACGCTCTCAAAGACTCAGGGATTCTGTGACGCCTGCCTTTCCTGGTTTTTTGTTCTTATCTATCCGTATGCGCCTCCACACCCCATTGGTTAATTTGTATTAACAAGGGTACAGCTCGCATATATATCTGGAACTTCTGGTTATTCTCTAGCATGTTATCATCTTATCTAGCATACCATCAATTATTCATCATTACCCTGGCTGTCCGCGAGATTGATTTACATCATGGCGCCTTTCGCCTTTACATACCGCACAGCATTTGCTTGATCTGGTTGATTTTAACTTGCTATAGCGGGCAACCCTTCCCTTGTGTGCGACTCTTTTTATACAGTGATGCGCCCTTGACGTGCACAAAAGCGTTTGTACATGTAATTTGTAGCGTGCAATACTATCATCATGCCAGGCGGATATCACAAGGCAGAATTATAGAGCACGATCACCTCATTAATACAAGAAGAAAAAACATGTTGGGAGCCACTGCATAGTATCAGTACGACGCAGGATTCCTGTGCACTAACCATCACTATCACGCTCCTCTTCGCTGTCCCACTGGTTAAACCCTAAATCCCTCACACTCGAAACTGCCACAAGAAGCGGATGCTGACCATCCAATATTTTGAGCAGCTTCTCCATGTCCTCCAGAGCGAACTCTTCCACCTCTTCTAACAGCGCAAGCTCCTCGCGATCGTCCTCCGGGGACTCTGCGCGTCGTTTCCGTTTATCTGCGAGCGTCTGAAGCTGATGCTTTGTGGCTTCTATGAGGGTAGCCTGTAGATCCGGCGTGAGCGCTGGAATGCCAACCACGCGAAGCCCATCGGCGAGGGCTCTATACAACGAGGAAAGAAACGAAGGGTCTGTTTCGGCTCGAATGGTATTTATGAGCTGGAGGAAGGAAGCGGCTACCATCTGCGACGTTAGTGTTCCACTCTGCTTTCCACAAGAGAAAAGCAAAGGGATCAATCTGTGCGTACGATTATTAGCAGTAAGGGTGGCGACAATGGAGATCACTTACCTGCTCGCAGCTTCGCGAACGCCGTCGTGGAAGTAGAATTTTAGGGCGGGGAGGGAGAGCTCCAAACTCTGGGCGAGATAAGGTGCAAACCGGCCGCCAAGTGTCGCGCAATAGACAACGAGAGTGTCGAACGCTTGGCATTTCTCATCGATAGTCGAAGTGCGGATTCCAACGATCTGACCGTCCATCGAGATGGTCTCCCAGCCTTCTCGAGTCTCACCGACATCGTCTTCATCATCTGTATAGCAGGGTAAGTGGATGCCGTGACCCGAATGAATGACATTACCATAGATAGAGACATCGGCTTTTGCGCTGGCTGCGTTCAGTAGTGGAGGCATGACTACAGGAAGGAACGGCTCGAATTCGGTGCCAAGAGCTTGGCAAATTTTAGCCCAAGTAGCAATTAAAAAGGTGGGCAGCATGGTGTCCGAGGGGTCGACAGGCGAATCTATCATACACGGTAAACGGTTATCGAGATTTGATCTGGAGGCAGTCAAGGACGAACTTTGAATTTTGATTAAAAGCTCGATAAGCGTATTTGCGTCAGCGCGAAAAACGTTACGTCCAACGGCAATTGCTGACAAGGATCAGTCAAGGAAACCTGCGCTGATATCAACTGTTTCTTACCTATTAAACCAGCACATTCCATGGCTTTTGCGCGTAGCTTGTAATGGTCAGAACTGTTGGCGTTGCGGAGAACATTCAAAAGAAGAGGCATTATGGAGGCATAGTGCTGTTGTATATGCAAGCGTCAGACAAACAATGGGCACGCGAGACTGCAATATAATACCTTAGCAAATGTTGCCTCGCTGGCATCAGCGACCATAGCGAGAGTTGTAATAGCTTGTTCTTGAACATAACCTTTGACTACTTTGCCATCCTCAGCTCCTGGATTGAGCATCTTGAGCAGGCGCTCAACGATCGGGTCCAAATAAGGAACAAGGGTGTCACGTTCGACACCTTCACAAAAATTGATCAGGGCAGCAGCGGCATGCGAGTGCACACTAAAATAGAGGATCAGGCGGAGGACAAGTGACGGAATCAAGGATGTAATAGTCACCGAGGTTCTGGCGCTTCTAGTGTTGGTATCAACGCAGCGAATAATTGCTCGTGGTAGCGATCTTGAATGATTTCCTTAGAGCACAAGCGTCTATGAGGATCATGGTAGCAGGGTGACTAAACTTACCTCCAAATCAGTACATAATTGACCACTGCACCAATCATTGAGCGAGGACATCATGAGATAATAAAAGCAACGTACACGCATTGACATGCAGCATACCGCACACGTGGGTGTGCGTCCTTGAACATTGGAGTAACGAGGCTGGGAACACGATCAATGAAAGGGATCGGGCAATAAACTGAAGAACGCGCACTCAACAACCTTCCCAAGTTCCATTTGCATCACCTAATAATAGACGAATGAGTGGGCCTGGACCATGCCATAAATAAGCCAAATGAACCTTGCTCGTGCCTTCGGCTATGGCTGCGATAGCCATCAGGCCAGCGTGCCTCAATCTCCAGTCGTAATTGGCGAGCATTGACGGAATATATTGGAACGCCGGAGGAAGTACTGCCTTGCCTCCAAGAGCACAGGCCACCCTATCGAGGGATTGCTCGTATACATGAGGATAATTCTCATCCTGTGCGTCCTCTGAGGGCTAAGATATTTGAGTTGGTGAAATGCTTGGAGAAATGCACGATAAGTATCTTACATCAGCTTCGAGCCAGGAATCCAACGTGTCTTCTGGTAATTCCCCCATGCCCTCTAGAGATGCTCTTACCATAGCCGCCGTCCATCCTTCCGAACGCTTCGCCAATGCAGGCTTAGCCTCGGTAAGACTTACCATAAATTCTAATGCAGCTTTTCTGACCAACTCTTTCTCCTCGTCCTCTGTGACTTCGTCATTGTCATCTGGAGTCCGACTGCCAGATCCGCCGGGAGGGAACGTGAAACTTGATGTGCCGGGGAATGGCTTAGCAACCGTGGGTGTTGGACCTGAGTCAACGCTTGGCATTATCAAACCACGCAAGAAAGACAGTAGGGCATCCATATGAGGCACAAAGAGATTAGGATGAGATGAGCATAATGGCGTTAGCGAGCTGAGGAAGGATTTAAGGTGAATGTTGGGAAGGGAAGGTAACGTGTCTAGCATTGGATAGAGTAGTGAGAGCGAGTGTGATAATTGAAGTTGATCACATGCAGTAAGGTAGGACACAGAGGCTCGGAGAGCAGCAAGCCGAACCTGAGCACTATCCATGAATGCCAATTAATTTGACTGGAGGACCACGTACCTCAACACTTTGAGAGTCTTGGAGACCTTTCCGGAAAACTGTCAGGACAGCATCTGTCTGGAGATCCATTACGAGATTGGGACAACCAGAAAACAGCCTATAAGCGCATTCTCGGAAGCCAGCTTCACCTGTCTGCGTCATAGTAAATGTTTGTGCCTGTAGTGCGTGCCAAGGGCGCCCTCGAGACATAGAATTGTTTGCTAGATCGCAGACTGTATCGACTGTCTTCCTGCGAACAGCATCTAATGGCTCGTGGGACAGAGAGTGGAGTAGTAGACGCTCGAGAGTTGTCAACGCATGCGCCGGGAGTTGATCATAAAGCGTTAGACGTCCTTCTCTGGGCTGCTGACCCGGTGCAGCGCGAAAGAGAAGTCTGCGAAGTAAGACTAGAGAGAAGGATCGCATCTACGCTTTATTGAGTGAGGGCAGCGGTATTGAAACATAGTACACAACAACTTGCCACTTCAGTATCAGCTGCAATAGAGAACTGGGCCAATGCGAGTAGGTATAGGTCTGGGGTCTGAGCCAGTCTATCATTAACCGCCTGTTCTGCACTGCAAGTCTCTCAGTATGAGTCGCGCTTATTGAAAAAGATCGCGCACTTGGAACGTATCTTGTTATCACCAAGCACAAGATTGGCAAGTATTTGTGTGAGTTCTGTCGTGATTTCGTGAGGAACGACAGCCTCCATGACGCTGAATTTGTAGGAAATTGATATCGAGGGTCCAGGAGTGACAGCAAAACGGAAAATGATCTTAGGGTGCAGGCTGTTCAAATAGGCGATTCCAGTTGTTTGATAAAGCTGTTCACTGCTAGTGATCTGCAATGGAGAAGTGATGCCTGTTAAAACGGTGATCAGCACTGAGCAGATAGACTCGACGAGTCTTTCAATTATCATAAGTTTAAGCTCAGCGGCTTTTTTACCATCTTCATCCCGAACGACGATCTGCGGCTAGGGCTTTGCTCCACAATTTCTCGAATACACGCGAAGTTCCTATGGTCAACATCGAACGCTCTCGATTCTCCATCAAGTTCGCATCTACGAGCTTTCCTTCTTAAAGGTGATAACTCCGACGCAATCACTGGGATGCCGATCACATCTCAAAACCCAAGTTCACATGATCAAACGTCCTGTTGATATGTCCGAATCACTTAGTGGCGTGTTTTCCGATATCAGTCCGGTTCCGACACAACCTCCGAGATTTCAGTGCATGCTGAAGTTGAGCGAATTGGGTCAGAGACAACTATGAGCAGCCTGATAGTTCAAGGTACCATCTACTTTAATGACTTTAAACAGCATCTTGTTGATCTGTGTATCGACAGTGAACATCTTCCCAAGACGAGTCCCGACTTGGTCTGGTGTATCCTAGCCAGATCATACAGAAGGAACAAAGTTGGTATGCCACTTTGTCGTGAAACAAAGACATGCTTATTCAGGTGCAGGCAGAGGACAAATGCTATCATAAAGGAAAGACCATCCATCCCAATCGATATCATCATCTGATGCTCGCAGAAGGATATTGTCCTTCAGACCTCTACCACCCGACTGGTTATTCTCCCAGTGCCCGGCACAATATAGTAATTGACCCCCAGTAGTCTTGCCCACAACATGCACTTTATTTAATGTTTGAAGTATGGATCCACAAGCACATACAACTTAAACTACACAGCAGGCTACCTAATCTCCATCACTTGGACGCACTATAACTTTCCTCTGTCGAGAATTTCGCAGGGCTCGTCTAGTCCTCTTCAACTGAATCCGGTTCTACCAAATCATTGGCCTTGCCGCTCTTCGACGAAGGTCGCTCTTCATCCTTCTTGTCACTGACTTTGAGCCCCTGCTCTAGATTCTTTGTGATCTTTTCCACCTCGTCCTCCGTTGATTCCTCTGGTTCTGGTTCTAGTTCTGGCCCTTTCTCACCAGCCTCCAAGCTCTCCTTCGTCTTCTCCCAAGCGGCATCGAGCTCCTCCTCCCATTCAAGTTCTTTGCATAGCTCCCGCACAATATCGTCGCATTTTCCGAGGAATAACACATCGTCTGGTTTGTTAAAGTCGCCAACCTCATCGAGATTGATCAACACCCGAGGGCAGTCATTCGGGACAAGGTCCACAAGAGAGGCAAATGGGTGCACGGTCAGCGATGTTCCCAATACGATCAATAAATCCGCTTCTCGCAGATTACGGATAGATCTGTGAAACTGATCGGGAAGCTGCTCCAAAAATCAGCCATGCCGTATGATTTTGTGAGGCTCAAACATACCCCTTCACCGAAGAAGACGATATCTGGTTTCACCAGGCCCTTGCACCTCCTCCGTTCGCACCTCGGAATCTCTATCTCTTCGCTCAACACCGCCTTCTTTATCTTCTCTGCATCAAAGGGCGTTTTACAGTCAATGCACCGCTGCGTGGCGAAGCTTCCATGTGCCTCGATGATCTTATGCGCCGGCACTCCTGCGCGCCGCTCGAGCGTGTCTATGTTCTGAGTGAAACATGTGTGCAACAGGGAATGCGAATGGAGGAGTGTTATAAAGCTGTGTGTGGGCGTGGGTCGGAAACGCCCTGGATATAATTCCTTGGCTAGTGTATAAACTAATAAACACATTTCAGTTCCTTTCTTCGCTCGGTCCAAGTACGGACGGACGCACATGGTATCGGGTTTTTCTTAAAGAACCCTATCTCGAATACCGCCTCCGGGAATGGAAGATTCAACCGTGCGAGGTTGGCCTGTACAACATCATATTAATGTTCCTCACTTGCAGTGCCGCACTGTGCACATCACACTTACGTATAATCCTAGGTCACACGCTGATCTGCATCTCAGAACCAGATGCTATGTATGACTTACCTGTACCAGGTGATCTGAAGTCCGGTATACCGGCAGATGTACTCACACCTGATCACATACGTAAGACAATGTAATGTGGCACTAGCAATAGTAGCCTTACCAGCCCCAAGCTAGTTTCGTCATAATATCAGCATTAGAATAATTCAAAATCTTGAAGTGATAAAGGAACTCGCCATAAGGAAAACATTACGACAGCTATCCGACTTCATATATTTCGCAAGGGCCTTGAGGTCATTGCCCTCTAAGATCCTTGGGTGCTGATCTGCAGCGTAACCGGGCTTGGTCATGCTGCCCCTGAAAGTACGATTCCACCAGTCATACAGTGAGTGCATCCTCGCAAGTAGAGAATAATTACCTAAATACTGCTCAGTGAAGAAACACGGGAAGAAGGAAAGAAGGAGACAAAGGACGTTGGTGCTCTCACTGGATTCCTACTCCGTGCAGCGCACGTGAGCTAGATAAAAATGGGCAGGGCAGTGCTACTTAATACAAACTTAATATACGACAAGCATGATAGGTCAATTGTACAAGATGTCGATGAAACCATAGTGGAGATCGTCATTAGAAAATTCATCATAGGCAAAGGACGGTCATGTGCTATCAGTCTCCGAGTCCAAAACATGCTCCTATCTCTCCGTGTTTGCCGCCCATCCATCATCTTCCTCGTCCTGCACGGATTCATCAAAACGAACGAGTTCAAAAGGTACGACGTACCTCTAATGAATAATCCTCATCCCCGTCTTCATCCAGAGGATCCCATGGTACATGCACGTCTACCCAGCTACCAAGAGTAACATGTTAGATGGAGCGCCTGGAGACAACGAAGCTCATGATACTGACAAGTCATCACCTTCGGGATCAGGTACAGGAGAGTCTCGCATGAGACGTCGTATCAATGGCAACTTGCGCTTGAGCCCATACAGTGGCGTGAACATATAGTCCTTGTGATGCCCCTTCCGCAGCAGGCTCACATTCGTATCTGACCACCACTGCGAGGGCTCAGTTGCATTCCCGTTGGAAGTAAGTGCCAAGGAAATCTTCTCTCCACCTGATTACTGTAATGAGCAGGAGCACGAGAACACAGTGTGTGGAAACATACTTTTGTCCGAAAGGTATATGGTGTAGGCGGGACATTTGAAGATGGAGTTGACGATGTGCATGTCTTTGAGCTCTGGGACCTTGTACAGCGTCTCCAAAACCCTGCCGCGCGGAACGTATTCTTGCCTTGGATTGTGCATGATCAGGAGGGCACCACGCTTGCCGCGCTGAAACTGCCACTCTCCTTTGATAGATGCTTGAGCGAGACCAGCGACATTTCTATCAAACCATCAATCAGTCTGCGTCCTCGCTCGCATAGTAGACCGCACGCAGAACATACATCTCTCCATCAATCTTGAGATCTTTCTGCCGGACACCCATCGTACACACTATGAAGTCGCCCTCCACGGCCCCAATTTGAGGAAGAAAATCTGCTAGCTTCAGTTGCCCGTCCACCTTATCCAGCAAGACCTGGAATTCCGGATCATAGATATTGCCTTCAATATCTAATTCGCCCGTCTCGTTATTCAGCCTGCCATATGCACCGACCTGCATGCGAAATTATAAACTGCAGCCATGAAACCGATGAGAAACGAGTCACGTACTGGTATGGGTATAGGTGGATCCCAGTTGGCCCACTTCGCTGTAGATTGTCTGATGAGATCAACGAACTTCCGAGCTGCGTTTCCCATCAATATGGTGCAGTGAGTAGTTCAGTACTAAACAACAGTCGCTGGCTACTGGAGGTGACAGTCATATATAGACTTGTCACATGGAGAAATGATGGCTATCCTGTGCTTGCAGTCGTGGGCCGTGTGCATCGCAATTTGCAAGATTACGACACGAGTGACAAACCTAGATATGGGCACTGCATAAATAGTCTTGTACTCGAACATCCACTACACAAGTAATTATACATCTCATATGGCAACGTCAACCTAATATAACAAGAAGAAAAGGTCCCAACAAGTCATCACTCATCGTCGTCTGAAATAGGGAATGGCACAAATTCAGAGTCTCTTCGCGGGTTGTATACGTTCGGGTCATCCTTGGTACACAGCGTTGGTCTCCGATATCTGTTGCGAGAAACTTCAAGTACACACCTCTTGATTATCATCATATACTGGATCGATCTCTCCATCATCATCGAGTGGCTCCCAAGGCGGGTAAACATCCATCCAGCTTTTGTCCGATTAGCAATGCGGTCGAAAAATAACAAGAGACCTACAAGTCGGCATCCTCAGGGTCTGGAGTAGGTGAGTCGCGCATCAGAGGACGAATCAAGGGGATCTTGCGCTTGCAAGTGAAAAGTGGCGAGAACACGTAGTCTTTATCCGTCTTGGTTTGAAGGTTTTCTATCTTTGAATCAGTCCACCAGTTGAGCTGCGTCTCGTTCTCTTTGCCAGATTTCGGGAGGAGAGCCAACGAAATCTTCTCTCCGGCTTGTCATTTCCCTTAGATTTGAGATGTACATCGAACAATAGGAATAGACGTACCCTTCTCGGACAAATAGGTAACATATGCACGACACTTGTACACCGATGGGACGACGTACTTGTCCTTGAGCTCTGGAACCTTGTAGATCGCTTCAAACACCTTCCCTTTAGGAAAATGCTCTAGACGGGGTTTGTACATCACGAGCATAGCGCCTCGTTTTCCCTGCAGAAACTGCCAGTCTCCTTTATACTTTGCTTTGTCGATGCCCTCGGCACTATCGTAGCAGAAATAAGTGAAGTCCTCAAGGGTTGACTGTGTCAAAAGCTCACACGTTTGATGCAAGGCTAAATTCCTTAGGCCTGACGCCCATAGATCCAACAGCAAAGTCTTTCTCCTCGTCGTCGAGCACAGGCAGATGATCAGAAAGCTTTATCTTTCCATCGGTGGCGTCAAGCAGCTTCTGAAACTCGGGATCGTACACGTTTCCTTCAACCTCGAACCTGCCTGTCTGGGCGCTGAATAGACCATACGATCCGACCTAGATCATACCAGTCGGCATTAAGACAACGTCTCGCAAAGAGCCACGTTCAACTGACTCTGATGTCCTGTGTTTCGGGAGACAAGTTCGCCCACTTTGAAGTGCGCTGGCGTATAAGGTCTACGTATTTGAGGCCGGTGTTCACCATCGTGGTAGAGGGTAACTTGAAGGAGTGAAAGGCGCGCAGTGGCGTTAACCTGAATATGAACCTAGATCTATATAAGTAGCGTGAGCATAGGTAAATATCAACACCGACAAGTAGTAATATGATCTTACGGGAGTCGTAGTATCGCGCGTTGACGCAAATGAATTTGTAGAAAATCATAGGATGCTGTAGTTGGACCACGTACTATGTAACTGAGAGACCGCAGCACAACGAGGACGGTGTGGAAACTCTATCAATTGTTGAAGGATTCAAATAGTAACAGTGCATTTTAGACGAATCAGTACGAAATAGTAGTATGTGTACTAATAGAAACGCACGTTGATTCGGATACGGCGCATCCCCGGCACCTCCAACAGAAGTCAGATAGACTCGACTTCCGAATCTTCGTCCCATACTACTTGACATGTGCGATCAGTCGTCCATCAGAAGTTTCAAAAATTGTGCCAGAAGTATTGAGAACTTGAACACCTTGGTCCAGTGCGGCCCAAGTGAACGAGGAAACTTTTGCCATGCTGCGAGGTCCTTGACACTTGCAAAATTTAGCTTCAAGTACAGCGTGAGTACGAAGCAGACGGCGCGTGGTGGGAACCGTATCTGGCAACTTACCACGACTTGTCGATGGCATTTTTTTTGGTCGTTTTCAAGGCTTTCGCACTGGCATTGCTCAAATATTGTAACACATCCTATGGCCGCAAATGCTATTATCGAAGCAGATTCAAAATTATCATACATATAAAACGGATGGGCCTAAATTTGGTGCACATATATCATACTAGCAAGTAACATATCAGGTAGGACGTTTCCTCTCATGACTGGACGCAGTCAAATGTCAGTTTTGTGGGGAAATCCATGTAGAATGCTTCCCCCGCCATGGTCGTGACGCAATGAGTCACTACCATGCTAATGCGTGAAAACGCACAGTAGCTGGCAAAAGATGGACACCTATTAACCATATCTGCAGAGAATAATCAATACTAGGAAACAGACAAGGAAATATGAATAGAACACAGACATTGTACAGGCGATAGTTTGACTGGTCGCGAATCTCGTCGCGAAAGAGATAGTAGCAAATGCCGACCCAAGAACCCATAGAAACAAAAAGAAGACTGGAAAGAGGCCCCAAACTCCAAACTGAGGCAAGCACAAAAGAAAATAGCGGGAGTGTACAAAGCATATAGATACGAGATCCCTCCGGCGCTATGATGGGCAGAGTTCGTCGTCCTAACTTGGCATCACCATTGACGTCGGCAAAATCCTGCGCATGGATTGTCAGAAGTATGACAAGCGCGCTGCAGGAAAGTGCTTTTATGCTCGTTCCGTCGAGCGAAGATTCCCTTGCTAGAATATAGATCACGTTAACAAAACATGATCTCTCAGATGAAAATTGGCCTACACAGAATCAACAAAGAACCAAGTTCAAGTGTCACATAACCTCCCGCATTGCATAAATTCTTGGAAATGGGATGGAGACTGAGAAGAAAATCGTCGTAAATAACTACGAGCACGGTCCAAAAACCACTGGTTATAACGACATTTAAGCCGAAAAGGGATGAAAGGCCCAAGCAGAACACCACGAGTGCCCAGCGTAATGCACGAGAATCCTTGGCGCTGATACGCCCGGATGGTACAGGACGCCATGGTTTGTTCAAGAGATCTTCATGGACAGAATATGATTGGTTAGACACATTGAATTGAAAGACATGGAACCAGAGCCAGCAGAGAGCGTAAAATAGAGCTAGCATGTTGTGGCGAGGAGATACAACAATTACAAATATCATCTACCGCAAAAAATCAACATCGTGCAGTGATAGTTATCGCCAAAATAAATACCACAGGGAAAATTGTTGTCTTGAAGTCAGATCTCGTGAAAAGCCAAGCAGTCTCGAAGTGACGCAGAGCACGGTGCAAAGTTATTGCTGCGAAGTGGGACATGAGTAATTTGGAGTCTTTTTGCAGTCCAGCATTATTATATAGTTTGAAAAAAACAGCTAGACTCGGTAAAGCAGCACCACAAACGAAATTCGGATAGGTGGGCCCAGGAGCTGTGCACGAGTGTCAGCCCTTGATTGTTTGCGGCGAATGTACGACAGAAGATAAGCTTACGAGACGCACAGCACGGAGCCATGGGATGGTGTTCGATTGAAACTGGAAGAACATTAATCGATGTGTGCCGAGATGACAAACCGACAAGCGCTGAATTACTAAAAGTTGACTAAGTTCTGTTTCTTCCACAGCATTTGCCAGTGGAGGATGACATACTCCGAATTTTCGGGTCTTCGCGTGTCCGAGTTGTAGCCAACGAGCAAAAAGGTTACATGGGTCATGTAACAAAATACCTGGTTTTGGGCTCATGTGATGATACAGAAGTATCTGCTCTAACCATAACAGGTAACACTGCGTGAAGTTCCGAGTCTATCGTCGTCGATTGGACATCTGCATCAAGCCACGGGCAACAATACTGCATGTATTATCCCCTTCTGAGCTGATAGTCTTCATTCTTAGATCTTGTGACATCCAATTGCAGTCAATATCAAGCACGAGGCTTCCAATTGGAGTGTAGCTTCAGTCTATATTGCCACAGACTCACTGTATAACTGTCCGCCTTTCTTTGAGGGCTTATTATGCCGTCCATGGGGTCACAGCAGTGACAGTACTGGCATGCACGGGACTACGAGGAGATGGTAGTCGTGAACCTAGATGAGGTTGCCTGGTTGGAGCATGCTGGAGATGCGGTTGCGGATGCTTGGTTGGCAACTATGGGTTGGGTGAGAATTGGGTTGGGTGAGATGGCTAGATGTATGAGTGTAGGATGCGCGAGTATGGTAGATAGATGCACGGTAAGATGAATAGATACACGTCAATATCATCAGATTAAACATGCTTGGACAAAGTATAAAACGGACGAACGCACCTGCTCATAGCACTCATGATTAGCATCTGTGTTTGCATGTTCCGTCGCTACGTAGTCCTTCCAGCACAGAGATCGAGCAATGTACAGCTTCGTCACTGGGTATACTGTTTGGTCAGTCATAGTGGAGAGCCGTTGGTAGATGAGTAGTCGTTGCCGTCGTCATGATCGTCGAGCTCGTGCTGTGCGCCTCAATCGCAGGAAGATCATTCGAAAATCTGACAACTGAATATCGAGTGACGTGATGGCATTGCAATAGGGCTAAGTCGCTGTTGAAAATTTTGAATGGCGTATTACTGAAGTCATGCAGATGCTGCCGGCAGACGTTTGCAGCGCGCGCGTTGCAGGTCTGTATCCCGACCTGCTCAGAGGGTTATTGTGATGCGGTCTGCATTGTCACAAAGTGTTGATAAAGAAAAGTTAACGTACTATTAAAAATGCGAGAAAGAGCCTCGGATATGTCTGGCGGATGGAAGCAGAGCTAAGGTGATCAAGTGTCGTTTCGAATATGGACGGGATACACGGGAAAGATGACGCCGAGATCATTACATGATGGAGCCTGCATCGGCGAGAGATGGAAGGCTGAGAGGGTCATTGAGGAATTTTCGTAAGCGGTGTGTCTTTTCTAAAAATTGTGTTATTATCGGGCGAAAGCAAGATGAGCCAGCTAGATAGTTATATTGATGATTAACGAAAATGCTAAAGCGGATTGGTATCACATGGAGCATAGTAGTAGTCAGGCAAAGTGAGAGGAACTCACTGGAACCACTAGTGCGCAATCACACACCACAACCATAATGAACTACATCACTCCACTATCCGTCGTGTGCTTGTACCCATAATACTTGAATTGAAAATAATAGCGTAGGAATGGACGAGACCTCGAAAAATGGGTACAGGTAGGCTGCATTATGAATTTAAACTTCAAACAAGCGTCTGAACTAGTTCTTCCGACATAAAGCTTCCGAAAGCAGAACGGCTAAGATTTTCTCGCTGGCTTGACATGTGTAACTCATTTAGTCGTCCATCAGCAGTTTCGAATGGATCCAAAGATGGAGGAGCACCTTGTTCCCAGTGTGGCTCAAGTGGGCGAGACAACTACAAAATCCTTGACGCATTTGCAAAAATTAACTCCAAGTACAGCGAAGGTGGTGTAAACTAATATCTGGCAACGCCGTCGTCGGTTTATGTATTCGGCTTTCGCATCGCTTGATACATACTATGGCCACAAATACTACCCACTATCGAGCAAAGCAGATTAAAAATTATTATGCATGTAGAACGGATGGGCATAAATTGAGTGCACATATATCATACCAGCAAGTGACATATTACGAATAGGTCAGACGTTTCCTCTTATAACTGGATGCAGTCAGATGATAATTTTGTGAGCTATATAACTCCCCCCGCCATGGTCATGACTCATGACGCAACGAGTCACTACCATGTCAATGCACGAAAACGCACATTAGCCGGCAAAAGATGGACGCCCATTAACCATATCTGTAGAGAATGATTAATGCCAGGTAACAGACGGGGAAATATGAATAGAGAATACAGACGTTGTACAGGCGGTAGTTTGACTGGTCACGAATCTTATCGCGAAAGTAGCGAATTCCGACCCAAGAACCCATAGAAACAAAAAGAACGCTGGAAAGAGGCCCCAAACTCCAAAATGAGGCAAGTGCAAAAGAAGATAGCGGAAGTGCACAAAGCATATAGATACGAGATCCTTCGGGTGCTATAATTGGCAGAGTTCGTCGCCCCGACTTCAGATCGCCGCTGACGTCGGCGAAATCCTGCGCGTGGATTGTCAGAAGTATGACAAGCGCGCTGCAGTAAAGTGCTTTGATGCTCGTTCCGTCGAGCGAAGATTCCCTTGCTAGAATAGAGATCTTGTCAACGACCTATTATCCCTTAAATGAAGAATGGCTTACACAGAATCAACAAAGAACCGAGTTCAAATGTCACATAACCTGCTGCGTTGCACAAATTCTTGAAAATGGGATGGTCGCCGAGATGGAAATCATCATGGATGATGATAAGCACAGCGAACACTGCGCTAGTTATGACGGCATTCAAGCTGAAAAGGGATGAAAGGCTCAAGCAGAACAACATGAGTCCCCAGCGCAATGCACGAGAATCCTTGGCGCTGATGCGCCCGGACGGTACAGGACGCCATGGTTTGTTCAAGACATCTTCATGGGCAGAGTAGGATTGGTTAGACGCATTGAATTGAAAGAGATGGAACCAGAGCCAGCAGAGAGCGTAAGATAGAGCTAGTAGGTTGTGGCGAGGAGATACAACAGTTGCAAACGTCATCTAGCGCAAAATCAGCGTCGTGCAGTGATAGTTATTGCCGAAATAGATACCACGGGAAAAATTATTGTCTTGAAGTCAGATCTCGTGAAAAGCCAAGCAGTCTCGAAGTGATGCAGAGAACGGTGCAAAGTTGTTCCTGCGAAGTAAGGCATGAGTGATTTGGAGTTTTGTGCTATCCAGCATGATTATATAGTTCGAAAAGACGGCCCAGCTGAATTTCTCGGTTCCAGTCGTTTCATTTCCCATGACCGGCGACAGGCAGGCATGGATGACCCGAAGTTTATCACCAGTGTCGTATTGCATGCTGTGTTTGCAGTCATACTAGCCTCGTTTTAAGTATTCATTGAGAAGGATGTTACGGTTACGGTTGAGTTACGTGTAGAAACTAGAGTAATCACAGTCAGCGATATGCGAGTGATAACGATACATGGCGGGAGAACAACGTTGATTGTTTTGATGATGCGATTGCTTCGACCCCTCAAGGAGCCATTCTCGGTAAAGCAACGTGCGGTTGACCACAAACGGAATTCGGGTCGTTCAGAGGTGGGCCCGGGAGTCGTGCACGAGTGTCGGCCCTTGATAGCCACTAATATTGTTTGCGGCGAATGTATGACAGAAGATAAGCTTACGAAAGGCACAGCACGGAGCGGCCATGGGATGGTGTCCGAATGGACGCTAGTTTGATTGCAACTGGAACATAAATGAACATTTCGATGTGCGGCAAGATGAGAACTATTGTGTTATACAAACCGACAAGCGCTTGCACTACTAAAATTTGATTAGGTTCTGTGAATAGGGTTTCTTCCACAGCATTGATAGATCAATCATCACTGCCGGATAGTTACAGTGGAGGATGACATACTCAGTGCGTCCCGGGTCTTCAATTGTCCGAGTTCGAGCCGACGAGCAAAAGGTTACATTGGTGAGGATGGTTAGGATGGGACATGTAACAAAATACCATGATAAGTACAGAAATGCTCATGAACATTGTCAGTCCTTACGCAACGTGTTTGTATGTATTTGGTGAGTAGGCGGTGGCTTGAAGTTCTAGAGTTGATCGGACGTCTGCATAAGCCTCGTCGGGCAACAATAAGTACTGCATGTATTATCCCCTTCTGAACTGATAGTCTTCATTCTTAGGACTTGTCACATCCCATTGCAGTCGATATCAAGCACGAGGCTCCCAATTGGAGTGTAGCTTCAGTCTATATTGCCACAGACTCACTGTATGAACCTTCCGCCTTTCTTGGAGGGTTTCTTATGCCGTCCATGGGGCCTTTTGATAGACACGAACTTTATATCCACAAGGACCATTACAAGTTTGGTTATCGCTCTTAAAAGTGTCTTATAAGACCTTACAAGGCAGGCCCGAGCCGGGCCCCGTTATTGGTCCGAGTAGGCTAGATAAATGTCAACAGTAAGGCCGAGCCACGACTTTGGCTCACGGAGATTGATCGGCCAGTTGTCGATGAATCGATGACCGGTCACCCTTTGCTTATTATCTCCTCGATCGAGGATAACTCGGCTCTGATCGTGTTCGCGGAAACTCCGAGTGTCTTTCAATTTATCTACCTCGTTTATTGGTGCCTTTTTGTCTGTTAGTTGGGCGTAGGGTTGGAGTCTTCTCCTCCCTTCAGCATGCACCTGGTCACAGGCCAATCATCCTGAGGACGGATTTGTCGTTGTCCCTGCCCACACCTTTATCTCCTCATCCATCTCCTCTTTCTTCGTTCCCTTACCACGTCAAAGCCTGGAAAGTACTGTTCCCGAATCCCAACCCACTTCTCCGCTTTCAGCATTTCGGGTCCGGGGGGTCCTTCGTATAATCCGCCAGTAATCAAAAGATCTTTGGTGGGGACCACACAAGCGACCTTCCCCAGCTGTGACCGAGATCGTTCTCAAAGGAAAGATCATAGTCACAACTGGGGAAAACAGTAGTTTTCCACATTCCGCATACAATCATATTTCCGGCCTGTGAAGGCGCCAGCGCCCAAACACTTTTACCCTCGCATCTTCATGGTTCCGCTGCAAGAAGTCTTGTGTCACAGTTCCACTTGCACATTGTGCCATCGAACGAATCATTCGATGTTTTCGTGCTTGTCACTGATATCTCATTTGGTGTCAGATTAGGTCGTTTCTATATGTATCGCAGTTTGATATTTGTGGTCTTCATGATCATTCACCCATACTAGCTCTATGAACCTCATTATTCAGGGTTAGTGATCTCAACTGTGAACGTTGCTTCTGGTGCCCATTATGTGTGCCCGCTACGCATTTTTCATCTTCTAGGTCTATATGCGTCCTGAGTTCTTGCAATCCCGCACACGCAAGGTGATTGCACTGCTTCTCGTGTTTTTGCTATAAAATACTCATCTCATATTAGCGTTTACGGGTAACCTAAAAACCGCAAGTGCGACAAGTATCGATGACATAACATATTTCCTGTATGCATCGCCCCTAGACTCACTTTCGCCCTGGACCTACTGTGTGAGTCCACACCACGTAGTACCAACCGAGTTCCGGAACATCCTTACAGTCTGTCCTCGTAATTTAAGACTTCGTAGAATCAGTTGACCCACACTCGCTTTTGGATCTATATATATTACTTCTGGCTAGATGTCATTTTAGAAGATTGATGCGCGATCTGGTCCGAGTATATCAATGTATGTCCCTCGAGTCCCTTTGACGATATTTTACAACAATATCCTACAGGCGCACATGTCATGAAGTACAACGATACTATATCCTGATAGCCACCCTATGCCCTATGTGACCCTCGCTATGTGCTCTACAAAATCCAGACCCTCTTGCGAAATCCCCCCCTCCCATACTTCATCATACTCCTCCTCCCCAATATGCTGCATCACGGTCTCCGCATGATGCCCGGAAGAAAACGCGAGATAACACAGCACTATCGACATCACATCAACCGTGTGATCCGCTGGTGCGACAACGAGTAGCTGGACATTGAAGCGTGGAGGGTGCTTTGGAACGAAGCGACTCGAATACGGCATGATCAAAGAAAGGTAGTCCCGTGCTGCAAGGAGCTGGGAGGCACTGAGCGCTGTGCAACCTCGGCTTCTCCCCTCCGGCTGCCTCGGGCATTTGAGTGTTAGCTTCTGCACCTTCAAAGAACCTTCTATCATTTCCTCGCTCCTTAAGCCCGATGCTGCAACGTCTTCCACAGGCTCTATTTGCAGGACGTGACTGAAAGGCACCCCAGCTTCCGCACAAAGCGTGTCTACTTCATGTGCGTCGGCTGATGCGACGTACAGACACTCCGTTATGTCTTGGAGGTGATAGCGCCTGGAAAAATATTCCAAAGGTGCGTCGTAGTGGATAAAATTATCCCACTCGCGATGCGCACTGCTTGGTGCCGCCTGGGTGGTGGGTGTGTGACTTGTCATGGGACCATCGGTGAAATGTTCGAATGTTGTTCGAACTGTGAGTCGGACAGAGCAGCGCTCTCGGAGTGGTCGATGTATTTGAACAGGAGGATGAATATCCAGTACGGGTGTCGAATCATTCGTTGACATTACTAGTACGATAATTGGAACGAGGTGGGATGTATGAAATGTGATGGAGACCGTTGTGCAGATTCACGATCAGGAGATGCTCGCGCATTTTATCCTTTGAGAGGTGTGGAAGTCGTGGCTCTCTGTCCACATCTCATACATCAAAAAAGTGGAACAATGACCTCTGCCTCGTGAGTACCAGTCATGTACGTGTTTGGAGGAAGTACGGCACCTGACATACTGTGGATCTGAGGAAAGAGACTCGTACTATCGATACAAGTATACCATTGGTGCTTAGCAAGGTTAGGTGAATCCGAGTCAAACCGCCACTTCGCGATCAAAGCACATATAATTTGGATTACATAATAAAATTATGACATTGGCACCTTCACATCCAGTGCGCCAATATCGAGTAATTATTAACACCAATTACTTCCTTGTAAATCTTGGGCACGACAGTGAGATACTCGCGAATAATCTGCTCTGCTAGTGGCACGCTTTGTCCTTTCAAAAACTATGGCTGTATCATCCTCATCCACCAAAGACTATGAGATATTCATGTCCACGGTCCAGAAGCCGCCCGAACCAGAGCAAAGCTTTGAGGTGCGCTACCACACTGATTACTCATCGCTCCTACTCAATGTACTACACCGTCATTAGGAGGTACGCGTGAAGGACTACATCAAAGCATACACTGCGACCGGTCGACCACCAGTACCAGTCCCAGACCAACCAACTACCCCAAATGCTAGATATGCGCTCGGCTTGCCACCGATATTTTCTCCCATTCCAATAGAATCGACTCCGAGCATCAGCCCTGCAAGCATTGTAGCAGAGAAAGCCATAACAAACACCAGTGATCTGCCCACCATCCAAGTATTTCAGGCGACTAAGACACCGATTGAAGGGCAGTTCCAGAGCATCACAGCACAGCCTACTTTTAGTTTTTTCTCCTATGAGGTATGTATCCATAATATCGCGCACCCGCGGCCTATTTTTCTTCACTGCTCCAGCCACCGACTCAGGAATGTTGACGACCGCCTATCGAATCCAGGAATTGCGGCTTTATGCATATCTTTCAGGGAACATCATGCCTCCGACCCCACTTCCATCGGAGATCCCCTCTTTGGACAATACGCCAACACAGGTCATCCATCCATTTTACGCCAACGACTCAGCAGCAACTGCGTTCGCACGCCCCAGCACAGGCCCTGATGCTCCAGACGCCTACATGAGCATCACGGCGTCTCTCAAATTCGACAAACATTCGTTCGAGGTATATCTTCCTATTTTTGACGTATTCCGTGCGGATGCTCTCATCTCGGCTTTAGGAACTACGGCTGGCATATCGTCTTGCTGGCAAGGAGCTTACCTCATTCGAAATTTCTACTCGTGGGTTGCTACAGTGGGAGACAAAAGATGGTTTTGGTAACCGCCTTCGCCCAGGGTAATTTTTTTTGTATGGTAGATGTTTGGTTACACTTCGATTTCACTGCTAAACCACGAAATTTCAATGCCCGATCAGTGTTTGGTTTGAGTATTGATTATTGTTTGTATCACTTGTATACCATCATCGCTTCGTACTTGTACAACTTGTACCACAGAATGTTGTTGTTCTGGGTAATGTTCGAGAAGTCTAATGTGCACAACATGTATCCAAGTCAAATCGAGGTTTTTGGGGGGTGTATTGATCAATTCATAATATTGAGTTCTCTACTTATACCATGACTTGCTCAATGTGTAGATCTTCTCATGAAGAACGATTATACTATATTCATAGGATAATACACAGATCGAGACGCGGGAGCACTTGTCATCCGATTATTGAAAGTCACATAATGATTCTTCGAGCGCTACATAAGTAATCCGCATGCCCAAGCTTCCTCTCGATCAAAGAACACGCTAACTAGACAGCAGAATTCATTGACTTAGCGCGAATACTAACTGACACAATACGCCCTTCCTCGCTCTCAGTATGAGCGCTTGTGTTTTTCAAGGGGTACCCTCGATTTTGTATGCGCCTGTCTAGTGTTGACCATGCAACAAGTCAGAATTAGACGAATAGAGTGATGGGCCCTTGTGTACGTCTAGAAGTAAGGGGTAAGGAAAGTCTGTCGAACTTCGGGAACGCATTACAAGGGAATAAACTATAATTTTTAGTGGCCTATAAGGAATGGTGACACACTAGTGAGAAACACCAAGATCCAAATGATTGCTCCTGTCGTTTGTGTAGTCAATGCAACTCCTTTCCACCCACTGAATACAGACACCCAGTGACCGCCAGAGTCTATGACCCTTATACAACAAGGCAATACTACCATGCCAATACAGGTAAACGCCCATTCGCTGGCAAAATATGCACGCCCATGACCCACACCTACAGGGAACCACAGTCATTAGGTCACAGACAAGGCAATATGAAGGGATACGAACGTTATACAGGCGGTAGCTCCACTGATCATTAATCTCGTCGCGATAGAGAAAGTAGCGAATTCCGATCCAAGAACCGAGAGAAATAAAGAAAATGCTGCAGAGGGGCCCTATGCTCCATATTGATGTAAGAGCAAAAGAAAGTAGCGGAAGGACACAAAGCATATATATGCGAGATCCTTCGGGCGCTACAATCGGCAGGGTTCGTCGCCCCGACTTTCTATCGCCGTTGACGTCGGCGAACGGTAAAGGACGCCACGGTTTATTCACGATATCTTCATCAGCAGAGTAGGATTGGTTGGAGACGTTGAATTGGAAGAGATGGAACCAGAGCCAGCACACAGTGCATGCTAGGGCTGGCGGGTCATGGCGAGGAGATACAACGGCTGCAAATACCATCTACCATAAAAATTCAGTGTCGTGTGGTAGTAGTCATTGACGGAATGGATACCATTGGAAAAATGAGTGTTTTGAAGTCAGATGCTGTGAAAAGCCAAGCAGTCTCGCAGTGACGCAAAGCACTGCGCAAAGAGGTCGCTACGAAGCCAGACATGAGTGCTGCAGCCTCTGTTTCACCGTTCAGCATTAAATAGTTCGAAAGGAAGGCTGCATTTTTATTTTTATTTTATTTTTTGTCAAAAAAAAAAAAGGTTCGCCCTCACTACGTTTCCCATAGTGGTGACCTCTGTGCGCGCACACCGAGGCGCGTAGCACTAAAATTGCAAGCGGTATCACCCTGTTAATAGCAATGGGACACTGCAGTGACTGCACCGTGAATTTGCGGAGGGAAAGGCTACGGCGTTTACGTGTAGACACTGAAACAATCACAGTTAGCGAGGACATATATAAGATGTCATATACCTCAACAGAAGTACTCATGGGAGAATTGAACCTTTACACCAGCTAGTGTGTAGCATTCTAGATTTGAAAAGAGTCACCCAGGGGTTTGAGGATTCGGCGGATACCCCTGTGAGAAGTAAAATAATAATTAGATTAAGTGACAGTGGGAGTGAATGTATTAGATCTCGCGTTGTGGCACTCTTCAAAGTATTGCTCAAATCCCAATATCGCTAACAATGTCAACTGAACACGGTACGTGAACTTGATTGTTGTCGCCAACCTTTCGCCAACTCGCTTTTCCTTAGGTACGCGCAGATTGCCGACGCTGAATCGGTCATGTGGCCCTGTGACTCCCACCTAGGCCCGAGGTACTTACTGTTACAGGGCCTGCCCGTGTGCCTCTGGTACTGCTCAATTCTCTGCACCTCAGGAACGTCCGTGCGCTTGCGCAAGATACACAGCAACCGACACGGGGTGGGGCGAGACGCAGTTTGATTGATAGCTAGAAGAACCAGAAGCCATGGCGACTGAGACAACAGAGAGCATTGCGAAGCAAGAAGGGAGCACAACGAAAACTGAGATAGCCGCAGCGGAGGTCGATCCATAGCTGCCGATAAGCCTCCGTAGTCCGAATATGATCGTCGGAGCGGCAACAAGTGGAGCTCACAGGGAAATTCGGAATTGTTTTGCCAGACCTGTATCTTAGAAGATAATGCAGGAATTGTGTACTGTACTGCAAGCATTGATAGCGAGCATCTCGTAGATTATATGTAGAAGGGAGTATGTTATGAGAGCCTGCTCTTATAGTATGTAGAAGGATCATCGAAGATTCGAAATCTCTTGCTTCCGCCGATGTCCAACGTGATTATATAATATCCAGGCAGGACTTCTGGCACTCGGTAAGTGCGTTCAAGCCACCATGTTCATCTCAGCCTTCAATGCGACTTACCGGCCCCTTCTACGGCTACGAGGCGGAGGTACACTTTGACGAACATGGCTGTCCGTGAATTTTGTAGATTAACACCAATCAGGAACACTTGAAAATTGTTATTTAAGAGTCGACAATTGATACGAACATGCTGCAATAAATAACTACACAAAACCGCTGGCTGGAATTAAATCAGAACCTTCAGCACAGATACGGTCTGAAAAGTAATTGAGGCGCAAAGGCTGGGCGTGACGAAGGAAAAAGATTGAAGCCTTTATCCTGGAAATAGGCTACGTGTGAACGAAGTAAAAACTCAACAAATGTGGATGAGAACGACTTCTTCAAGCACTACTAAGTAGCCCACATGTCCAAGCTTCCTCCCAATCAAAGAAAACCGTAAACTGGATGGGAGAATCCTCTAACTTGGTACGAACACCGACGGACACAACACACCCTTCCCCACTCTCGATGTAAGCGCTTATGTCCTTGGGTTCCCAGTAGGCCGAGCGTGGGGGATCGAACAACGTCAACAATTCAACATCCACGTTCTCCTCGCTCAAACTCGTCTTCGCAGCGACCGTGAGCACGATTCGCGGCAGCACCAGCGAAACTGTTTGAAGGTGTTTGAACGATTCCCATGGGACGCTTGTCATCCATTCAGGCAGTGGGTATTTCCGATGTTCTAAATCGTCAAAGCAGGGATCATAGGTAGGGAGTAAATGGGTTTGTGCTCTTGTGGGGGAGAGGAAGGAGAGGCGAGAAATGGAGGCGAGGAAAGCGGATCCCTCGGCAGTGCTTGTGAGAGGGCGCCATCGATTGAATTCTCCCACTAACGTCAAATTGTTGATGCGCCAAGGTGGAGGGACACGGACTAGGTCGTTCGTGTTGACGTGGGAGCTCCATGCGGACTCGAGGCAGCCATAGAGAAGCCACAGACTTTCAAAGTCTAGTGCGAGGGAGGGTGCGGATAGCACCACCGGCGCCAGTAGGCCGAAGTCAACGTCACGCTCAGACGTGGTGGAGGAGGCAAAGCTGCTATGCACGGGAGCTTGTGGGGGAGGTTCGCAGATTTGTCCAAACCAAATTCTGTTTATGCGACCAGCGTAATCGAAACGGAGGTCATTTTCTTGTAGAGAGAATATTTGCTGCATGCGCAAAGCACGAACGAAAGCCGTTACATTGTTGTATTCCGGGAGCAATATTGTGCGTAGGAGTTCGGGAAGGACGGTGTGTCTGACGACTTTGGAGACGCGGCATAGTGAGAGGGCGGATGCATATGGATTCTTTGGTACATCGTCGCCAGTTTTGACGAAAGTAGGTCTCGCGGCGTGTGCAAAGATGAGAAGGACGAGCTCCGTCGAAAGATTCCCAAACGGAAATGGGGAAGTGACTTGCATGATGGGAAAGAAGGGTGTGAAGCTGGTTAGATGATGTATAAATTTATGTTGAGACGCACCTTATATACCAAGATGATCCATATGTGGATTGTGGTCCGGGATAAAAAGGGCGTTGAACGCCAAGGTCCACAGTCACTGCGGCGCACATTGTCCACAGCGGAGATATGCCAGCGCATCTGAGGAATTGTAGTCTACGTAAATTTATTGTTCCATTCTGGTGCTCAAGTGCAGTGCGCTATGGCTCCGTAGAATTTACTTACTTATCAGTGTCCACGAGAAAATTTTGTTCAACTTGAATAGGGTGCAGGCTGGCCTTGATACAAAGTCACTGGCTGAAATAGGAAGAGCCTGGCACAATCTTCCGTAATCATTAGACTTCGTTCACGACCTAATGAGGCCTTCCCTTTGTACGTACTCCCACTGGCCAGTGAAGCGTTTCACAAACCTTCTGAAACACACGGACCTAAATGTTACACAGCAGTACCTCATGCACATGTCCGTCAGCGTGGCCTTGAAACCCGGTTGGAGGTGATGCATATGATGTTACGTTGGCTTTGGCGTGTCAGAGGTCTAGATATTTGTCTTCTCAACAAATTTTTCAGAAGGGTCCTGGCTGTGTGGCGTAGTTCTTGACAAGGCTTCCATTCTTACTGCTTTGTTACAGCATCCTAGTCTTAATCCATCAGCTCATGAGGAGGCTACTAGCGGACTCGAAATGAGATAGGTTTCTCTGTAACTCGTTAATTGGGCGTGAAGGTAGGCTAAAAGTTCATAGAACAACAGCTTAAATTGACTACTTGGTAATACTGAGTATTCAAGTTAGTCACGGTACTCTTGAGAATTGCTCTCAGCTCAGACTCGTGTCACTTATTCTTCGACGCACCACCAAATACCTTGAGCGAGCTAAGCGCTTACTATGCATAGCTCTGCGATGAGCGCTCGGCGCTGGCCGTACGCCATGCCGCCACAGCACGCACAGCAAGTACATACTGGAATCAATTCGAGCATCCATCTCGGCATCCTTCGGATTTTTACTCATTCCACAGTTGCTTCACAGCCTGATCTTTGCTCAGTTCGTTACCGTCAGACAAACTAACGACGCCAATTGTTTCACGACTTATCGATTACCCTTCCCCTCTTCCCTCAAAGTTTCAAGTTGCAGCTTAGGCTTTTTCGATCAACGTTTTCGTATGTCTTCCCTCGAGATAACTAATATGATGTCTAACATAATCACACTGTTGATTCTTGAACACCAGTGCTGGTGTTTCTATTCCAAAACTCACGGCCGCCCCACCAGTCGTGTCTTATCATCAACCTTTCATGATGAGTTACCACGACCAATGTCAATATTCCATTTCTCAGTATATCTTTCACATTCTAACCTCATTAACAGTTCGTGGCGATCTTCGATCAATTGAAGGAACCTGGGAGAAGCTTTCCCAGGTTGCTGTCAAGGGCGCTGAATACGACTCCCGTGAACGTCAACCCCATCCAAAATGTCTGAAAGGAACCCGGGTGGACCTCCTCGACTTTATCTATGGGTTATTAGACAAGAAAGAGAAAAATCGTATCATCTGGCTGCATGGCACGGCAGGCGTCGGAAAGTCTGCTGTTGCGTTCACTGTAGCTGAAAAGATGAGAGGTCTGAAAATGACAAAGGAGACGAAAGTAGAAAAACGACTCGGGGGAACATTCTTTTTCTCGCGCAAGCACACGAAACGCCGCACTACTGGATATTTCTTTGCGACGCTTACCTACCAGCTTGCTACCAACTTTCCCAGCATACGGGGGGACGTGAACAAAGCTATCATTGAGAATCCCGCCCTTCTAGATCCTGACAAGTCTCTTCGGGATCAGATGGAGGCGTTGTTTCTCCGCCCTCTCCGGAAGCTTTTTCTCAGACTTCGCGAGTGTCCGCCTTTGGTGTTTGTTATTGATGCCCTTGACGAATGCACACCCGAATCGCTCGAATCTGAATCCTTCGATGAACCCACCTCCGAAAGCGAGCTCGCTGACCTTATCTCCATGCTTGGCGAAGCTCTTTGTGAACCCGATCTTCCCATCGTCCACATTTTGCTCACAAGTCGCTCGGAAGAGCATATCCGCAAAGCTATGCAGACTGAAGAGATGCACACGCTGGTGTGCGAGATACCAGTGAAGACTTCTGGAAAGGGCGTTGCTGCCACCATCTCGTTAGACGGCGCAGATGTTGACAATGACATATACATTTTCTTACAGCACTCGTTCAGAGAGCTGGAGAGTTGCCATCCCGATTTCCCACAGCCATCGGGCGATCAACTTACACGGCTAGCGAGCCGAGCGGGGAGACGTTTCATTGTTGCGTCTACGATGATGAAGTTCATTGACGATCGAAAACATGATCCCCGTGATCGACTCCAGCTCATGCTCGAGCTAACAAGCGAAATGCTACCAGGAACGGAAGTGTACAAGCTCTACGACCGCATCCTCTCCACGTGTGCCGACCCAACGCTAGCATATCTGCACTTATCCGTCATTGCTGCCCTCGCAGACCCACTTCCGATGTCGCAGATCTCCAAACTTCTTGGCCCTGGCCAGGGCAGGGACGTCGAGACAGTACTTACGCAGCTACGATCTATCATAGATGTTCCCACCGACAGCAGTCTCCCCGTGAATATCTATCATTCGTCCGTTCGTGACTATGTTTCCCACCGTTCAAACTGCAGCCTCCGTCAAGTACAATACATCCAATCACCCCACTCCCTACTCGCCATTTCCTCTTTCCGCTTGATGATGCGAGACCTTCCAGATCGCACGGCCCTCCTAGATGCACTTTCAGATTTGAAGAAGCATAGTCAAGCCACACAACCCCAGGACCCCCAGAATTTGAAAAACTCATTATCCTTCATCGTCCAGCCACCAGAGTCACTGCAAATTCTTATAGGTCTTCTATGGCTTCGTGGACACCATGGCTCAGAGTTGCAATTCTGGCTAGAGACTCCGGATGGACATGCCTGGCTGCAGACTCAGGAAGGGAAAGACTGGGTGCTGACTGACGGTGGGAGCCACTGGTTATCGACCCAGGGGGGAAAGGACTGGTTGCAGGCCCCAGGCGGACTAGATTGGCTGCAGACCCCAGCCATGAAAGTTTGGGTGCGGACCCAGGGTGGGTTGAACTGGCTACAAACACAGGCCGGGATAGACTGGCTGCAAACCCAGTACGGACGAGACTGGCTGCAGACCCCAGACGTGGAAAACTGGGTGGAGACTCAAGGTGGACGAAAGTGGCTGCAGACGCCTAGTGTGCGGGAGTGGCTGCTGACCGAGAGCGGACAGATTTGGCTGGAGACACCGGGCGTACGAGACTGGCTGGAGACACCAGGCGGGAAAGATTGGCTGGAGACTGGGAAAGATTGGCTGGAGATCTCGAGCGTGCAAGATTGGCTGAAGACCTCGGGTGGACAAGATTGGCTACAGACCACGGCTGGGCGAAACTGGCTGCAAGTCGGGGACCATAGAGACTGGTTGCAGACCGCGGGCGGGAGTGACTGGCTGAAGACCCCGGGTGGGAATGACTGGCGGCAAACTGCAGATGGGAAAGCTTGGATGAAGACCCCAGGTGGGCTAGTCTGGATCCAGACCTTGAATGGGCAATTATGGCTGTACTCCCAGAGCGGGGAAGAGTGGCTAGAGACCCAAGACGGGCAAGAGTGGCTGCGGACCCCGGGTGGGCAAGAATGGCTGCGGACCCTGGGTGAGCAGTGGCTGCAGACCCACGACGGGCGAAAGTATGTGCAGACCGACGACGGGCGAGAGTGGCTGAAGACCCAGGGCGGGCGAAAGTGGCTGAGGAAGGGCGGGAAAGAGTGGCTGTGGAACAAGGGCGGGGAAGAGTGGCTGGAGACCCAGGACGGGCGAGAGTGGGTGGAGACCTGGGACGGGCGAGAGTGGCAAGAGTGGCAAGAGTGGCTGCAGACCCAGAGCGGGAGAAAGTGGCTGCACACCCGGCGCGGGCGAGGGTGGCTGAAGACCCGGGACGGGCTAGGGTGGCTGAAGACCCAGGACGGGCAAGGGTGGCTGGAGACCCAGGACGGGCGAGGGTGGCTGGAGAGCCAGGACGGGCGAGAGTGGCGAGAGCGGCGAGAGTGGCTGCAGACCCAGGGCGGGCGAGAGTGGCTGCAGACCTGGGACGGGCGAGAGTGGCTGCAGACCCCAGATGGGCAAGAGTGGCAAGGGTATCATTTGTGGTATTGGAACCCGTGGGGTAAGATATCGAGTCTCATAGTGATCACCTTTCAGAACAGGGATGACAACTACAAGCCGGTCGAGTTAGCCTCGCTGCAGACGCAAGACGGGAAAGAGTGGCTGCAGACGCTGGGTGGGAGCACCTGGCTGACGTCGATAAGCGGGAAAGAGTGGCTGCAGACCCAGAACGGGCGAGATTGGTTGCAGACTGCGGGCGGGAGAGACTGGCTGCAGACCCTAAATGGGCGTGCCTGGATAACATCTGTGGATGGGCGCGCCTGGCTGCAGACTTCAACAGGACGACATTGGCTACATACCTCAACTGGGTATGCCTGGATACGATCATCGGGCGGCCAAGGCTGGCTGCAAACCCCGGGTGTGCAAGAGTGGCTACAGACCCCGAGCGGTCGGCAGTGGTTCCAGACCCTGCCCTCGTCCCCCCACCCTTCATTGACATCCTCTGTATCGTATGCACCAATCTCTCAATCATCCTCACAACCCAACACGGGAGATCAGCTACCGAGTTCGGACGAGGGAGCCTGGCTGAAGGTTCCAGGCAGCCTACGATGGCTACAGACCCTTGACGGGCAAGAGTGGATGCAGTACCGTGGAGGGTGGGACTGGTTACCGACCCAAAGTGGGAGAAATTGGCTGCAGGACACAGGCGGTCAGGACTGGCTGGAGACCTCGGGCGGGCGAGATTGGCTGCAGGCCCAGGGTGGGCAAGACTGGCTGCAGAAGTATGGTCGAGACTGGTTGCAGACTCAGGGTGGCCAAGACTGGTTGCAAACACCACATGGTCAAGCATGGCGTTTGACGACTATCTGGGTGACTGTCGAAGAATTTTCGAGCACTTTGGAAGCAATCAGGGAGTACATAATCGCCCCGGAACTGCATTTGCAGCCAGCTTTTCAAGCAATCCAGGAATTCAAGTCCCTGCCCGATTTCTTGATGTTCCCGGCATTCCTGGCATTAAGGCATCAAGATCATTCCTCCTTCGCATTACCGCAAAGTTGTCCACCAGATATGGAGATCATTCATGCTATGAACACTTTTTCAACTTTCGCATACGAAGCACGCGCACGCAGTCGATCAACTTCAGAAGCCCTCAACTATGCATGTCAAAACTGGGCTATCCATCTCTCGCGAGCTACAAATCCGTGGGACGAAAGGCTCGCCTATCTGTTTAAGTCTTTCTGGAACCATAATCTCCTCTCCTGGCTCGAAAAACAGTGGAGTTTGAAGGACTTGCAGTCTTGTCTCACTATCTTATCTGAAGGCCAGAAACTTGCGATGGTGGGTGATTTCCAACGTTCTCTAGACTTACAACAGCAAAGCCTGACCTGTGCATATAGGAACATCTTCTCCAGGCTCCAGTGTCATCTCAGTCACGAGTCTGAAGGTGACAATCTCAAGATACGACATGCCACGCTGTCTTGCCGCTGTACACATATTTCACGTTGCTCAAGTATCTATAACCTGCTGTACAAAATTGTAATATTTATAGTACCATAGACAGTGATACGAACGAAGGATACGAACGTTACACAGGCAGACGTTTGACTGGTCACTGGTCACAAATCTAGTCGCGAAAGAGGAGATAACGAAGCCCGACCCCAGAGCAGACACGACCATGCAAGGAAAATACTGCAGAGGCCCCACTGGGCTGTGCAATGAGGCAAGTGCAAGGGATAACAGCTGAAATGCACAACGCATGTCGATGCGAGATCCTTCGGAACTACAATCGGCAAAGCTCGTCGTCCTGAGATGCTATCACAATTAATAAAGATTCACCATTAGCATCCGCGAAATCACGCGCATGGACTGTCAGTAATAATATGACATGGGTGGTGCATGAAGATATTTTCATGCCTGTTTCCCATCAAGCAACGATCCCCCTGCTAAATATAAATCTAGTCAATGAATTATCATCCTGAGAGGCAGAATAGCCTACTCAGAACCTTTGAACGGCTCGGAACAATCAGCTCCATCAATCAAAACACGGATATTGCATGAATGAAAATGGGATGATGACTGAGATCTGAGACGAAGACCGTTGTACAAATCCTGAAAGGTCACAGCAGAAAACACGCGTCCACACTGGCAGAACAAGGAACGAGAACTTGACCCCGACGCTAATGCGCCAAGATGCGTATGCATGGTATATTCACGACACCTTGATGAGCAAAGTAGGATTGGCTGGAGACGTTGAATCCGAACAGATAGAACCACAAGGATCAGGCCAGGGCTAGTTTACTACTAGCTAGTAGCAGGTCGTGACGAAAAAATCAAGTGTTGCGCACTGATAGTTATTACTAGAATGAATATTACTGGGATCCATTTAATTTGTCGATTCGCAGGGGTCCTACTATCATTTCGGATAATTGTTTCGAGTTAGGTTTCAAGTAGGTTACTGGAAGTTGGAACAACGATTTTACTTGGCTGACTACGCTGGCCACTGAGCTTCTAATTATGTAATTGGCGTTTCTGAGAGTATGAGTCGACGGTCCCAGAAATGTGACATAGGCGTATGAGTCAAGTTATCGATGCGCAGTGCATACCTCTTGGCGTACTATCCGATGATATAACTTCTAGGTTGAACGAAATTCTCAGCTTCGAATTCACGGACGATTCACGACACGTTGTAGCTATACTAGGTAACGTTCCAGGACCCACACACGAATCCAACGTCCAGTTCAATACATAGAATAATGCTACAGGTATAGTGTATGATCCACAAATGCACAGTACGGACAGCAATGCTAATGACCATGCGAATATAAAGTGTAAGTATGTATGTAATAGCACGACCCTCTCTCACGCGCTCGCAGCAATGACAGGCGGAAGCTCCATCGCCCTGCCCTGCCCTTGTGGACTCGGTTTCTTCTTGCTTCCTCCCGCCATACCTAAGGTCCCTCCACTCCATGCTGCACTGCTCCCTCCACTCAACCCATTAGTGCCACCATTGCCAGCTCCAGTTCCGCCAACATCTTTTCCCTCCGGCCCAAGCCCATTGAATGCACGCATCGGTTCCACTGGAACGGCATCCGACATACCAGGCCCTGACATCGGCCCTGGCTCCTTCGCTTTGTTCTTCTTCTTGACAGCCCCTGCAGCAGCGCCTGTCTTGAGTACCTGACCCAAGGGTCCAAGCTTTGCCTGTGCAGGTGCGGGTGCATCGTCTGGGATCGTGATGATGCGTGCGAAATCCCCTGACGAACTTGGTACATAAGGTAATGGTAGAACGCCAGGATGAGGAAGGAAGCCAAATTGAGGGCCCGGTGGGAGATAAGGAAGACCTTGGAGGGTGCCAGGAGGTGCGAGCGATGCAAGCCGCACTTGAAAGTAGTGACGCAATAACCCAATCTGGTCGCCCACATTCTTGCTCGTGATAGGAAGTAAGGGAGGTGGTGGTGGATATGGCGGTGGTGGTTCTTTTGGTTTTGCTCTGAGGGTGGAATAAAATCAGACAACAAATCGGGAGATTGAATGGACAAGACGTACTCGATAGCGGCCCCTGCTGCTCCCCTTGATTTCCCTTTGAGTAGCTTCTTTGGGATAGTGAGACTCGATAACCCCAATTCGGCAGCAATGCCAAGCTCCCGTAACCCAAGAAAGTCATCACCAAGTGAGTCAGAAAACCCACCCATGACAAAGGCACTTTCGTCCTCTTCGTCGTCTTCACCAGCAAACAGCGCATCGTCGTCGAGAACTTCTACTTGTGTCTGTGCATGTGGTAAGTACTGGGAATTTAGCCAAGAGTAAGGGGAAAGATCGACTAACAGCTTCGCGGTATGCTCCAACAAGCTTTTTCTCGAGGTCAACAAGGCGTGAACCGTGCCGGACGACATCGTCCTTGATGTACCGCTCGAGATCTTGGATTCTCGTGACTCCACTCTCGAAGAGTGTATGCAGGATGATTTCCTACAACACGCTACTAGTGAGTTCCGGGTTGACGACGAAAGGGACAAGGTGAGAGGTACCTCTGGCGTCATGCTCTTCGCATACTTGTCGCACATAAATCGTAGCGTTCGACCGACATTAAGAAAATACTCGGACGTTACCCCTACCAACACATCCAGTGCAGCGCCCGATGTCCCTGGACATGAAGTAAAAGTAAGTACACCAGTCTCTAGCCGCCTATCACGCCAAACAAGATGATGACGAGTAAAGGAGGATATGGAACACACCTTGAAATCCTTCATGCTCCAACACCTTTCGATTCATCCATTTTAGACATCCGTCCGCGTTCTTCTCACCAACTTCTAGTTCAACTGGTCCCTTCACTTGTCTAAGACCAGCATATCTCGATCGCCACGGCCGCTCATCTATAACCTCGTCAACCATGCCTTCTTCCCCTATATCTGGCGGCTCATCCCCCATACCACCTTCTTCTGCGTTAAGGTTGAGCGCGGCAAACTTTGCATGCGTACGTCGGACCCGTTTGAGAGTTTTAATGTTCGTGTTCATAATACTGAGGAGGGTGTTGGGCGCGGGAGTATCTCTGTCCTTGTACTTTGCTATGGACTGGGGGCGAAGTTTCCGTCGCTTGCGGGGCCTTGTAAATTGTGATGAGGACGCTGTGGGCTGGGATTGCGGATAGAGGGTCGATGCAGCAAAAGGCTGGGGAAGGGCTGGAAGTCCATTGGCGAGAAATGAGTCAGATTGAACAGAGGACCACCAGGTCGAGTTCGGGTCGTTTGCCGTGGGAAGAGGCGCAAAGGGAGCAGGGATGAGACGTACGCGTTTACGAGGATGATAAGATGAACCGTTTCTGCATCGAATAAGCGAAGAGGTACCGCAGTCAGTATTTGCCGATCAATGTACGGAGGATGTGTGGGTAAAGGAACAAAATGGTGAGGCTCACAGCTTGCGTTTCTCCCCCGAGTCGTTATCTATTGACATTAATGCTTCGTCTACTTCGCTGTCATAATCGTTTGTAGAAGCAGATGAACTGTACCCATTGGGGATGCTTGATGGACCAGCTTCTGACTCAAGTGTACGGAACGCAGCCATACCGTACGGCGTACGTTCAAGCGCAGGGGAATCGGCAAAGGGGAGATCCATACGTTGCTTTGAGGATTGTGGTACTGTCAATGACGGAGATCGTCTGTGTGTGTATGCCGTGCCGTTAATCTTGGGCCGTGCCGTTGCGTTAGGTCTCATGGCGACGGGAGAAGCGGAATGTGGAGGCTGGGATAGAGCAGCAGGTAGGGGAGGGTCGATTCGTTCTTTGCGGTCAGTGATATTCTTCAGTAGTCTATCGGCTTTCTTCTTGAGGCGCATTGCGCACTGACGGAGTGGGTGGTCCTGCGCGGCACAGTGGGCCTCACCACGCGTTTTCACGACGGTGATACATACCTCAGTCGCATTGTAGGTGAAACAGTTTGACCATATCAGATCTAGATCATCTGCAAACTCGCGCTTGGACTTGTACTGCTTTGATTTGACCTTCTTGAGCATGGTTTGAAGGTCCATGGGGTTTACGATCACTGGATGGTATGAGACGAGGTATGGGAAGACGGGATATATGGACGCACCATCGTAGTAGTCGGGAACATCAGATTTTGCAACTGGCTTGAGGAATGCCTCCGCGTCGTGATTATCCTGTGTATGATGTCAGCGGGGTAAGATAGCGTTGATCCGCATACACACACACCATAGTCACTGTACGCAGATCATGAAGCAGTCCCTCAAGGGAATCATAGAATGGTTCGGATACCTTGGCATCGAAGCTTTGACGCTAGAGCGATTTAATGCATTATTTCTGCTTTAAGCACAGCACGGAACAACAAGACTCACGCGTGCGTCCTTGACAGCACTCAGAAGTAGCCTAAGGTCAGACGAGGGCTTGACCTGGCTCTCGGTGAGTGTCCTGAGGAGATTCTGCATACTGTTAGTTGTATGTGTGCGGATGGCTTGACGTAGCTTACATTCATCCTCTGGTCGCGCCGGCTGGCGTTAACGGCGCAACGGACTCAGCGGGACAACTGCCTTGTTCAGTCGGAGTTTGAATGCGTATGGAAGTCTCCGACCCAAACAATATCTTATGCTGGGTTCAGCCTATGGTGGTTGGCTAACTTTTGAATCGATCAAGTAGTATCTTGGCCAGGCAGCAAGGTATGTATAGTGTAATTATTGTGGACTGTGGACCGTGGTAAGTTTTTGTGTTACTCATTTTTATACTGTAAGCACAATGATCAACGTGCACTTCCAGCGTATTTTTTTTAGCTTTTAGAATATGCGATCTCCATGTAGATACTGATTCAAGTACCAATGACCGAGCTTAAAAAAACCAAACATACGTGTTTCCCTAGTATTTGCTCGCAGAAAACAACAAATAAGGAACGACCTCAGTCCAAAAAATAATAAAAGTCTTGATCATGCCCAAACGTACAGAAAGTAAGACAACCGATTGCGAGAGAACCATCATAGGAACAATGCGAAGGTGGCACGAACCATGTACTAAGAAGGTGAGACAATATTTGATCGGCGTGGTGATCAAACGGAAATGTTCGATATCCACATTCAATCTCAATCGCCTTCAAGTGAATGTCCGGACTTCTCTGTTTGTGAATCTGCAGCAATATGGATAGGCATGGACTCCATTATCATAGGCTGTGTTTGATGAGGGAAGACAGGTAAGCATTAATAACAAGACATGAGACAACATGAGACAGCAACCAGTAAGGCCTATACAAAGGTGTGCAGTCGCGAAGTAGGCCGTGTCACATCATCAGGACTAACTTGAGGTTCCATGTTCTGTTGTTTGCGACGCCTAGGAATGAGACTCAGAATGTGTTGATACTGAATCAGAGAGAAAGTTTCACCGCAATCAGGCATCTACAGATGCAGCGGATAGGAATGTGCTTCGAAACGAACTTGAGAGAGAGAGAGGTCAGGATAGAATAGGAAGATGAAGGATTCACATCGCGATAGAGTTTGGGAGCACCATCCCCTCCCACCCGCTGCAACGAGGGACAACGAAACGGAGGGAAAACGTACTAGAAAGTTCTTATACACGATGCTTGAGAATGAACTTCCCCATGCTATATGATAGGACACTCAGCACGAGAAGTCTGTCGCGAGCTATTAGGACGTCTGAGGTAGCCACCATGCGTGAAACCTGCCTGAGGCGTCAGCCGTTAAACAGAGAACCGAGATACTTAGGCATACTCTTGATCATCGGACGGGAGATACCAGACAGGCTGATTGTCAGGTAGACCCAGAGCGTTTTTGATACCAGAGCATGCAATGTCAACAAGATAAAACAAGAACATGTGTACAATTATATCGCGATCACAGCTGATCCCGCACTGTAATGTAAAGTACAAACTTCTTACCTTCCTCAGCTAAGCGTATTTCATCTTGACGTACTTAGCAGTTGACATCCTGCTGAATGAGCGCCATGGCTTTCGCAGGGCGAGGTGTAAAGAACACTTGAAGGGTTTGGGGTGGCTGCGAGTGTGCCTATCCAGATTGGCGCCGAACATGATAAGATATGCAACATACCTGATCGTGCCCGATAATAGATCAACCTCAGGTGTGATCTCATTGATACCGTTCTCGACGACCTTGGAGATATCGAACACGGCCAGCGAGATCGCGGTGGACGTCCGGACCGAAGCTTCAGCAAGGTGGAGACATGTACAAGAAAAGCAAGCAACATCAGAATATAGGTCGGTTTATCGGCGCATCTGTATGTTGTGCATACCAGGAAAGATAATGGGGAGCAGAGAGTTAGCATGGCATTAAAAAACTCCATACCTACGTCCCTCAGGGCCGAAGCAAATTATGCGAGGCTGTCTCAGGCTCCAGGCGAAAAGCGTTCATGGTCGAATTACGAAAAGTGAGCATATCTCTGCGAGTTATTGATCATGGATTTGGCGGGCATTATATTCTGTTAGAACATCGAATGTGGAAAGGGCGGTACCAACCAAACGTTAGGTATTATCAAAGAATGTAGATACCCATCATCGGTATCGTCTACGGTGGGGGAAACATGTTAAGATATATACCGTTCGGCAACTAAAGAATCCGTTAAATGAGATACACGGACTGGTGGGGATAACGGCGTGATATTACGGGGTTCCCTGGCAAGCGCGCCTCAGCGCAGGGGAGAGAGCCTCGGTCTGTGGAAGGAAGACGATCAGGACCGTTTATCCAGCATGTCCATCGCAGTCTTGAAATAGTTCAGGACGATGATGTGCTGGCCCAAACCCTTAATATGCGAGATGTCACCAGCAGAGAAGACATTATGATGCATAATGTTGGCGAAATGGGAGATACTCACCATACTTCTTGCCCCAGTTCTTCTGTCCGAACACCCGCATTAGCACTGAGGATATATACTCCGACGCGGGCAAGGCAAAGGTCAATCCAAGTGACGTTCAACTGATGAGTGTCGACATGTTGCACTAGCAGAGGACCAGAGTGAGATTGTGTAGTCCTATCAATTGGCTGGCCATGTGATAATACACCCAAACTTTGCGTAGGCTTCGTTATTGTCTGTAATCAAATATATCATCGACCTCCGAGTAAGCGGAAGCCTGCAGGTGATAGATCAAAAACTGGAAAGAGTATCACCAGTCACTGCGTCTGAATTTCCCATTTCACCTATTACCGGCCGGTAGCGAATTGGTGACAGGTAGGAGTTGGGTAGGAGTACTGTGATTTCAAGTTGGCATCGGGTCACTTCGCAACAAGCCCGGAACAATAGAAATACAGCCAAATTCAACTATGTTCAAATTATGTGACGTAATACAACCCATTGCGTAGTCTGTCTGTCTGACACCCGTGCCAGTGAGGCCTCAAAAATATATCAACCTGTCATCAAGGAACAACCGTGGCAGAAATCGAACATATGGAGTAAACTTCGCTCCAGTCTTAATAAACCGCTCTGTTTCCTCTGGTGTACAAGGCTCCGGTAGCACGGAAGCAGGGAACGTGACCAACTTCACCCATATATCTGAATCCTTAGGCGCACATTGAGCGACCGGCCGGGGTTGGGTGTGCGGAATGATTTTGATGTGCGGAATGGCCAACGAGAATGTTTGCAGTCCTTTGAAAGGAGTACGTGCGATGCACAAGGGCTGCAGGTAGGACACAGAATGTTCAAATTCAATTTCGCTAACACAGTTGCACTGGAAGGGCAGGCATTCTTGGAAGGATGCGGAATCGAGTAGGGTGAGGTGTTGGATGGAAGCGAGGAAAGCATATCCATGGACAGACCCCACGAAGGGCCACCATGGATGAAAGAACATACCCAATAGCGTCAAACTTCTCGTGCTCCAAGGAAGCAAAGAATTTTTGTGGTCGACATTTAAGTCGACATCGGAGTTACACGCATGTTTGAGGCATTTTGAAAGAAGGTTTAGATTATTAAAGTGGATTGCGAGGGACGATGCACCGAGAATGACTGGAGCGAGCAAACTGATATCGAGCTCGCATTCAAGCTCGGGCATAGGAAGGGGAGAGAAGGGAATAGGTGGGCTTTGCAAAGGCCCCCGAAAGTCTCCGATTGACATCATGTCCACGCAAGATGCGTAATCAAAAGATAGATCATGTTGTTGATCGATGTATTTTTTCTGCATACGCAGAGCCCATATGAAAGCGAGTAGTTGGCGAGCTGTTGACAATAACACTGTGTGCAGAAGTTCAGGCAGCACAGCGCACCTGACAATTTTGGAGACCTGGCATAGTGAAAGGGCAGATGAGTATGGATCTCGAGTGTAGGGGGCATGTCGAGCAAAAGGTGGTTGTGCCGCATGCTTGAAGATGATGAGGGCGAGCTCAGTCGGAAGGTCGTTAAATCTAAATGATATGGGAGTAGGAGGTTCCATGACCGAGTGAGAGACGTTAAACCTGGTTTGACTCCTTTAATACTTGCCTCCTGAATTCCGCAGCAATGGTGGACCACAGGTGAATAGAATTATTAATTATAGCTATTTGCCTAGTCGTAATAGGGGAGCTCAGAGTAGACCGCTGTCCGCTGTCGCTTTCGCTTTCGCTGTTGCCCGAAACAACTTATTTTACAACTTACACAAAATAATTACAAATAAATCACATATACCATATGGATGGTCCTCAATTAATCCTAAGATCACTTGAAATACTTCTGGAGAGACTCGAAGCATATTGATGAAGCGTTGGTGGTTGGCAGGACTGTGTGCCCATTCCCATGCAAGGTGTAAGTTGCCAGATTTGAGGACAGGGGTACGAGAACGAAGGTAGCGAGTTTGTTGTATGGCTATGATACAATTTATATCCATATTAAGCTCTTGCGCTAATTCCTCTGGTGTTTGCGCAGCTTGGAAGAGTGCTCGAAAGGTCATGAATCGCACATATGAAGCTATATACTGTTGATGTAGCGAGCGGCGAGCCATAGTACAGTAAGTTATCTGCTTATATAACATCTGCTAACCCTTAGTGCACACGTGCATCAACAGCGAAAGCGAAAGCGACAGCGGACAGCGGTCTACTCTGAGCTCCCCTAATATTTGATATAAAGATTTGGATGCGACGAGGAGCGCACGTTCAAACTCCGCTACGTTATGTCCACTCGTCCACGACTTGAAAGCTTGAACTCTGAACTTCTTGTTTAACTCTCACTACCATTCATACCAATGGGTGGTGACCATCAATGTCCTGTCTGTCACAGGCTACTTTCACTCGAGGTCGCTCGTCACATGCGATCACGTATGTACTCTTTTCCATTCTAGCACTGATTTCGCTCCACTTTGCCACGGGAGGCTTTTACCCCCTGTCCTTACATATAACCGATTATCAGTCTAGATTGATCTTTTTTTGCGTCAGTCTTTCAAAGTATTCGGCGAAGTACAGCACTCCACATGCCTGTACATGCACTCCAACTGTTCGAGCCCACACAAAACCGGTACGCCACTTTCAGTGCTCTCTAATCAGTTCAATCATGGTATCTTTGTACTGCACCACATGGCACATGCGCTGTATCTTGCTTACGACAGCGCTAGCCTCACTAGTACTTTCCTTGTTTCTGGTACGCTGTATCATTATGATCACCGTCATCTAAGATTTTCGAGTCAGATTCAAATGTACGCTCAGTTTCAAGGGAAAACATCCCACATCATGGAAGAAAGGTTAATTTATTTTCCTCGTTTCCCTGTTGAGGTAAGCTAACTGTTGGTCGGTTGACAACCATCATAATAACCTCTGCCTGAACACATTGCGCAACGCTCACCAGAATTACATGGCTCGCAAATGTGTTTCTTACCATTGACATGTTACAACTTCAGGTGACTGCTCTCGTGGCAGAACTTAGGCTATTGATGGCTGAGCTAGAAAATAAACGACATATACGGTGCATTGGATTCCGAATACTAAGAAGTTCGTGTTGATGCCAAAACAAGTTAAATAATAAACAAGGAACGAAAACCTGCTGTGAGCCTGTGAGTACATTTATTAATCCGTCTAACACACATGCCAGTGAGCCATCAAAGTTTGGTCAACTTGTAAGAAAGGAACACTGGAAGTGGAAAATAGGGAGCATATCCCGCTGCAGTCACAATAAACGACTCCATTTCCTCTGGTGTACAAGGGTCCGGGAGCATGGAAGCAGGGAATGTACATCAACCCAGTGCACGGCGCCATTAATTCAACATGATAAAAGATACACCGACAGATAGTAGGAGTAAGCAGAAACACAATGATCGGCGCTAGCCTTGTGTCGAGGGGACAAATCTAATTCGACAATATGTGACACATGCTTCCCCTTGTTCCTTTGGCTTATTGAAGCTCTTTAACTTTGTGGGCGGAACCGCATCAGCATGCCAGCGCTTCTTGACAACACTGGTAAGACACTGAGATCGCGAGCGCAGGAACAATTGGAACTTGCAAAGTCAAAATCAATGTGGTTGCGAAAAAAATGCGAAGGGAATGCAGAATTCATACAAAGCACATGTATTTGCATGTGCTGCACTTGCAAGAAAACACTATCTACACGATTCAGCACTATGTGCATTACTACCGCACGTTCTCACACGCTCCTGCACTGGGGCTGGATCCCACAGCTGAACAGTCTTGTCACTCGAACCAGATGCGATACGAGTGCCATCAGGCGAGAACGAGACCGAGTTGACCGCGGCAGTATGACCCAAGAAAAGTTCACCAACTTGTTTCCCTGTCGCAGGGTCCCACAGGAAGAGTGTTGTCATTCAAACCAGATGCGATACGAGTGCCGTCAGGCGATAACGAGACCGAGTTTACCTTGGCAGCATGGCCCAAGAAGGGACGAATATTTGGAAATCGCGCACAAAGCTTTTGCGTGGCAGGTAGGAATGGGAGTGCTGATGCATATAGTTGCGGTGTGCTGTGTAAAATGATGCGGCCAAAGTCTTGAATAAACCCCTGAACGTCCATTGCAGTCGATGTCACATTTTCGAACTCGGAATGGTCCTGGGGTTGCACGTGAGCACCTTATCTGACCCTCCATAACAATGTACTGACCTTTAGCCAGTGGGAGACGAGCATAAGGGCAGGAATTGCGCTGCTCAGCGCATCGATCAGGGCCAGTGACTCTAACCAGAAAAAGACCCGCTCGTTGTCGAAGAATGATTTTACCTCTTTTGCGAGCTCCTCGTCGAAGGTTGTGTCTTGTACGTGCAAAGTCCAAAATCGAGATGAATATGACAGATGTGGGGGGATGTGTTTTTGAACTTGTACTTGCAAATCCAGGTCTTCGCCATTAGGTAGATCTGACGATTTTAAATCACAGATGTTGAAGCGAAGACTGTGTTCCATCACTCGAAGTGATGCAAATGCAAGGTCGCATTGCGCCTCCAACACGTCGATGAAAAACTCTCCGCTACATGGTTGGTCCGTCAGGAAATCACGGAAGGATGGATGAAGGAGTCTGATCAGAGAATTTGCGTTGGTGGTGCCGCTGAGGAGGGAGCCCATGCCTCTTACCACAACCTCCACGTCGAAAATGTCCTCTTGCACTGGAAAATAGCGCCTCATGGCGTTCAGGGAAGCTAAAGAAAGGGGTTCCGTTGTGGCTAGTATTTGTCCCATCACCGAGCGGAATCTCGCTAGTGCCGTCAAACGAAACTTCTGCTGATGCTGGATATGGTTAGATGTATACTTGGGCATGAAGTTCGTTAAAACGAGGCCGTACATGCTGCACAACAGCATGATTCTCTCAGCAGGATCGTGTGACACTGTGACATTGTAGCGATCAATTGGAAATAGCCCGGCATGGAACTCTTTGATGTATTTGCAGGCAAGATGCGCCCACTCGAAAAGTCCATCTGCTTTCTCAGCGAGGACTGCGATCTCTCGGTCCTGGAAAGACAACTCTTCAAACTCCTTGGTTATGTAAGTATGGATGTCGTGTTCTGTGAATGCTGCTGGAATATCATCCATGGACATCGGTTTAATATGCTGAACACCGCAAAACTCATCTTCGATGTCAATAAGTGGGCGAGAGGTAACGATGAAGCGGAAGTTGTCCGGGAGGTCTGTGATTTTGGGAACGCTGGGATGTTGATGTTTGCCAGCTAGGATACGGAGGAGGTCTCCTCGTGTCTCTACTCCACCGCTCTCATCCAGTGCATCAATTATGATCACGATGGGTTCCCCAGTGGACCCAGAAGACTTCCTCAGTGGTTCGATAAGAAGTTTCTGCCACTGCTGGATGATATCCGTCGTCTTCTTGAGCGAAGGTGTACGCTGAACTGTATCTGCTAATTCCCGCCTTAGCTTCGGATCACGGTCAGCCAGGTCGCGTGCAATCGTGGAAAAGATCTTTTCGTGGCGACGATCTGCTTCTCGCTTGCGGTCAAAAGAGTAACACGAACCAAGCCCTCCGAAGTCATTGACCCGCTTAGCAATGGTGTGTGCGATAGCCGATTTCCCCTTGCCTGCAGGACCAGATAGCCACAGCACGCATGGAACATCGTTCTCAGTGCTCCAGACCCAATCCATGATCTGGGAAGGGATTTCCGTGCGCGTCCCTTCAAGGCATTCTTTCCTAGTATCTAGTCCTGCGCCCTCCGCATAGGCGATGTCCCTGAGGGCCAGTATTTCGTCTGAAAAAAATCTGAATTTATGCTAAGTCACAAGAACGTCCAAGTCCTTGCCTGTACAGTGATCACATATGGCCATGTCATAGACATATATGGCTACATCAGGAGAAACCTGGTCCCGGAAGTTTTGCATGAGCCCATCTAGCGTTTCATTGTAATTTCGGATTGTATGTGTCGTTTCCGAGGCAATATTCTTGCCGAGTCTCCTCCCTTGTGATGATGGTCAAAGCTTGAGATGGTACATAATGCAGCAGCTTGTAACACTCACAAAAGTTCTTGATATACGAATAATCACTGATAAACTGTGCGCATTCGCGGACCTGGTGACTAATCTTTCCAAGGATAGCGCGCATTGACGAAATTTGGGCAAGTACGTCATCTTGTATTATGAATCTGTAAACTTCAGACAACTTATCAAGAAGTTTGAGTACCGCTGCATCACGATCCACTTGAGCTAGAATAATCTATGCAAATAATTGATGAGCGGCGGGAGATAGGAAGAGAGAGAAAGAAGACATACTTTGGCTGCACAAGACAACAAGCCCAGCGCCATCTTTGCATATGGATGTAGCTACAAAAGAAAATTAGTTCGGTTCCGATCGAAAGGGGGTCTATACGTCTGCGATCTGCCCAATAACATCGTCGAATATCCTGATAGGTTTGAGATATGTGTCCTGGAAGTTGCCAGCAGTATCGAAATCCCCTTGTGCACCTTGGCCAACAGACGCCGGAGTTATCGCAGGTCCCGCAAGTGGACGTATGAGATTTGTAGCCTGTTGTGCTTCTCGAAGTGCCGATTTAGTATCAGACAGAGTAGCTGGAGCCTGCACGAACATTGAAATTTAGAGAGAGCACAAAAACTGGAGTGAAAGTATGAAAACTTACCTCGGTATTCGAGGTCGATGAAGTAGGTTCATCACTTGAGGGAACATGGCTAAGGTTGCGGGAACCCTTCAAGCCCTTGTTGCAATCTTAGTCGCATTCCAGGACGCCCGTTACGCATGCTCGTGACTCACTACAATTGAGCTACTCAAACTAGATTTTACCTTCCGCATCGCCCGAAGGACTGGGTTCTGTTGGTGCATCAGTATTCCGGGAGTGGAGTGAATTAAGAAACCACGTACTGAGCCTGTTGCTTTACCAGTTACTGGAGCTAAATTACCCGATGATATATTATCAGTCATTGTGGATGGCGGTTGAAGATAGGAGTATTAATTGCACGTCTCGAGTAGTATAAAGATTCGGATGTGGCCAAGATGCGGCGGCTGCCTGACTGGTGCCTGACGCCCACGTTCAAACTCCGCTGGGTTGAGTTGATTATGTAATTTTACCTGAATTGATTGTGCCTTGTGTTCGGGCTTTGACTACTACAAGCCTTGGGGGTTGTTGGATGCTCGCAGTGGACCCTGCTCGTTGACGATCACGTTGACTAGATCAAGCCAATTGCTTAATGTCCGGACTCAAAAACTCCCCTTTTGGCAAGCGACTACGCGCGACACATCAAGACAACGAAGAAGACGGTCCACGAAGAAACCGACAGCGGGTCAACCCAATTTTCTATACCGCCACATCCTCGACAACAAAGGACACGACGCCAGAGTCGCCTATCACGATGCGCGAAATGTACGGGGACAGATTTGTGCCTTCGAGGGATGCTGGAGATATGCGAACGAGCTATCACTTGATGGATGAAAGTGGTCCTTCAACTCCTTCAAAATCTCGAATTATACCAACAGAATCGGATGCATTGAAGGGTCAGTCACCTTGGTTGTACTTGGGATGGCCAGCTAACATGCTCATAGAACAAGCAAACGCAATATTTACATCCATACTCCACACAGAAGTAACCCCCCCTTCCCCACGTCGACCCACCTCACCCCAGCGACCTACAACCTCTTCAAGTGCAACAACAACCCTCCCACCTAGTACACCCACCCGTAAACGTATATTTCACTACACCTCACCGGCGACATCAGCAAACCCCAGCACGCCAACTCGCAGACTAGACACCCCAACAGACGAGGCCTATTCCATGAGTCCCGTCCGAGCAGAATCTCGTCAACTCCTTGAGTCCCCCCGAAGACAACTCCGCAGTGTCTGCAAAACGCCCTATCGCGTTCTCGACGCACCAGAACTGGCAGATGATTTTTACCTCAATCTTGTGGACTGGAGCAATACGAATGTACTTGGTGTTGGACTAGGGAGCTGCGTATACCTATGGACAGCACATAACGCAGCAGTTTCAAAACTATGCGATCTAGCAGGTTCAAACGATACAGTTAGCTCCGTCTCATGGGTCCAAAAGGTCCGTATATATCCTCTTTTAATTTATTACTCGTGATTCGATGCTTTGAATAGGGTACGTTGCTTGCTATCGGAACTCTCTCAGGTAGAATGCATATCTACGACGCTAATACTCTCCAACTACAACGCTTGTATAAGAATGCCCACACTCAACGCATCGGTGCTCTGGCTTGGAATTCGCATATACTCTCGTCGGGATCGCGAGACCGTATGGTGCACCATCGAGACGTCCGAGAGCCCTCTCAGCGTCCGTTCAAGCGGTGTGCAGGGCACAGACAGGAAGTTTGTGGGTTAAAATGGGCGAGGGATGGGGGGCCGTTGGCAAGTGGGGGGAACGACAACAAAGTGTGTATATGGGATCTACGAGGTTCGAAACGTGCTTCTGTTACTGGAAGTTCAACGTCAGGATCAGGCAGTGTGGAAGATGCAGGAGGAAGCGGAAGCGGAGACGCACCACTCTGGAAATTCCATGAACACACAGCAGCAGTCAAAGCGCTCGCCTGGGATCCACACGTGAGCGGGGTGCTTGCGACCGGAGGAGGAACGCAGGATAAACATATTCGCTTTTGGAATACGTTTAATGGGACGATGCTTAGTGAGCTTGATACCGGGAGTCAGGTGTGTGTTTCCTTCCCCCCTTCTTTCCTTACCTATTTTTATTCTCTCTGCTCTAAAAAACTTAACTTCGAATGACACAGGTCTGCAACCTTATCTGGTCCCTGACCTCCCATGAACTCGTCAGCACCCATGGTTTCAGCAGCACCACAGCCCAAAATCAAATATGTATTTGGAAATACCCGACGCTGAATATGGTGGCGTCTTTGACGGGGCATACGCATCGGGTTTTGTATCTTGCTATGAGTCCAGATGGTGAGTAGGCTTTCTTTGATGTCATTCAGGTCCGAACCTAGAGATGGAGGTGCTCGGGTGCCGGGGTTGGTGCTAGGATGAGACGCTGATTCATGTTTCTAGGTGAGACGATCGTAACGGGTGCTGGGGATGAGACGCTTAGGTTCTGGAATGCGTTTCCGAAGAAGGAGGGTGGGGAGAAGCGGGAGACGAGGTTGGATTATGGGAGGCTTATCAGGTGATCTCGCTGCTCGAGGCTATGGGGAGATCCCGAACTACGCATGGCAGTTTCCCGAACCACGCAAGGCGGATTCCTAAGCTACGCATCGCATCCAGGGAATTCGGTGAACGTTGCTCGATGCGTTTGGCGCAGACGCTGCACAGGACGTCAAGCGCGGACGCTGCACTCCCGACGTCGCGCTCTCATTTATACACTATATCCGCAAGTTAACATTCACACACCACATCATGGCATATGACTACACTACGCCACACCACTTTATCACTCACTCACTCAAACCAAACCACACCAAATCAACTACTTCAACAACCCAAACCAACACGTCTACTTGGCTCGCTCAGTGCATATATGCACCCAGCTGATCCACTTTACATGCTCAGTGTACATCCCAAGCTCACATCATCACATCCATATGTCCTTTGTTCGTATGTTGTATGTCGTTTCCGATTTCAATTCCTCGCTCGAGTCCTACTTCGTTTTTTGTCTTTTCGATCTGTGAACTCACTCTTTCGTCGTGTCTCATCTTGTAAGTCACCCTCGTCTTCGTGAATAACACATACTCACTCGCTTTTTCTTGCTAGCGCTCAAATCAATGCTTCTTGTAGGGCTATCTGTTTGCTTTTCTCGTTTCGTTTGTTCTAGCTATACTATGGGCATGTCATCGTTTCCTCTTTTTTTTCGCGTTGTACTTGGAATTTCATAATGCATCGACGACGATGAACGATTTGATCATGATCACCATCTAATACTTGTACGTGAGGGTATGTACCGGTACACCTGCGGCCAGGGTGCTAAGATAACGCTCATATACCAGATATATACTTGTCGAAACCATTTTATGACACAAGTTGTCGGCTTGAGAACATCATGCTAGTAGCCAGCTTCCGTAGCAACCACAGGGCGTCAGCGGTCAGGACTCATTGGTCGTACTTTGACTATGTCGGTACTGCAGCATTGGTAATCTCTTCATGAACGTAGTGAGGTACCTTGCAGAATTGTCTGAATCGGCAGTCCAACGATGAGCAGATGAACCAATGCATTTTATACAGATGCAGTTATTATGTAAATAGAGGAATAAAAACATGGATAGAACATATGACAATACATCATTATCATGTGAAGGACAGATGCCTGGATATGACGATACTTTTTCGAGAATTAGAAGTGGTAAATAAAATAGGGGTATAACGCGTAGAAATGGTCTCTGAGAATTGAGAGATTTGAATGCTCGATGATTTTATAAATCATGTGAGTGTGGTCTTATTGAAGGAACCTAGGCGTGCTTGACTAGATGTCTGATTTGAAGGACATAGCGACGCCCAAGATGGTAGAAAGTTCGGTTTAGTGTGCTGGGGACAACTAGCGCGGCACCGCATACCTGGAATGCTTGCGTTGAGGTTGGGAAGTTTGTAAGGTCCAGGAGTGCTCATAGGATCTTCATCGGGCGCGCCATTGTACCTGAGGATGGCTTGACTCAAGCCACCTGCAAACGTTTGATTTGCAAAGTCGGATGGTGCGCGAACCCAGTAATTATCCACAGGCTGATTCGCGTAGACGACAACGGGGTAGCGTTGGCCAGCGAGCACTGGAAGAGAGTCCACAGTCTCAGGGACAGTTTCGATACCGTCTGCTTCAATAATCGTCATGGTATGGCCATCGATAGTGAAGTTATATGATGGATCACAAGAAAGACCGATGATGCGGAACCGGTAACGCTTGCCCTGTTCGACATTGATGACAGAAAGAGGTGATTTTGGTCCGCCAGGATAGCGCCCCAGACCATCGATGAGGGTGGAGTTGGATGTGATGGTGCCGAAAATTTTGTTTGACTTGGGCGTAGGATCGTGGTACCTGAAAGAAGTGATAATATTTGGAATGCAAAAGGCTAACTCGAACCAGTGGACCTCTAAGACCGGACAATAGCTATAGCAGCGCCGTGTTTCATGGCCATTGTGTTACTATAGCAGGTACTGTGATAGACGTGCTCACTGCTGGATGCCTATTCAAGCGTGACTGAGCGGTAGTCTCCGAGCTACGACCAAACCAATTCTACCCTTCCCACGCAAGATCTCACTAGATGGGTCCGTCGATCTTACATAATTTACATGCAGGTGAATCGCGTAGTCAGCCAATTAAAGATCGTTCATCGTTCGCCGTCAATGATCAGATGCTACCAAGTTCGTTGTCCTCGTATTTGGCATTTGATCATCTTGACTATTTCTATCACGAATGACTTTCGGAAGGGGGATGTAGAAGGAAAATGCTTGAAGTAAGTCATATTCATAGAGGAGATCTAATACTCATATAGAACAATTACAAAACGAGAAAAGTCTCAGCATCCTACCTGTGGAATGGCCGCATAGCGCATAGAATTTGAGTCTCACATTGTTGTTAGCGACATCAAAGCTACAGGAATAGGTGACGCTCAGTAATGTTTCACCCTGCATCAGCAATATCTCCAAGTCACTTTTTGCACTTACATGACTGATTTGTATTACTGATCTCGCTGAGTAGAAAAAGGAAAGCTCTGATGTCACTTATTTTACTGGTACCCACTTTTTGCAGACGTGATTCAAACAAATGTTGCTAATAAGATGTAAAAGTAAATTAAGTGCGATAAGATATTTTGTAACCTAATTGACAACTATGAATACAGGACCTAGGTTAGAATAATAACTACCGGGGGAATGGTAGTGGGCATGGAGGACGGTCTCGTATCATTGGAGCCAAATGATGATTTTGCTATGGGTGCGCCTCCTGGTGCACCAGGGGCCATGGATGAGACGATCCCAGCACGAGGTCTCCATGGAGTTGATATCCTCGTATTCGTGAGGATGCAGAGATATGGGAGAGGGGAGCTGAGCGCCGGGACGAATGAAGGGAGTACAAATTCGGTGCCGGATGTGTTGTTGGAGATATGGGAGAGGGGAGAGGGGAGTTGAGCTGTACAAGATTAAAATGCGATTTCAAATGCATGATGGTCGGCGAATTTGTTGACATAGAAAGTGCGGAATTTATCTAAAGAGTTCGAAAAGTTGATAGCACGAGGTATGAAATCAACACCGTAAACGGGAAGGAGATGAGCTGCGCGATAGATTGCGTCAATGTGTATCACCGAAATATTCGGAGAGTGACCATCAAAGGATGGCTGAACTACCCACATGCCTGTGTCTTCATCAGGGGCATCACCTATGACATCAAACCAATGAACCATGGCACACTCGTACAAGACAAACTTGTATCTGAAGGAGAAGAAGCATAGCGCGCGTGCTATTTGAAGCCCTCGCATTCCTTCAAGGTCCGGTTGCGCATTTATAAACATGCAGTCATAGCGAGCGTGCGCATTCCTCCATTTAGGGCAGGATCGAATATGTTCCCTTCGCATCCCTCCAATCCCACTTAAGTCACTTGGCGCATAAAATCTTGATGATGCGGAATTGACTACAGAGATTTTCCCGTCATAGACAGGGAAACTGTCAAGTGGGATGGTGGCATGGTCACGAGGGTCATGAGGGTGAAGTTGTTTGAAGAGAAAGTGACCGATGAGATCTTGTAAGTTTGAAATAGAAAGCTCGATAGCGAGCGCTGCTACGGTTCGAGCACGCGTTACTTCTGATATCAATGTGAGTGAGTGATATATAGTGAAAGGATCAAAATACGTACGGGTTGTTTGTGCAAGCTGCACATGGGCCTCGATTACAGTCGGCCCATTATCAATTTCACCCTCGTCAACATTGTCGTCAATATCAGCATTGGGCTTGGCAGTATCAGGAATGATATCGGAAGGTTCGGCAGGAGGGTTATTGCATGAAGTATCGAGACAACCTAATTGAAATCAGCGAAGCATTATATCAGAGTCTTGATTTACTGACCTGAAGCATCGCTAAGACATGTACCATTGAGCATACCGCGTTTCATGAAGTCTACACGCAAAGCGGCAATTTTGTTGAGTCGCTGATTCGTCACAAGCATCTGTCCAAGCGCATTGTATCTGTTCGACCGACGCCACGGTTGCTTCACAGCTTTAATGTGCTTATTTTCCGTCATCGACGAACATAGACCATTTGGCGCTCCGAATAGACGGATAAGGTCGGGATAGTGCTTCATCGAGTGCTGACGTGGGAGCGAAAATGTAGGGACAACACCTAACCGAAGAAATATTGAGCGATAGTGGTGAAAGCGGCGTAGATCATCTTCTATTTGTGAGATTGTGGCCTCCGTGATGACGTTCCTTCGGACGAGATAGCAGAACTCTAAAAATGCGCGAAACGTGCAGACAACGTCTGTTGGTACGTGACCCTCTATCGCAGGTAGATATATCTTGAACAGTACTGTATCAGTCAACAAATCTTATGTCAATCAGAAAACAAAACGTACCTTCATGAGTGCCTTAGAGTCATCCCCGGTCCATTGTTTGAATCCACGGCCCTGTGGAAAATGTCGCAAACCAGTGAAGGGAGTAGCGGCAGCGAGTCATTGGTCTATGTCATCCATTCGACGTTTGGCCTCCCTTTTGTCGTGAACATGATGGAGGTACTTCTCCACCCATGTCACAAGATGGTCCTTGAAGCAGCCTTTGATGATTTGGTGAAGGATATCCGGGGCAATCAGTTGATGAATGTCGGCTCGAGGAAAGTCGTTAGTAAAAGGCTAAATGTTTATACTAAGTCAGGTGAACACTGCAGCGAGTGAACAAATCATACCACAATAGACCCCACAATACCAAAGTCACGCCGCAGGACATCAGACGTGTCTTCCTCGAAAAGGGCCTCTCTGTGTGCCTCGCATCGGCATAGCGCATCCTCGTCGTCCAGTTTTCCACGGGGAGCGAGACATCTTTGAGAGTATTCAACATTAAGAGAACAGCAAAGAGCTAGCGAGACGAACCTTGGACACCAATTCCTCACAATGGATGTGAGTAGAACTTGCTCTTCATAGTCGGCAATATATGGTCCTAGCCCATAAACGACGCGTCGATAATGGCCATCACCAAAACGCGCGATCTCGGGCTTTAACATAGGGTTCTTGAACGTTTCGAGTATCTTCGCAATTGAAGAATGGAAGATTTGGCGTCGGAAGTCACGGAATTCTTCGGTTTCCTTATGCTCGTTGGTAGCTGCAAGACTGAGTTTAGTTACAGTATGAAAAGGTTTCAAAGACTTACTCTTTGGAATGGCAAGAAAGCCAACAAGACAGAGCGCATCTCGATGTGCTCGACGGACATTGTTGCGTACATTGCCAATAGACAGGTACAATGGATAATATTCGTTGTTTCCAGTGCCGACAGATACAGTTGTTTTGTCACTTCCAAGTATTATGGGTACAAATGTTGCACCGAGCGCGTCAGGGTCAGTAGCGATGATATCCTGGAAAGAATGTTCAATACAAGGAAGTAACATCCAATATAAAGACACATACCGCTTGCTGCCAGGCCCAGTCACCTGACATGAAGTCTTGGTAACGGCGTTCGTCTTTACTGACTGAATATTCACGGAAAGGGCGATAATCAAAATCATTTACATAGTCGGGGTTAGCGAGGATGTTGCGTGCAACTTCACGAGGGTCGCGATACCAAACATCGAATTGTTGATTCATCCACGAAGGCACATCCGGTATATCAGGTTTCTCTCCGGAATACTGAATTTTGAAGGACTGCCAGTTGACGCCACCAATCGGAATATTGTCGATGGTCTTGTAGAGGTCCTTATGATCCGCAAAAGGCGGCATATCGCCATGTTTGAGGAGTGACGCAGCCCAGAGATCAAGGAGAGTGTTTATATTGGGCGCGGACATTTGTGCGCGGCTGTACAAGAATTCGGCCGTCTCAAATTCAGTACGGTTGCAGAATGGTGACCAGTCATCAGGTGACTGTTCTGTGAGAGGCTGTGGTGGAGTACCAGGCGGTAAAAAAAGGCCATTTGCATCACATGGTTGAGCTGGGGCTTCATTAGCATTAGATGAGCTATAAGAATAAAGTGTGCTCACCGTTCAAACCAGCGTGATAGTTGCGGTACAAGTTCTTGCCCGTGCCATAGAATTCGGCGTCTACGTCAGGAGCTGGTGGTACAGATGAATGGCAGGCGTCTTCAGAAGGCGCTGTCAGATAAAACACGCTGACATATCAAGACTGAGACTCACCACCAATATCACCGTCAACTTGCCCTGGTGGTGGTGGAGATGAAAGGCGTGGTGCATCTTTAATAAGTAGCATTAGAACTGTTGTGGGTTGGGTATCACTGATGGGACTCACCAGCATTCACGTCATAATCTTCTTCTTGTGCTGGCGGCACCAGAGATGAGTGATTTGAACCTAATTACTGAGTGAAATGGATGCCAGACTCACCATCAATGTCCATGTCCTGCGACCCCGCTCCCTTTGTATTTGCACTGCTCAGAATTGGGTGCATTGCAGTGCGGTGCCTTGTGCGTCCGCTGAGAGATTTGAAGTACTTATTACATCCAGGACGGCCACAAGGAATTTGATATGAAATATGTTTCCTTCGAGTGTACTGAGTAGAGCAGGGCGGCATGCTAGAGTACAGAATGAAGAAAGAAAGCTAGTGGAGGACTGAATGCGAACCTTTCTCTTACAGTAACTTAATTAGGACTAGAGGCAGGGTAGTACCGTCGAAAATTGAGCCGATGCCTGCGGAAGTTCAAGAACGTAAGAGGGACCAGTACCTTGTAAATTTTCGCGCCCCAGTTATTTGCTCTACCTTGTCTACTCCTCTCATCAGCTCCAATAGTCAACCATGGCACCCAAAGCCCCGCAAGAAGTGTCCGCCCGTCGAACTCGTCCAGCGAATGCAAACGCTCATCCTGGCAGGCCTGTTTTAGAGGCCGAAGCTGAGGAGCGACTCCAGAATGGAAAGAGAAAATCACGTACCAAGAGCTCGAAGGTCACTGACGACTTACATGCGACTGAAAGCCCTGAAGAGAAGAGCGTGCGGATTCAGAAAGCCGCTGAACGAATTGCTGGTATTGAGGATACTATGGAGGCTCTTGAAGCCCAAGTGCGGGGAGGAATCAAGGCAAAG